ATATATATATATATATATATATATAACGATTACTCCAACACTTACTAGACAAACGCTTTAAACTTTTAATTAATTACAAAAGACTAATATACCTGACTATACAAAGACCTATTTGGGCTTACGGAGTTGAGTTATGGGGCTCCACTAAACCATAAAATTTCTCTCGTATCCAATCGTTACAATCCAAAATCCTTCGTAAAATCCTCAATGCTAATTACGTTGTCACAAATAAAATAATCCATAATGACCTTAATGTTCCATGTGTTTCCGATTTGGCCCGATCCAGATACCTATCCTTCCATAATAAATTTCATAACCATCCGAATCCTCTCGTTTTTAATCTTGCTTCCTCTTCGATTGCTGATAACCCTCCGAGGCGTCTGAAAAGAAGATGGTCTCGTGATCTCCTTATATAGACATATTATTAGAGTGCAACCAGTGGGTAGTTTCTCAACAAGCTTTTTGAAGTGAATACATTTTTGTATACGAAAAAAAAAGCTTTCAGACTGAAGCCCACTCCAAAATCAATTCCTGGATCCGCTAGTGGTTCCATGACATTCAAACAAATGAAAATCGGATAAGAACATATGAGTTTTTTTTTTATATACTCCTTCTTTCCTGTATTTCCTTAACTTGTATTTGAGGAAGTTAAAGTTGTTTTCAAGGAACAAATGTTAACTGTGAAAACACACGTGGATACCTCAAGATGGTAGTGGAGGACAGTTCGCATGATAATATTACTTCCCGTATAACGCAGATTCATTATTTATAAGACCAAGTTTTTTAATCCTAAACATTTAGCGGGGAGGTGGAAGGGGAGGGAGAGACAGAACCCGAGTACAGACAGTTTTTGCCTGAGATATTTAATTAGCTCCAGTACAAGAGAGAGGACTGCTATTAGCCTGGATTCCCACGGTCACTCTAATGGCTCCCTCTGCCGGAATGTCCACGGAGGCCCTGATACCTAGTACAGATTACACGCTCGCTCTTACATCGTCACCTCCTCCATTCCCAGCTACATGCATCCTCCCGAATAGAATTTACTTACTCTCCACTTGTATATCTTACATGTGTGTATGAAGTATACAATATTCGATTCATTTACAAAATATCTACATTAAATACAAGTAATATTTAAGTACATTTATATACAATACAAATCTATAATTTAATTACAGGATAAAAGTTATGTAACACTTTTATTGGTGATATACCATACCATATGCATGCGCAGACAAGAAAGAGTGAAATAAAAAAAAGGATAAAATCTGAGATTATCAAGAAACACTTTGAAGAATTAGTAAAGTAAATCAACAGGTTTCGATAGAATCCAAAAAGGAAACGGTATATATCCCTAGATCTGCAACATTCCGTAACGGTATAGCTCTTTTCATTGTTGATGCATCTCATCTCATACTATTTGATTTATACTTTAGAAACTAGTTGCATTAGATTGCGTCCAAAGGAAAAATATATAAACCTCTGAAGGTAAAGTTGTGAAGAGTGAATAGCAATTCAATTCGATGAAGGGAACAACTGAGTATTTTCAAGTTAGCAATTATGCTTGCTCCGATCATCTCCATCTTCATTTCATCAATAATTTATCATTTTCTATGCCAGTATTGAATGTCGTCCATCATCTACCGAATTCTAATGATGGATCCTTCGGCACCTTTATCATCAACGTTAAGCTGTCAATAAAACGCCTACTCTCATGGGACATACATCATAGAAATGTTCTTCTCGTAATAGATATAGCGCTCTCTTTCAGGATAGGCAGAAGACTACATGGTATTTGTTTTCATTTCCTGTTGTTTATTAAATATAATTAGTTTTTTATTGGTATATTGAACTGTTTTGTCAAAAGAATCAGTCATTTGTTGACAATTAAAATTTCAAGAAATAAATTTGAAAATAAACATTTATCTGAGAGCATGTTTAAATAATCATAATTGGATACTATAACTCTTGTACTCAAGATAAAGAAGATCTAATAATATATACCGCTGGGACTATCTGAAAGTAAAACTCATCGTAATTTTATTTCTATTTTAATACATGGCAACAATGAGTTGTAAAACCGAGATACGACTTGTATCTCACATAAAATTAGATAGAGTAACATTAAATAAAATAAATTTAATGGAAATCAGGAGCAGACCAATGATTTAATTTTTTGTGGGGCTTAGCCCGGAAGCTATTTTTTCGTAGCAAGCATTTATGTATCAAGCACTCCTTAGAGTGAATCAAAGGTCACCATTTTCTAGATAATTAAAAACAACAAAATTTGGTTCTTCAATAAGTATATAAAAAAGAAACCTGAAACATTGCTTTGGTGTGCCAATGATTTTACATTAGATTTATGCGAAATTGTCGGATATTATCATTATAATTTTTTTTTAAATTTATATCCGTAAGCCACCTCTTCTTTAGCCTTGCAATATAGCTTAAGTAGTTTGTCTGGTGTTTAAACAATAACTCTACATGTCTAGAATGAATTTTCGCCATCTATGTATATGCCCCAAATGAAATAACTGTTGAGAAGTAGCAGTAAGAGAAGATCTGAAGCGGTCTAAGTAGTTTATATTGTGACATAGATAATTTCCATTCTGATCCTCAGAGCTTGAACCAGAAGACCGGTTTGAGGTTTTCGCTAAGCTGTTAAAGCGACATGGGCAACATTAAAAGAGCGGCAGAAGAACCCATATTTCATTATATTAAGAAGGTGTGTGATTTATAGAAAATGATTTATCAACATAATGGAACTTCCAGATCAGGGCAAGATATTTATTTCCTAAGACTTGCTATGTAAGAATTAGAACAGCTCTATAAAAAATAAAATAAGTATAATTGCCCATTAAAAAAAATAATTAGAAGTTTTGCAGTAAAAAAGTGTACTTTTCAAGATATTTTATAAATTAAGATTACGACGCTGATATGATTTTGGTGATTCTGAAAATATGAAAAGAGTTGAAAAAGATATGAAAACATAAAGTAAAACATCGATATATGTAGGCTTTGATGAGAACTTGGTTGCTCACTGTTCAGAAGGGAAATTTTCTTTCTAACAAAAGGAATAAAACCTCGCTGATTACATTAGTGGCTTAGGCTGAAGTGCAAAAGGTACACAGTTCACCGCAGCTAAAGGTGACGCTGACTGCATCTTTTTCAAGTGTGGATTAGAAAATACTCCCAATCTATTGCGATGGTCGTTGGAGATGACGTGAATCCGATTTTCTCACTTATGGCACTTATACCACGAGATATGTTTTTTTATCAAATCTGAACGAAGCAACACATGAGTTATGTTTGTCTTATAACTTTAGGACTTGCCATTAATCCAGTACATTTTCTTTATCAACCATCTTATTTTCTTTTCGCTTTCCCTTCTGTGATTTATGGAAAAAGTAAAGTAGCTCTAGTCAAATGGTTACAGCTTTATTAAAATTACATCGCGTCAAATATTAGAGGTACATTCCATTTTGTGTTACATTTGTTAACTTCGTTGTGGACGCTGTTCGATAAACCAGCAATCAATTCAGAGGGTGGCGAATTGAGCAAGCATAATTTTTGAGAACGCACATTCTTATAAGGTTTTAGATAGTATAGGGCAATTAGCATTAAGGGAACTAGATTTTGTGTGATTTTAGATTCAGAGAATCAATAAAAAACAGTCATTCCAGAGGAGGATGTAGCTTTCGGGCAGAAGCCCTTCTCCCTCTCCCCCTCCCCTCCAAAATGGTATAATGTAACCATGTTTATGGAAGAAAATATTAAAAATTATCTCTTAAAATATCATTGTTCGTGTAATTAAATTTAATAGGACTTCAAGAATCACTTAAACACCATTTCATACAGGTAGTTAGTATCTTTTTTTTTTCGAAAATAATTATCGTTATATAAATGAAAAAAAAAAAAGCTTTCGGGTTGAAGCTTCTTCCAAAATTAAATTCTGGATCCGCTAGTGTGTCAATGGCAGATGACACAGTAATTGCATCAATAGTGCTCCCATAAAAGTGGAACTGGAAGGTAAGGAGTAAACAGCTTGAAATGACTGATATGATGGAATAGCAGTAGAAATTAAATAGTGTAAACCTCTTTTTTACTTAGTTAAATGAAGTATTTAGTCAATAAAAAGAAATGTAATATAATTTCGTGGAGAAGCTTAGTTTATATCTTATTCCTCTCTGCCTCTCATTCCTAAGTAATTAATTATTTAACTAAAAGTCTACTTTTATCATGTTACATTGTTTTCGACACCTTACCTCTGAGCTAAAAAAAAATAATGGGGATGAATGGTAAATGCTGTTCTATAGAATATTTAACAAGCTTTAATTTTGGAAAGTATAAAAATTTCAGTTCAAGCCACTATTTTTGAGATATGTTTGTGCCTAAAGAAGAGCCTCTTCCTGCTACTCCACTGCACCTAAATGTAGATTTAATTACACATTCAGGAGAGATTCCCTTTCATTTTCTTAATTTATTTGAAATTAGACGATATATGGCACCAAAAATTCCTAATTTAACTGTACTATACACGAGTTCACCAAAAAAACATCAACTCTTCCAAGCAACTTGGAGTTTGATTTAAACAGTCACTCGAACATTATGGCTATATGGGTTGATTCAACAATTCTTTTTAAACGAATGAAAAGGATCTGTACTCATTTAAACCTGTTAATACAAACTACACACTCTAGAAAATAATTGTTTGACGAATAAATTTGTCTTTATCCCTTTCTAATAGTTAAATAATTACAATGTCCTAAATTACTGTTTTATAAATAAAAAAAACATTATTTTTTAAAATAAGAAAAATTGTTAACTTTTTTTAAAGCAAATCAGTTGATTTTAATTCATATTTAAAATACAACTTACAAACAAGGACAGAATTATAGGTATAAATAAAAGGCAGAATATGAAGGCATTGACAGTGGGATGTAAACTTAACCTTCCCACGATTAGAACCTTACCATTTTTATCTTTAGTTTTATCTTGAAATGGATGAATTTAATACCGAAGATATTATAGAGCCGATTGGTTTAGGCTGCTCACTTGAAAGATTTGTGGAATGGAAAGAGATTTTAGATCTTGTCACTTCCTTAAAAGAAACAACAGAAGTCACAGAACAACCTGTAAATGGTCGTTCAAGTGCAGAAAAACCTTATGAAAGGTTTAGGTATATTGTCGATCAATATAAAGAACAGCCTCATTTATTGGACACCTATTTATCTCAAATTTTGGATGAAATAATTTTCATAGTAAGAGGAAATAACTTTTGTGAAAGAAGTAAGCACCTAGCATTTCAGTATATGCGTTTAATTACAAATGTCAGGGGTACAAAAGTTATTCTGCAACATTTGCCTCACTCTGTAAGTGTTTATTAATGATTTTTATTTGTTTATAAATATTGAATAAAAAGGATAAATATTGAATTGCTTTAGGCTCAAGATTTAGAACCTGTCTTGACTATGCTTGAAAATCAAGATGAAAAAGACAATAATAACTGGGAAACAAGGTACTGCTTAATTCTTTGGTTATCCATCATTGTGAAAATACCATTTCACATGTCGAGACTAGATAGCAATGATGTTGGCAAAGATTCTACAGTTATCCAAAGGTGCAAATATCATTTCTAAAGTTATTGATTTTTTCTATTGCTAAGGACTTATTGAGGGAGCTAATCAATAAATTGGCAACAATAGGCTTCTGCGTCAATTGCTATGACCTATTTAAATTTAAAGAGTTGCTTCAGCATTATTTTTATCAGTGTTTATTGTTATAACTGCTTGGCATGAATTAGTTTACCGGGATATGGATATGATTAAAGTTATTATTTGTTATTGGAACATTGTTACTATTTTTTTCAGATTATATAATATCTGCAAAAAGTATGCAATGGTCGTTGATCTCTGTAGAGATGCATGTGCATATTTAACCTCTCAGTTCCTCACAAGAACAGACACGAAAGATTGTTTGTTGCCAGAGTATTTTCAGTGGGCATGCGATGTAAGATTCATCATTAATGTATTAATTATCATCAAACCAAGTTATTTGACTGATGCCTTATAATTTTAGTTGATCACTCAAGAAAACTTAAACTGGATGCGTTTTGGACCTATGCTATCAATTGCAGCTATTTTGAAGTATGGCAAAAGGGAGGATTTACTCCCTTATGCTCCAAAATTACTGAAAACAATGATGACCATGAATTGGAAAAGTGAACCGTATCGCTTGTGTAGAAAACTTGCCATGAAAGTTATTCAGAGAATAGGTAAATAGGATAGTAAACATTTATATTTTAGTGACTTGATGGTCAATCATTTTCTCATTATTCTAAACAAAGGGTCCCTCACAACTCAGTTTTTCCAGCCTCGTTATTGGTGACATTATTTCTGAACGATAAATGAAGATCCATCACTGGTTCTTCATTTGTTACTCCGGACCAGAAAAATTGAACATATCTGGGTCTCTCAAATTTACATTCTAACCTTTATATTTTTATGAAGGTACATGAGATGTTTTTTTTTTTTAAGATTACTAGTGACACACTGACACCTGAGCCAACCGACAAATAATTTGTGTCATTACATAAGATGTTTTCAAAGAATGAATTGCTTGTCGAATTTTTCCATTTATTTTTGTGATTGAAACGTTCCATGCCAATTGTTCAATTTATTTTATGTAATAAAATAATGAAATAGGAAATTTAATTACACTTGAAAATATGATGAACATTCAACTCTCATTAACTCATACTTCAAGGAAATGAATATATTGTTGGTGTAATGCACCAAGTCATTAAATACATTTTTCATTATGTTAAACTTTGACACACACATTTAACGATTTTGAAATTACCAACCGATGTAAAAAAATAGGAAATGCATCACAATGATGCAAACTCTCTTTGTATCAAAAATAGTTACAATAAATGAGTCACATGTAAGAGAGTAGTAGCTGTGATTCCCGAGTCACCTGCGATTTGGATTATTTTTGCCTGCTTCATACACATGATGAATTTCTGAACAAGTATGCAGATGATTAACTGAATAAAATTTAAAATTTCATGTGGAAAAACAAATGGGTCACTCACTGTAAAAATTGATTTGACACGAAGCATCTTCAGTTTCGTGTCCTTATATTAAAATTTTATTATGAACACATTATGTCTGAAAAGTTTTAAAGAAAACTTATTAAAAAATTATATTTTTAGTTATTTCATCCTTAGGTATAAGAATGTTCTGATTTTCTCTGCAACTACATCTAAATAACAAAACATATTAATTTTTTCATGGAAAACAAACTTAAGTCATCTTTAATATATTTAAAAATTTGGTCTTATACATTATTTAGTGATCATAAACAATATTTACAGGAAGCTGTGCTATCGTGTTTCCGTACAGTTTTCCAGATTGCTTGAGCTTTATTGCTCTGTAAAAATCAATACGTTTTATTATTGCTGAACTATCCAGGGACTATCAAGATGAGCTAGTAGTTTTCATGATTATCAATAGGAAACTAAAAATGCCATTCTCTAATATAATAGTATGATAAATATAAATCTTATTAGTTACTAAACTTTTTCTTCCTGCTTTGACTCTTACTTCAGACATCATGCTTGAACATATACATATGAAATTCTACTTGTAATGTAATAAAAATGAACTTAAAATTAAAATCAAATCAAAATGGTCAAAAACATTCTAAATAAAATTGTTATATGAAACCATATCTACCCAAGACAAAATCAGTTCAGTTACCACGACAGCTTTTAGAATAGCTGTAGTTTTCATATTTTCAATGAGAATTATGAACAAATAAACAAACTGAAGCATAACATTATAATGAGGCATAGGTAGATCTTATGCTCGCTTGACTTTTTTAAATAATATTTTTATAAAAAGTTGATAGATTTTGTTGTTAATAAACCTTCCAGGGACTATGAAGATAATGTTAAAATTTGGTAAAGATTATCTTATTTTGTGAATTTTCTGCATTTTGTTTTTCTTCTCATTTTATCTAGGCTTCATTTGTGTGATTATCAATATTCAGTGTTTATGGTGACATTTTAAGGCTATTTTTTAAAAAAATACATTACTAATGAAAAATGGGGTGTGATTTTATATAGATGTATAGAATTATTCAATTTGTATAGATGATTGAAATTATTGATGTTATAATTTATTTTCCAATGAGAAGTATTAAGAAATTGTATGGTCATAGGCTTGACATTTCTAAAAGCTCGTGTCATTTCTTGGCGATACAAGAGGGGTATGAGAATCCTTCCAATTGACATTTCACAATGGCCCACCGGTGATCATATCAAAACTCCTGCTCTCAACGTAAAGAATGAAGATGAAGCGGAGGAAGATCTGGAAGTTCCTGCCGAAATGGAAGATATTATTGAAGAATTAATGCAGGGCCTGAGAGATTCGGACATTACTGTTAGGTGATTATATTTTATTCTCAACTTTTAAGAAGATTAATCATTAAATGACTTTATTTTAAAAACATTACATATTGTTTACTGACGCGAGAACTGTCACATAAGATAGTTCTTCTCCCTAATGTATTTGGCTTATAAGCGACATTTCTCTCACTTATTAAGAGACTAAGGCAATACCTAGATATTTTTTTATTTATTTACAATGTCATGTTGTTTCTTTCTACATTATCTGAAGTACCTAAGGAGTCATAGAGCTATACTTCTCCATTTACCGTTTCAGTAAATTTTTAGTTTTTCATAAATATCAATATTTTTATTTTTAAAATCTCAATATGAAATAGATGTCCCAATGCAACCATAGCAATTAAAAGGCTTTCAGTAAAAATTATGGTTTATCTCGAAAATAGTACATTTCTACATACATGGTTTAGCTTGCTTTACATAGATACTTTAGCTTGCCCAACATTGTCATCAGTTTTCTATCCATCACATTTGGTCATCCTTTTTTAATCTCTCCTCAGTCTGTTCATCTATTTGGTTTGCACATAGATTGTTCAAGGCCTTCTATATTCCTAAACCATCATACTTATCAAAAGTTTTCTTATTCTTTATTGGCACACAAACCATTCCTAGGCCACACCCTCCATGATTACACTCTGCCAGTTGCCCAGATCCTGTGCCACAATCCACCAGTTCTAAAAGTCAAGCTGGATTCTAGAATCATGAGCTCCTCGATCCCTCCCTCCTTCCCACAGCAAAGTTATTTCCATTAAGTACATCTTCCATAGTCTTTCTAGACGGATGGAATAGACATTTTGTTCTTTTTATACCTCGTACAGCTCCAGGTTTGTTCATCTTCTCCATACTTGGTCAATGCGGACTCCTCCAAAAATAGATCATAATATCTTTCTCTGATTTATTAAGAGAGCTTGTTCATCTGATTTGGAAATAGTCCATGTCTCAGAACTATATGTTTATACTGTTTGTTTGAAAATTTTGAATAATTTTAGTTTTTGTATTTACTGGCTTTTACAACTGGGCTGTTGATATATTTTAACCGAAAAATACACTATAGATATTTAACATTGATGTCAAGAACTTGAAAGATTTTATATTTTTCAAGACTGAAAATTTTTATTTTGAAAGTTTTATCTGTTCAGTTGTTTAAAATTTAGATAGTTTCTTTGAATTAGGGGATGATGACAATTTGAAAATATTTTTACTGATATCTTTTTTTTTTTTTATAGATGGTCAGCAGCCAAAGGAATAGGACGAATTATGGGAAGGATGACCAAACAGCTTGCGGATGATGTAGTTGTCTGTGTTTTGGATCTTCTCAGCCCTCGGGAGAGTGATTGTGCTTGGCATGGAGGATGCCTTGCGTTAGCAGAACTCAGTAATATATTTTATTGCAACATTGTTTATATTTTAATAGGTTAATTAAACTCTAGATTATGTACTGGATGCATTAATTAGAAAAATTATGTGGATATGTCTTTAAAAACAGCATGAAATCTAAATGTACATTAGATAAAATTTTATAGTGATCAAGTATTTGATTATCACTTATATTTTATCATTTTCAATTTTTTAAAGCATTAATTTAGTAATACCATAGCAGTTTAGAATCATTTCCATTTATGAAACCAAAGAGATATATCAAAGGCATTATTTGTTCTACTATCTTTGGGTATTTGAAATGAGACAGGAAGGGCAGGGTTATCTTCCAAGCCTCTTATAGTTAAAGTCTGGAAGTCTGAATTTCTTATAAAGAAAAAAAGAAATCAACTGCCATAGCATGAATGTCTGGATATTTTGCCACTACAATCTCATAGTTATTATAATATTGTTGAAATACACTTTTTTTTTTCAAGTACTAGTAAATTTATTGTTGCCAATTGAATATATTTACCATTTTTTTCGCAGGTAAGCGAGGTCTTCTTTTACCTTCAAGACTTGAGGAAGTTATTCCACTGGTAAAAAAAGCACTCCTGTATGATGAACCATTAGGACATACATCTGTTGGAAGCCATATAAGGGATGCTGCCTGTTACCTTGCTTGGACATTTGCTAGAGCTTATGACACCCATGTTTTTGCTCCGTATGTGCCTGATATTGCAAATGCCCTTGTTGTTCTTACATGTTTTGATCGAGAGGTTCATTTCATTTTTAACATTAAATTTGTAATTTAGAATGTTTTAACAAAGTCATTCATGTGATTATTATTCTAGGTTAACATACGTAGGGCTGCTTCAGCAGCTTTTCAAGAGCACATTGGTAGGCAAGGCACTTTTCCTCACGGTATTGACATACTCACAGCTGCTGACTATTTTACTGTTGGGGTTAGAACCAATGCTTATTTAAACATAAGGTATATTATGTTTATTAATTTATGCTTTTGAGAAGGATTTTCGTAGCCCTTCAGTAATGATAAAAATTAAAAAAACCCTTAAAAATAAAAATTTAGTTTATTTGTTTTTCAGCTTTAGTTAAAATAATTTAGTAGTTATAAAATTGTTATTGTGATAGTAAATTATTATATTTATTTTCAGTGTTTATATAGCACAATTTAAGGAATACACTACTTCTCTCATTGATCATTTGGTTGATCGAAAAATTGAACATTGGGATATTGCCATAAGGGACCTTTCGGCAAAAGTACGAAATTTTACATTTAAAAAAATTTATCATTTATTTTTTACTATCTGACATTGTGCTCATTCTGTGGTGAATTATTCTAGGCTTTGCATAACATGACTAAACATGCCCCTCAGTACATGCTTGAAATTGTCTTGCCAACTTTGCTGCAGAAAACTAATTCTATAGATGCAAATGTCAGACATGGTTCAATTATTTCAATCGGAGAAATTGTTTATGCCCTTTCTCTAATTGATGAACTGTGTATAGGTATGTTTTTTAAAAACTATTTATTTCTTTATATGGAACATAGGCGAGAAACCTTTTAACATTAGGGACCGCAGTAAGGTTACGCTATGCTATTGTAGGCTGTAACAATTCGTTATATTTTACTGGCGCTATTTTCATTTATCACTAAATTCATGCACCCATATACATATTTTCTACTTAATTATATTAATTTACAATTTTTCCTATCTTAAATTATTAAATATTAATTAGTCCTTGCACCAGATTAATAAATATCATGCAAAAATCCTGGAGCTACAGCTATGTAGCAGAGGATGCATGTGGCCTATAGGCCACAGGTTCCCAACCTATGGTATATAGCCTTATTACTTAAATAGATTTGATATATACTTTTATAAACAGGCTTGGGATTTAAAAAAAACAATAAAAGAAGATTGGTGATTTATTCAAAGTTTCTATTATATTTCGGGTTACATAGAAGAGTAGTTACGGAAATAAAAATCATTATAATTCCTTATTTCCTTGTCTCTTTCTAGAGGTGTTGAGCGCAACATATACTTTTCTTATGCCATATTGCTTTTTCTTAAATATTTCTAATGTTTGAAAGAAAAATCTTTTTTTTATTCTCCCTTCCTCCATTGTATGTTTAGATTGTTGATTAAGATGATTAAGTTATTCAAATATAATCAGCCCGTAATTAATTTCTATCTAAAAACACAGCCCTAACAAACAGCAAATTCATCATTTTAATAATAATAATAATGTTTATGTGTACCCGTATTAATTAAAGTTTGCATTCATTCAGTAATATATCACTATATTATATATAAATATATAGCGTAACCTAGTAATAAATTTTGAAATTATCTTCAAAATCAAACTTTTGACTTTAATTTGTGTTCAAACGGAAGGACAAAATGCCTTTTTCTTGTCAGTGACTTTGTTAAAAGATTTTTGAACTGAAAACTGTATCTATTTCAAACTTTCAGGTTTTATTTTCCTTAAGAAATGTAGATCATGAAGTACTGACTGATTCCTGTTATGATTTTTATTTTATTTAGATAATCACTATCACTGTTAATGATATATGTTAATTTTGATTTGAAGGAAAAGAATTGGTGTGTGCTATAAATGAAATTGTTAAAAATGTGAAGAAAAAACACATGTTTAAAGGGATCAGCGGTGAGCTAATGAAAATAGCTTGTTGTCAGCTGATTGACAGATGTTCTTTGGCTAAGTTACCAGTTAATGATGATCAAGTTATCAGTAAGTAAATCAATTGTTTACCAATTTAATGTATATAATAGTGTATTTAGTTATGAATTTTATGAGTTACTTATTAATTAACTGCATAACCATATTAGTTTCTAACTGATAGAATTATTTTTTACCTCACCTTTCCTATATAAACCATTTCAAGTTTAAAATTGAAACAATTTGAATTATTTAATATCTTTAATGTAAAAGTTTTATCCAAGTTGTTAGATATTTAATTAATTTATTTTGAATTTAAAGTAACATGTGTTTTTTGTTAAATGCGTGTTACATAGCTGTTAAAAACTTAAAAGAGAAATATTTAATGAAAAAAAAGGCTTTTGATTCTTATATTGACTTGAAATGACTGATTTTTGCGGCAATCTGTTGATGGGCTGTTGGTTCTTAAGATTTATTTTTTCCTGAACTTTTACTTTGAGAAAAATTTATTCAAATTGATTGATGTTCAGAAGATAAAATCTTTACTTAACAGAAATATTCTTCCCATCCTATTAACCAACACTAAAGTTGTACCACTCATAATAATTCTTGTCTCACATAAAAACATACTTGCTAGCACATGGATATAACTGCTCTTGGTTATCAAGTGCTGAAAACTAGTGGTAAATTAAATACTATCTTGAAAAGTAAGACGTTTTGTAAGCATATTCATGAAGCACATTAACTAATGACCACAATTTATGATGGTTTCTGTGATGTATGATAATGTGTTTTAAATTTCTTCGTTACCTGTTTATCGTCTTAAAACACAATAGTATCCAGATTCTTTATATTTGTACATTTCAGGGATGATATGTCCTAGCATTGTTGAGTGAGTCCAACTTATAATACTATATGAATGAATTATGGCCAAGAAGGTTACTTAAATATAAAACAACCTTAAATCAAAGTGCCCAATAATTTTGCTGATGATATATACTGTAAAACATGGGACCTTGAAACTTTAGGGCTAGTATTACTCTAAAACTAGAATAAGTTCTTTGATACTATAAGAAAAGTGTGGTGAGAATTGGGAACGGCTTCACCAGGAATCTGGAAGAATAACTTCTATGAAACCAAAATTTGTTTCTAGAATTTGACAGCAAACAAATGATTCTAATATTTTAATATTAATTTAACAGTGATAAAAATTTATTTTCTATTTTTCTGGTTAAAATTATACGTCCTTCTTAATTTATTTGTTTCGGCTACCCTATCTTTTTTAGTTATGATAAACAATGATATTGCTAGATAGTTATGATGATCCATATAGAAATGTGATTCCATCCAGCGTTATTATGTTATTAAGGTTCTTCTGGACATATAGAAAACTATTCAAGTTATTTTAAATTAATAAATTCTATTTAGATTTATTTATATTTCTACTGATGTTGCAAATAATTTTTTATAAAACATGAAAATGTTTGATAAAATCAATTTTGCTCAGTTCATAACGTAACATTAACAGAAATATCAATCTAGAGCATTATTCCTCTCCCCCCTCCCCCAATCACAATAACAGTTGGCAAGGTGACCATTCACTCTCATACAAAATTGCCAAAAAAAGACTTTTGGTTATTTTTGAAAATTTATACTTTGAGAAGGACAAGATTTTCAAGATTGAAATTTCTTCAGGATGTAGTACACTGATGTATTATTTATATATTTATTAAATACAATGCCTCCAGTAATGATATTTTTTTAAATAGTAATTTTAATTATAATTCATCGATAACATTATTCGATAAATTGCTAATTTAATTCTGGTTTCATTATTCAAAACTACCTGAAGTATGTAAACCATTTAAAATGGTGTAAATAAAAAAGTAAAGCTTTTAGATATTGATACCTTACTAGAAGTACTATAAAGGCAGGTATAGATTTATACAAATTCTGAGTAAGGAATTACAACTTACTTTTTCTGATAAAAATAGTAAGTCTCAAGTGTATCCAAAAATTTAACCCTGTCGGTAGTTAGACCATTGCCATCTTAATTAGGGGATGCCTACAAGTTGAAACATACTAGCAAGAACATGTTAATTAATAATTTAATTTATTGAAGGAAGTTAGTCTACTGTTCTACATATCATGGGTGATGAATATTCAGGATGCAGTTCTTTTTTTTTTTGTGTACAGTACTTGAACACCCTCAGTGCTCAAACCATACCCTGAAAATGACCAACATGTTTGGGTTGAAACATTGGCATAAATAAATTTTTTAAAAAAGACTGCGTCCTGAATATTTATCACCCATGATAATTTAATTTAATAATATTTAGCTTATAGGAAGTACAATTTTGGTTATTATTTTACTTCTGAAATATTGAGTTTACTATTTTTTTTAAAGCTCTTTTTTATGTACACCAATTTGTGAAGTTTCACACTTCTGATTCTTTGTTTATTTTAATGGACGTTTTAGCCACGCTTTAGTGGTCGAGCTCTATTTACTTTAATAAACTATTTTACGTACTTTTTTTAAAAATATTTCTTGGTATCAAATAGTCAATACCAAGGATTAGAACTATTATAATAGCTTCATTGAAACATTTTATAAAAAAAGTTTTAGAAGTAAAAGTTCTAAGGAATTAAAAAAAAAAAAAAGTTATACAAAAACACATAAAAAAGTACAAGTAAAATGTAGTCAATTTCAAAACCTAAATTAAATGAATAGGTCAACAATAATTAAACACAATTAATATAATTGAATTGATATTTAACAATTTAAAAATATTAAGGTGTAAATAAAAATGAAAGTATTAGATTTGTCTTAGTAGAGATAACATTTGGGTTTTGTGTTCATTTGACAAACTTGACATTAATATTTGGCATACTATTACAATATTTAAAAAAATTACATCTTGATTTCTTAGTAAAGGTATTAATTTTTTTGTAAAACTTAATGTTTTAGTAAAATCTTATCTGATTTGAATTCCTCAATTTACCTTCCTTATTTCCTTTATATATATAAATATATATAGTATTTATCATTGTATCCTAAACCCGGTTCTATCCCAGGAAATTATTTTATTTATATTAATTTATTCCGAACAAACTATAATCCATTACCCGAGTTCTGCCAGATAAACTTTAGCATAGTTAAATGAGTCCCTAATAGATACATTAGGAAAATGGGTGGTAGAGGTCAGCGGAACAAGAAGGAATAGTGAAGTATTTACCAATTGGAATACCGAATGGTGGCAACTGTGTATAATGGTTCTTTGAAAATAATTTCAAAACTTTAAATAATCTAAGGGATTGAACAGTACCAACAGTTCTAAAATAAAAAATCAGGGTAGTGTGTGCATCATACAACTTTCACGTACCACACTTTTTTTTAAAAGCAGAAATAGGTATTTTCAGACAATGGCAAATTGAAGTATATAAGAAATGAGGTTTTTAAAAATATTTATTAATGGAAGGGTTGAATGAAGTGGTATAAGTCGCTTTCATAATAAATATTTAATTGATTATTTAGTGTGTTAAATTTATACTTTATTTTTTGACTTGAGCATCCTCAAAAAATAAATTAATGTTTTGAAGAATGATAAAGTTCATTAATTATGCCTTAAAATTTTCTGTTCCTCTTTTATATTTCATTTATGCCACTTTTAAAGTAAATGTATCAGTTGTGTATTAATACTTTTAAGTAAAAATACATACATATCTATGTTCTCCGTTAGCATTGAATTCGCCAAGAATTTTCTTCCAAGCCTTTTTTTTTTTGTATTTGAAACAGTATATGTATCTTTATTTTCTATAACATCAGCTTTTTTGAGAACTAGAGATGTAAGGATCTGTAACTCCTCTCCACAAAATCTTTTTCTTTTTCTATCACTTATCTATGTAATAACAATATAAAAAAAAGATAACAATAGTTTATTATGTATTTAAACAGTCCAGTTACCTCCTTTCTCCTTTACTTACTCGATGTTTAATTGATATTTTAACACATTGTTGCAATAATGTATAAGAAAAGAAGAAGAAGTTATATATCATTATCTGGCTCATATCGTACTAATTCTATGACGTGGATTGGAGAAAATAACGTTCTCAATAAAATTTTTCTTTTTTAGCTTTTAACCTACCTTTTAAATACTCAGAAAATAGTTTGAACCAAGAAGTTTCATTTTACTAGATTTTATTTAGGCATAATTTAAGAAGTATAATAATAGCAAAAATAATAATAATAACACGATAATTACCTTTTCTATCAGTTAAATATAAGTTGTAGTGAGTGGGGGACTAAAGGTGACTTTTGGGAATAATTAAGGGCCCTCTATGTCCCCTATAGTAGAAGATAAGTTGAAGGAGTGGACTCTGACTACCAGCATTTTAGGTACGATAAGGGCAATTGGAGTACAAGGGACGAATATGCATACCACCATTAGTCACAGAATAAAATTTATTTTTCTTCCTCTTTTTCTTCTGCAATAGAAATTTATTCAAAATTGTATCTTAACACAACGCTGTATTAGAGAGGCATAAAGGAAAAAATAGTGTCGAAAACCAAGTGATAATGAGTTTTATGGTAGATATGGATTAAAATATCTCAGAAACTAAAAATCAGACCTGCATACTGTAAGCGAGTGAAATTTTGAGCATTTCATCCTTTTTATAATGAGCTGTTGTTTATAATTTATATTTCATATAATTAATCTTGCCTTGTTGATGTTTTAAGTTTTTTCGTGTGGTCTAAAGCTCACACCTTAGTTTTTTTGTAATTAGACTATTGTTTTTATTTAAAAAAAAATAAAGTAATAATAATTTATGTTTTTCAGAATTAAAGTACCATAATTCCGCTTGTTAAACTATATCAATAAAAAACATAGAGTTACTAAAGAGTGATCTTTGAGGGCAACTCTTGATCAAGTTGGACTTGAATTGGATAGATGAAAATTTCCAAAAATTTAAAATACATAATTATTATTTTATTCTTAATTGATTTTCTATCACTATAAGATTTTTTAAAACATTGGTTCTTAATAGAAAATTAAAAAGTGGTACAAATGTCAGTATCGAATGTCATAAATGATTAAATGTCAGTTTATCCTAGCAGTGAAAATGATATATTGCTTTTATTTTTAAAATATTAGTTTTAAGGATAAAGAAAAATGATCTTTTTCTTCCAAATAAAAAATATTTTGAGATTTGAGTATGGAATTCGACTCCTTAAATATTGTCTCCTGCTTGTGATACTCCCTGTATTCATCTCACTTGAACTGGAAGAGTGATGAAAACTAAAAAAATTTCAATTTTTGGTTGACATTTTGGGCCAAAAAATATCCATATTTTTACAATAAAAAGGAGCTTATTTAAAGTACTGGATGTTTATTGTTCAAAAATTATATTTGTCTATTGTGATATGTATTAAGATGTTAGCTTCAAGAAAAAGGAAATTAAATTTTTGAAATAGATTATTTTTCCAGAAAAGATGTCAAACATAAAACAAATTTTTATGTTATTGGTTGTACATCAGGTGTTTGATTTAGGCTTAGTCTAGATTAAACAGAATATCAATGTGTCACCGCCATCAGGTGTGTTTATTTTAGGTGAGGCACTATCAGTGCTTGAAAGATAACAAGTTTAATTTAAATTAATTAAAGATAAGACTTGGCTTGGCATATGGCATCTTTTTCGCTCAATCAATTTTGCTGTAAAAGGTCAGTTTGATCATGTGTAGCCTGAAAGAATGCTGTTGTTGCATTCCAGCTTGCTTATGCTGTGGCCCCTGTGTTTGTATTATTCTGATTTTAATCGTCATTGCTGCAGTGACACTAATGGCTTTAATATTTGCCAAAGTTATTGTTATTTGATTCCCGCCAGCTGAAATATTCTCGTTTCAACAATGTTATGGATATTGTCAAGTCATTTTTACTGGATTACTTAAAACTCGATTTACTTTGATTTATTAATTTAATGTTTGTATTTCCACTTCCTTCTCATTCATTCTTATGCAACTATTCAAAATTATCAGGTATGTATTTATTGGCTTATTGTTAGATTTTTTGTTTTCCTGTGTATTAATTTTAATTAATTTGTAGACGACTGGCAAGAACTGGTTGATGAATGCCTCTGCCACGAGGTAGGCAGCATAAGAAATCACGCTGCAGTGGCTCTCCCTTCTCTCTGCTCACAGTACTACATGGTTGGCTGCCAACTTAACGTTGACAAATCTAATACAATCATACACAGTTATATTGACAAATTGAAAGCTAATGATGAAACTACAAGACTGGGGCATGCTTTAGCTTTAGGTAATAATTACCTCTTTACATTAAATACTTCCATTTTCACAAAATATTTTCAATTTTTATTCCTGTTATGAGAATTACATACAATTTCAATTACTAAACATGAACAATGTTTGTCATCACATTTACTTTTCAACTATTTAAGAAATAGTCTAATTATACTACCGATTTTCAAATCACTCCTACTGAGGGCTTAAAATTTTTATATTGGTTGGTCTTGCATTAAGCCACAGATTGATTCTTCTTTTATTAAGTATCAGAAAAATTTAAAATATCTGATAAAAAAAATATTTAATGATATTTTAATAAATAATATTAATGTTTTAGGTTCTTTACCCGCTGATATACTGAAAGGACATGTTGATATTATAATTGATAGTTTGATAGAATGTGCTACATATACTGATTCAACTGAAAAATGGGTTCAAAGTAGAAGGCAAGCAATTCTGTCTCTTAATTCTATCTGCTGCAAAGTTGGAATTAGCAGTCCAGGTAATTCAATTTTATTTATTTTTTTGTGTGTTCCTTTAAATTTTGAGAATGCAATTTTAGAATTAAACTTTTGGTAAAAAAATTGTTACAGTTTATATTAGAATCTAAATAGGAAAACTGCTCAGATTGCATTTGATAATTTTTGGGAGACACTATATTGGGAATGAATAAATTTTCTAGGTGAATGTAGAATGGTGCTAATCATTCTCCATATCATTGATTAGTTATTAGATATTATTTGAAATTTCAAGTTCATGTTCATCTTATAATTTTGTGAAACAGCAAGGCTGCAATAATGTTATGAGCTATAAAATTAATCACAGACTTTGTAGATTAGAGCTAGTCAGTTATATCATAGTTTAAAAAATATTGTAATCAATACTCGCTGACATCTTTTACTGTAGAAAATAAATAAATCATTTAGCATTCAGCAACATTAAATTTATTATTCTTGTTATTATCATTAAAGTTCTATTTCATTGTATTAATGTTTTCATTTTAGATCAAAAGATATCCTGTCAAACACACTTGTTAAAAATACTTTCATGTATGGTTGAAGGATTACTTGATTATACCAGAGACGATACAGGTGACACCGGAGCTTGGGTTAGGGAGTCTTCCATGACGGGAATTGAGGTAGAAATGCTTTTACATTATTTTTTTCATTAATGTTATAACATATCTCGAGATGGCACTTTTTCTATTACATAAAATTAGATACTTTTCATTGAATTACTTAGATAAGCTTCCTTAGTTACTGGTACTGCTGACAGTGATAGATATTAATCTCCTTATCATTTTTCTCTTTTATTATCATTAGTTGAACGATATAAAAGTTTTAAACTAATATTCTGGTTATTTTGTCAGTCATATGACACAGTATTACAATCAAAACAAAACTATTGATGTTAAGGGCATTTGGTCTTTCCTTATCCCGAGGTGGGGAGAATTAGACCTTAATGCTAAATTGATCAGAACAGGTATTTATTAATGGATTCAGTAAATGAATCAAAATAAAGTTAACATAAATGTATTAAATTAATTGAAGGAAAAATGAAATAAAAGAAACATTATTCCTATTGGGATATAATATCCTATATTATTCCTGTTGATGGGGGTACCAAATTATATACATTTATGGTTAATGTGTTAGTATTAGAATTTAGTTGTGGTACTTATAAGACTGATGATGATGTAGGTTTTAGTTGTTGTACTTATAAGACCGATGATGATGTAGGTGCTGTTTGTGCAGATACACGAATCTTAGAGTTTCCAATCAAGGGTCTACTTCCGGAGTATATTTTGATACACTAATATGTGCCTCTTCCCAAGCCACTTTCTGGTCTTTTAGCGTAATTAGAAATACTAGCTGTATGCTAGTTCGTATGAATTTTCTAATATGATCATATTAGAAAAATGATCATTGATCAAGAAAAATAGTCTGGTTAAACTTTTCCTTATTATACCATGCATTTCAATAAAAAACCAAAGCAATAAATTCTTTTCAAAAGTTTTGTATTATTTCTAAAAAAAAAAAAAAGATCATTCTACATTGATCATATTTTTCTATGATCATCACATAAAAATATGAGACTATTTTTCTTGTCTCTACTGTACCTTGACCAGCCTGTTCTAGGCCCTAGATAAGACTCTGGTGCTGCTATTGTGGTCTTTAGACGCTCTTAAAAATTATAGTCTAATGTGCTCTTAACAATTGATAATTAACCCAATATTTTAATTTAATGTTGAAAATGAAACAATCTAAAACTTGTTTACACCTTCTTAAAAAAATTTAAAAACAGTCTATTTATACAATATTTCTTTAGTTTAGTTGGGACATTTTTACAAATTCCAGCTTTGACCATTCATGAATGTTACCTGTATGTGATTGAAATAATAATTTTCTTTTTGTAATGGTAGTCGTTAATGCAACTTGGAGCAAAAGAAGCACCTGACTTGCTGACTGAAAACATTGTTGAACGTGCTTTGACCAGAATCACACAGCAAGCAGTAGAAAGAATTGATAGAACTAGAGGAATTGCAGGCAATGTGTTTTCTACACTTTTACACAGGTAAATATTATTTCTTTTTTGCTTGTCAACATTAGACAACTATTAGAATCTGTTTAGTTGTTGTATTGTATTATATTTATTATGATCTTATCTCAAAAATAGCGTTTAAATATTTAAATTTGAAGTATCTTTATGGATTACATATGTTTTATTATTATTGAGGTTGCTTATTTTGTGTTTTATTAAACAAATGGAAGTGTTGTTCAATAAGATTATATTAGTTACTGATATCCAATAAAAGATGATGCTTAAAATTAACACATAAAAAAGACCGTCATCAAATGGAAGAGGTTAAAAAAAAAACCTGTACCCTCTTAATAAAGGCTGGGCATGCCCCAGAAGAATCTCCTGACTCCAGGGTCAATCCACGGCTGATGAAAAATTACTAGTCATCAGCCGGATTCAAACATGGCACCTTGAGCTCTGGAAGTCAGTTCTCACCCACTAAGCTACAGGGAAGAGGTTTATGTGATGGAAAAAAGTGGAATACTTTTCATTCCGTCCCTTCTTGAAGTGAACTTACTAATGTAAGTTGGACGAAGTACCTCAGTAATTTAAAGAGTTTGAAGATTGAAGGATTCATGGTATGGATATGTTGTCTGATATGAGGAAGGACCTACTTCTTGCATAGTAGCCGTATCTCTTCTGGTCCTGAGGAGTGCACATAAAGTGCCGCAACTCTATCTTTTAATGGGCTCTTAAGATGAAATTTTTAAAAAAGTAGTATATTGTTTAAATTCATTATTTTAGTTTATTATTTTCAATTATGAACCATTGTAATCAACCAAAAAATTCAAAAACTTGACCCCCTCCCTCAAAATTTGAGATTTTACATTTCAGGATAGGTAGACCTTGAAAAACAAATGAAAATAATTTTGTTTTTTTCACTCATATATTCACCTATTATTATTACTTCTTTTTTTTGCAGTAATCCTCAAATCCCATATATTCCAATGCGAGAAGAATTGGTTTTGGTTTTTCCAGAGGAAGCATGTAAAAATGAAATAAATTGGTTATCTGGTCTAGAAACATTCCCTAGGTTTACTCAACTGCTATCACTTGAAAGTTATACTAAGCCTATCCTAACAGGATTGATTGTTTCTGTAGGAGGGATTACAGAAAGTTTGGTTAGTACCTTCATTTATCTCTTTTATAGTTTATTACAGTATATATAAGCATTTTGTGCATGAGTTTATAGCAAATATTTGAGAACAACCTTTATTTTTCCTTTTTTTTTTAAAGAAAATTTGTTTATTATTTTAAAACCAGTGTATTTTTTTGCCAGATTAAATGATCTCTAGCTATGGAACTTTTTGACATTGGTGTAATTTTTTTTAATGGTTTCCACCCAAAGTTTTTTTTTGTTTTTCAAATTACTTCTTGCCCAGAGTGACAAATTAAGACATTTGGGTTTTCTTGCACCAAGCGAAAGATGAAAATGTACTACTGATTCTAATTTTTTGGTTTTTCTTATTAGTATAATAAAAAAAAAACTATTTCTTTTCAATGTGTGGAATAAAAATAAAATAAATTATCATTTATTCTTAGAATATATATTTTTAATGTCAGCTTTAATGATTGATAAATAGCTTTTGATAAATAAATTGTATATGTATTTGTAATTGAGTTATAATACTGCTGATAAACTCCCGCATTATTTGTTGATTTAAAAAAAATAAATAATTCTTATAATAATACTGCTTTCTCAGAAATCTTATCTGAAGCACTTCTCAAAGTTATATCTAAAAATAAAAATATTTTTAAAAATTCGGAGAAGTGTAATGTAAGAGAAAATTCATACTCTAATTTTCTAAAATTATAAAAATAGTGTTTTCCAATTTTCTAAAATTAGATAAAATTTACATTATATTATTTTTGAAATTTTATTGCGAGGTGAAAAATTTGTACCAAAAAATATGCAAGAACACTTATTATAAGTCTGTGGTTTAAAAAATTTTATTAAAATCTGTGAAATAATACAAAACTTTTGAAAAGAATTCATTGCTTTGGTTTTTTATTGAAATGCATTGTATAATAAGGATATGTTTCACCAAATGAGCAGAATTGTACTTTGAGACAATAAATAGTTTGAGGAGCACATTTTGTTTAAAAAAAAATCTTAATTTTTTTTTTAGTTAATACCAAAGAGGCAATTGTTTTGTTTCTTGACCCCCAAGGAAAATTCTACTTTGTTTTTATTTAATGAATAGTTTAGCTGAAAGTTTAGTTTTATTTGTTTAAATTAATGATAATATTAAAACTAATACAATGATGATACAGCCAATACAATGATAATGCAACCAATAAATGTGTTGTATTGTATCAATTTTAAATTAAAATTAGAATTATATGAGAAGGAGTTAGTCGGAGGTGCGGTCAGATAAATACTAAATTAAAATATAGTAAATATTTTATTTTAATTTTGCCGACGTTTTGACCCACTTTGCAGGTCGTCTTCAGGGTGTAGGATGCAGCACTGCGGGAGGCAGTTGAAACACTCAACAGTGTTGAAACAACTCAGCAGTGTTTCAACTGCCTCCCGCAGTGCTACATCCTACGCCCTGAAGACGACCTGCAAAGTGGGTCGAAACGTCGGCAAAATTAAAATAAAATAATTACTATATTTTAATTTAGTATTTATCTGACCGCACCCCCAACTAACTCCTTCTCATATTATATCAACTGTCAACCATCTCTACATCATTAAAAATTAGATTAAATTTTTCTTTTCAAATGAATCACCTGAAATAGTATTAATTTTGAGTAGTCATGTTGTTCCAACAAACGATTTTCCTTGTAACAGAGATAAGGGTTAATATTTCATTTTCTAAGAAAATATCTCTACAAAAAAAATGTTTGCCAAGTAACGTAAGTATAGCTTTCTCGCTTTTTTCATTGGCTAAAAATATCTATATTACAAGGTCTATAATTTTTCGTATAAGAAAACAATCTCTGAAAGAAGGTGTTTTTGGAAATTCAGTAATCCCTCAACATATAGAACATAAAATGGAAAATTGTTATATAGGGTCTTTTGCACTAATATTAGCAATGTATACTTGAAAGGTATGTTTTCACTAGTAAAATGGATAGAACAAAAAATCCATAGGAAAAATTCAACTTTTTGTTTGTTCGGAGTTAATGAGACTAATCGAGCTAATGAGATCAATACTTTTCTTCACTCAAAACAAACCTAATTATGCTGGAATATAAAAATATATGTGAAGTTCCCACAACTTTGATATTTAAGGAGATAATCGAGACCACGACGAGCTGATTGAACTTCAATATAAATAAATACTATCATAAATAAGGCTCTTTTTTTATGAACTCAGAGTAACAATTAATTTAAATTAATGGAAAATTAAACGAAATCTAAGTAACGGTAGTAAGTGTCTTTCCAGTAACATTTGTAATCGACCTAACATTACAATATAAATTAACTTTTTGAATAAAACCTAAAATTTTATAACCTCATAGAAATATTGTATTAACTTAACTCCCACTCCATATGATAAATGCCTTCCACATTTCACAACCATTATATTGTTAACAATTATTTATATTAATTTTAATTATTAAATGGAATTCATGAAATTAATATTAGGTAATTTCTATACTATTGTCCAAATTTCGTCCAAGTTTGGATCAAATCGACTATAGAAGTGTCAAATAATACATTTTCTGATCTGAAAGTAAGAGTATTTTTTTGGAAATTATGGATAGAATTTGGTAAAATCGATACATACTTGATTGTCTGTTTACCAATCCCTAACTTCATTCCAAATTTCAACCAAAGGAAAACAAGTTTGCACATATATATATATATAGGAGAAAGTAGAGTACAGAATTGAATAAAATTTATACTACATTATTTTTTTATTAATATCTACCTTCTTTCCAACTTTGAGCAAAATTGAATGAGCCGTTTCTGAAATACTAGCATATCCAATTAAATACATTTATGCCTGTGCAAGCGGAAGTGCTGGATGGATTTTGATCAAATTGATATGGGACCATCTAGACGCCAACCTACCCAATCTCTGAAATTTCATGAAAATTTTATAAATAGTAGTAGGTGATATGCTTGTTACATCAATTTGACTACAGACAGACGCTGATCTGATCTCTAAAACTTAAAATGCTAGTGAAAATTTTTGATTCTGAGCTCAAAATTTTTTTTAACCTCTCCCAGGAATACAAAACTTTCCTACCTTCGGTAGTGAGTTAACAAAGAAAAAAAAAATGATGAGATTTCTATCATGTATAGATATTTTAATTTACATTACAACAATTTTAGTTCAATTGCTTTATTTCAAAGAAAAGGTTGCATTTTTTTTATCCAATCTTTTGGTTATTAAAAAAAAAGCTTTTAGACCTTAGTATATTTGTAATGGTTTTCACATAATTGAAGTACATAATAATCTATCAATAAACTCTCCATTTTATCTCTGTATACCTACTTCAAACTCTTAGAAGCCTGAAGTGTTTTTCTATTTAATAATTTCATTCTTGGAAACATGTTTATAAATGTTGCGTTTGTACATTATATTGACAAATATTGATATCAAACAGTTGTGTACAATGATTTTGAGGTCCATTTTTTGTTTTTGATGCTAATTTGAAATTATCTTAAAGTTATGTTAATCATTCAGGATTTGTTGGCTGAAAAAGATTTTTAAAAAATATAGTAACAAATCATTATTTAAATTATTGCATAATTGATTTGATAAAAAAATTAAACAATATTGCAATAATAAAAATTAATTTTACACTGATAGTAATATATATATATGTTTTCTACAAATTAGTTTTTAAACTAACTACTTAAATAAAACTGTGTTTAAGTAATTTTTTTGTGTCCTATTAAAAAAAAAAAAATTAATTACATGAAAAATAATACTTATAGAGATATTTTTAAATATTTTTTTTTTTAAGACATGGTCATATTTAGTAGCAGTATATGCATTATAATTTAAAAACAGAACATATTGTGATTTTTTAACTCTTTAGCTTAGATTACTTAGATAACTCGTAGTAATAAATATGGGCCAATGAAAAAACAAAACAATTTTTCCGTTTTGAGGGACTTAAACCTGAAAGCTTCCCTCTCTGCCCTCCCATAGATGCTCCAGTGGCACTTGGTGTATTAAGTTAGGAAAGGAGAATTATTTGCAGGTTGTAAACCTATTTCATCCATAAGTGAGGTCAAGTTAACTTATTTTGATTTCCCTCCATGGTGACTTATTGCCTGTCTGGATAAATCCTGGTTTCGGCTTAAGGTTTTGAGCATGGCTTCCAATTTACTCTGCTTTGCACCTCTAAATTAGCTTTTATTAACATACTGTTAGAGTGATAACCATCTTAATTTTTCCACCAGGGTGTTCACTGGTGTTTTGAATTAAAAAGGAGGTTTGAAGGCACTCTTTCAGAGAAGCCTAGTTTTGATATTCTTTGAAAACAAAATCTAATTAATCGTCATTATGAATGTATCTGTTGTAGTTGCTAAAACTGTTGTTTCTAGTAATCAGATCAGAATGACTACACACTTCTTCATTATCCATTCATACCTTACTGATTGACATTTCAAAGTAAATCAAAATAATGCATGTTCATCCCTCTTTTCTCAGTCTGCTGGTGTTCCGTAAGGGAGCATCCTTAGTCTTATCCTTTATACAGTTTATACAGCTGATATCCCAACACAGTCATCAGCACCTATGTAGATGACACTTGTATCCTATCTGTTAATAATGACCCTTCAATTGCATCCCAAACCCTCCAATCACATATCACAAACCTTGAAGAATGGTGTCATAACTGGAGAATAAAAATAAATTCCAATAAATCCCATGAAATTACCTTTACCTTTTGTTGTAAACCTACAACTTCTTGTATCCTTCAATGATATTCCACTTGTTCCTGTTGAAAAAATCCACTACCTAGGATTCCACTTGGATAAACGTCTCACTTGGAATTAGCATACTAGACTGAAACGACAAGAAACTGCTCGACGTTTCCGACTGCTCCAACACTTACTAGACAAACGCTCTAAACTTTCAATTAATAACAAAAGGCTCATCTACTTAACCATAATAAGACCTCTATGGACTTACGGAGTTGAGCTTTGAGGCTTTACCAAATCATCGAATTCCTATCGTATCCAACCCTTACAATCCAAAATCCTTAATACCCCATATTTTGTCACAGATAAAACCATTCATAAAGACCTTAATGTCCCATATGTCGCTGATTTAGCCCGAGCCAGATACCTATCCTTTCATGATAAACTCCAGTCCCATCCGAATCCACTTGTTTCCAGCCTTGCTTCTTCCTCGATTCCTGATAATCCCCCTACACGTCTGAAAAGAAGATGGCCTCATGATCTTCTCACCTAGAATTAAATGGGGAATGCTACCACTGGGCAGTATCTCTTCAAGTCAGTTCATGTCATGATTTCAAATGTGTGCATTTTTACTTGTTGTATTGTTTGTACAGTTGTAAATTTCATTAAATAAATAATAATAATAATAAAGATCAGAATGATTCACTCATCATTAAGAAATTGCTCTTTTCATGATTTAAGTAAATGGAAATATCCTCAAGAGCCGAAGATGGATTCGCTAAAGAGAGGTTCTGCTTTACATCTACCATTTAATAAAAAATACTGCTGACCAAGAAGCGGGGATGTGTTAAGATTGTTTACTGAATACGTGATCATAAAGAAATGAAAATGATGATTCACTCTTTTTCTCTCAACAGCCATCATACTTTTTCTCAGGAGAGCTAATGCTCTTTTAATCCAATCATCCATAGACCTCTAATCACTTATTATGTCACTGTTCCAGATAGCTGTTATCAATAAGCCCTTAAAATTTCACAACTTGTCATGATTAATGCTTGCTAAAATCATTGCCAGCAAATGGCTAACTATTCCTTGTAAAATGGGCCATAATCAACCTTCTCCAATTACTAATAAATTTTCAATGTTGAATCATAATACAAATTTGGATGACTTTTTATTATCAAACTAATAATAATTTGAGATGCTGTTTTGCTTAAGGTTTAATTTTTCCATTAGATAGTTCTAACCAAAATATATTTCATTTGAACATATTTCTAACAAAAATATATTTCATTTGAACATGGTTCTAACAAAAATATATTTCATTTGAACATAACGAATAAATTATGAACTTTTATCATTAATTGAACTATAAATTATGATCTGTCCCACAGGTTACTGCTTCTAGCAACTGTTTGTTTGACTATCTTAGAGGTCAGAATTCTAATGAACTTCATAGGATCTGTGATACAATAGCTTTCATCTATGATACAAATTTACAAAATGATAGGATAATATTACCAATGCTAAGCTTTCTTGACAAGCTTCTTGGATCAGGTATGGTATTTTGTCTTATTTGGTTTTGACATAAAAAATACTCGGTTGTTTTAAAAATATAGATGAATAAGACAGGGAATAGTGAAAGTTGATATTGAGATTCATTATGTTCTTGATCCAACTGTAAAAACAGATTTCTATTAGTATCTTTTTAAAGCATGATCATTCTTTACATTTAATCTCTCTACTCGTACATTATTTTTCTTTATAATAATAAGATATAATTTAAGACGTTTTAGTTGTTGTAATATTAATAATGTTATTACATGCATAGCATTGACATACTGTTCCTTAACTCAAAAACATTACGTTTCAAAAAAATTAATTATCCATTTTGTTTTTTTAATTGTTGTCTATATCTAAAGATCTCTTTTAATGAAACTTTTGGAATATACTGCTGCTACTTTGGAGTCATGAAGAATGTAAGGAGTTTGTACACCCTATATTGGTTTTGCACACTTGGTCCATTAGAATTTCTCACCTTTAATTTCTAAATAATCTTGAGCCCTTAGCCTAATTTTATTACTTAATTGCAGTAAAATATTTATCTACCTTTAAAAGTTTTTTAGATTTAATATTTCAAGTTTTTCTTAAGCGTTTGTTGATGCATTAAATCAGAATATATACTTTCCTTTAAGGTTATATTTAATTAGGATGAATAATAGATAATGTGTGCTTATTACATTTTATTATTTTCTGATTATTTATAAAGTTACTATTTTCATTTTTTCAGGCACAATCAATCAAGTACTCAAAGATCCTAATTCCAAATTTGCTCTACAGATTTTCAACTTGACTAGGTCAGCATTGACTGGCACTCTTGATAAATTTAAACTGCTGAGGTCTGTGGATGTGTATTGTCAACTAATACAGGTATACTGCGTTATTAATTCAGCTATTGGTTTAAAATTAAGTTTTAAATGATTTACAAGAGAAGATTTAACTTGTATTAAATCACATTGGCCCATAATCTAATCACTGTCATCATTAAGTCTTAGTTATGGAGTATAACATTTTGAATAGTAAACAGCATAGTTTTTTTTAACACCAAATATATTGACTAATTCCAATTATTTGTTGGAAGTTTTGCTTTTCTGGTTCCAGTTGAAAAATATAGAAGCCCAAGGTGATTATAATGATAGTCGTTTATAAGTATAAATGATTAATTTGCTCACAAAGAGACATAAGGTACTGAGGATATAAATGGAAATTCTTATGCTTTGAACCTTCGGTCTCTTACTAACAGGTGAACAGATAACTGAGAATGTGAGTTAACTGTTCTTCTGTATGCCAGAGGCTCAAGGTTTAATAGTTGCAATTTTCTATTTTTATCATGGTACTTATAATATTTTAGCAATAATAATCAATTATAATAATGCATCATCTTTATTATTACATTTAAAAGTTCATTCATTTTTATAAACTTGTATAAATTACTGGATATTTATTTATTAACTTTAACAGAATATCATTTTCATAATAATTAAGTTAAATTTCTTGAAGTAGATTTTCAAATGTTTGTAAATAATTTAATGTGTTCTAATATTTTGTATTTCAATACTAAGAATATTTTTTGTTAATGCTGCATTCTTATTTTTATTTCCCAGTTTGTTTATTATATAACATCTGTTATCTATATATATTGATCTTCCATATAATTGATATGTTTAGGTTGATGGTGCAGTATGCAAGAAGGCGCTCGGACGGCTCATGATCTTGCTTTGCCATAGGTTTGGTTGGCTGAGGAAAGCAACAGCAACAAAGTTATACGAATCCCTTATGTTGTATCCTGATATCCCAGGATTATCTGAAGAATCTTTGGATTCTATCCTTTCATTACTTTCGGAAGCTGAATGGACAACTATAGATATCTCTCGCCCTGTTAGGAATAAAATAGCAGAATTATTAGGAATCAAACCTCCTGTCCCAGTCCCAAGTGTCTAAGATACCTCAATTGTTGTTGGACCATGTATAAAATAGTTGTATATTTTATTTTCAATCAGAATAAAAATAGCTAATCTGTTACTTTTTATATTTTTTATAAATATTTTAGCTCCTGTGCTAGGCATTTTTCATAAAACTTATTATGTTTTATTATTTAAAATGTATAAGAATTAGTTTTTTCCAGCACTGGTCTTATTATGACTAATACTTTCAAGTCTAACTATATTAGTTATAGTTTTTTATTTTATGAATTAGGTAGACTACAAATAACTGCTTTAAAACTATTAACAACCTTTCTCTAATGTAGAAAATGATTTTAGTCAAATTTTATTTTATCTATAAAGCATTTTATCGTCATGCAGACAGAACATCTGATGTGCATATTATGCAAACATCTTTTGTGAGTTATACATTGTTTTCCCTCTTCAAATATACCTAAAATAGTTAAATTTCAGTTATCTATTCAAAATATCTATTGCAAAGCATAGGTAAAATCAAGCAAAATACCAAGTAATTAAATGTTAGGTTATTTTTTAGTTAGTATCTAAATATTTAAACCCCACTAATGTATTCTTCTCTACTCAAGCATGTTTGATTGGTTAGTAAGGCAATGCATATTGCTATTAGTTGATGTATTTATTTTTTAGCACTCTGAGGGGAAATTGTACCAATTGTATAGTGATAATAAGCCTTATAAATTGTATTATGAATAAAAAACAAAAGTAAAATCATAATCAAGAAGAATAACAAGAAAAACAAATATATAATTATATACTATATAAATACCTATTTTTTAAAATAATTTTTGTTGTTTCGTTCTAAATGTTACGTTCTATTCCTTTTCTGATTCCGGTTGTTTAAGTTGGGTAGAATTATTTTTAATTTGATGCTCAATTATAATTGTTCTTAATTTAGTAATTATTTTAGGTTTCACAAATGTTAAATTAATTTTTCATTTTCACTTCCCTATGTATGAAATATATTGTAAGGGAAAGTATTGCGATCGTCAAAATTTTTGAACCTGAGTTTTCCATGGAATTATATGTTTTGAGGTGCCCTGAGTCCAAATAAGCAAGTCCCACAAAATGGTCTGTGTGTGTGTACAGTCTAGATCAAATACGAAAAGCCACACAATTATGTATTTAAGATAGGTAAATGTCTGGGATGTTACAGCAATATATATCATAGACTTAATTAAACTCAACGTATTAATGTATAATTAAATGGTCATTAATATCAGGTAGGTCCTATCCCCATTGATGGTGCTTAATACGGCTTAAATGCCCAATTTTCAAAATTTGTTCCTCAATTATCTTTAATTTAGTTCATTTGAAATAATTAGCTATCCCTCATTAGTAGCAGTAATAAATAAAGGCTAAATGTAAACTATAAGAGAATTTGATAATTGACTAAAGGAGAAAAAAAGTAAAACGTTTAGGTCGAATATCAATTTCCGGAAATAATAAACAGAAGGTATACACATAATATGTCCTTGGAAAGCTGAGAGTTTTAGAAAAAACAAAGTCATAGAAAGTAATGGGGAGTGATGACAAAATTATAAAAAATAATTTCTGAAATATCTCCAAGAAAATTAAATGAAATTTCTTAACTAAATGTTAACTTTTAAAATTATTTGTAAGTTTGAAAATTGTATCAAATCCACCAAATCAAGGTAATGAAATTGTTAAAAAACTATTTCATTGAATTTGTGTGAGAGAAGTAAAATTTAAAAATATTTCATGGATGTGTAAAATATCTGTTTAATAACTCTAGATTTGATATAATTTATAAATAATTAGGTATCTATTGCCCATTTATTCCAAAAAAAAGCATGTTTTTTAGAACATAATCTTTTAGAAAATTAAATTAGTGAATAATTTGATGAATTTTCTCCCTGTGAAATCACAACATTATCCACTGACAATTAGTGTGACAACTTTTGACCTATGTGGTAGGTAATGCAATAAATCTCGTAACTCCAATTTAGTAAATTTTACAATGGAAAATAAGAGTTTAATAAATTATAGTCATACAATCCATAATCATTTATAGGTTAAATATTCAGATGTACTTTCAAATCTCTCTAAGCATATGTATATAGATCAGAGACTGGAGTTTGTGGTTTACAAAAACAGATGGAGTTACAAGATTTTTATTGCCTATTGCCGATATAATGAATAGGGTTTGTTTTATATTGTCCTTAATGCGTTGTTACAGGTTAGGTGTAAGGTTTAAGATTTAGCTCCGTTAGAAATGCGCCTCAAAAACTTTATAATAGCCAACATACACAGAAAATAATTTCTATTCAAAGTATAGCGGTAAGTGAAAGTAGTGCGATGGCTGCACTAAATTTTTTAAATTAATTTGCTTAAATATTCTTTAAGAATATAATATTTTTGTGGCAACTCAATCATATCTTTGTTGCCTGAAATATGCTGTGCAATACTAAAAAAAAACAAATAATCGAACAGTGCTGATATTTTTCTTCAAATATTTTCTTAATTCTCTAAATATTGAACTGAGTAGATCTAAGGAAGTGAACAACTGGGGAAAAAGACATGAATAGTAAATATGGATTGTGGATATTGCTTTCTGTTGTCTCCATTACTAACTGTTGCCTACATGACTAATTTTTTTTTTTTTTACTAACTGTGTTGATCTTACATTGTTTCTATCTCATTCGATAGGCCTCTTTACAGACTGTACTTTTGTTTGTAAATAATAAGATTTGAAATTTCCCATCATTGGATTTCTATGAAGAAAAGATTTGAGTATTCAAATATATTAGAGCTGAGAGCTTTATTTTTTTATTTTACCACTCCTAAATAAATGAATTGCCTTCACTTGCCTATCTGAATTATACAATTTTTTAATTTTCTATTAAGACAGTAATCTTATTTCTTTCTTCAAATGTGACCATATCACATGTTTGAACACAGATTTTAGTAGAAAACTTAATAATTTCAATAACCATTTTACTAAAAAGTTTGAATTATTTTAATAAATAACAGTTTTGAAAAAATATTGTTATTTAAATAATTTTTGTTTGATAAGTAATCATTTAATAATTCCATTGATCAGCTCAAAATCTTTTTAATATTAAAACTATTATAAAAATCAAACTATATTCAAAGAAGTTTGGTTTAATTTATGTGACTAACATTTTTGTTTTGCAAAACTTATTTTTAAATGTATGTTTAGTTTTTCTCTTCCTCCATGATGCATTGAGGTTTAGCCTTGGTCCATCTTCACCATTTGTTGTAATCGTTCGCCATATCCCTCATTTTTGTCAGAGAGCAGCCTCTTATTACCCTGAGACTGGTGATTTAATTCCTATTCATCTGTACTGATATCTTAGTTGTGTACAAAGCAATCAATTAGAGTTCTCACATTCCACTCCTGAGCTTCAAATGTAATTTTGTGTATAGTCTTATGATTATAATGAAAGTTTTATATTACCATTTTATTCTGAATACAAAATTCTGTAAGCCTGTTTCCACCATTGCTTCTTTTAGCTTGTTGTCTCCATAATTCCAAGATTTCATTAGAAGTATTAATTTTCAGTCCAGTCATTTTAGTCTCCCATGATAGATAATTTCCTGTTCTTAAATGACCTATTATCCCCTGAGAGACTTCTTAGAATAGGTCCTTATCATTGGTTGGGTAATCATAACTTGGCATTGATCCCTTATCTCTAGTGGCGAACTTTAAGTCAGTTATGATTCTGGGACTCGCTGCATCCACACTTTTGCCTCTTGTGAAAATTTCAGTTTTCTTCACCAGTGTTAACCTTTCTCTGGCTCTATTTTCATATACACCACTCTATTATAGTTTTATTACACTCATATTATTGCATATTCAATTTAATTTTGTATTTATTTCCATATTTTATTCAGAATCATAGCATTTTATGTTAGCTTTTATTTTTTTAAACCTCCAGTGAATCCAAGATTTAAGACGAGTTTCTACCCTACTAAGTGCTTTCCCTAAATAGTACTGAGTCCAAGACCCTTCATGGGTTGTAGTGGTACAATTTTCTAGTCTACTAATCTGAGAAATCCAAGCAAATTTATTGTATTTGTTTCTTTCATAACTTCAATCTTTACATTCGTTGGATTACTTTAATATTTATATTCTACAAAACAATAAGTATGAAGCAATAAATATAATATAATTATGATTGAATTGCATTATTATTCAACTAAATTCCATTTTATCATTTTTAACTATTTATAACGAACTTTCATCTGTAATTAATATTTTTTTAACCCTGACTTCATAGTTATATACATTATTTTTTAGAAACAGATAGTTTTTATAAATTTGACATTTATATTTTACTCTGCATTTCCATTTAGCACTCTTGGGCTCTTCTAATTACACCTGTTAAGAGCAGTTGATTTGATTTATTTCAAGAAAATATAAGTATTAAGTTATTGGAAAATTGAAATTTTCCTGATTAATTTTATGTTTTTGAAAGGCTGTAGAGCTTTTTTTAACTCTCTGTGATACCTTTTTTTTTGTTGGGAGCCTCTAATGATAATTATTGTTGAGAAGGATTTATTTATTGTAGTTCACATATTTGGTTACAGCTGTTTTAGTTATTCCATTGATTCATAATTAAAGTAGTTGGCAAACTACTTAGTAGATTGCCTTGCTATCTAGAAATAGTAGAATATGTTTTCAAGTATTTTTATGTAATGTAATTTGAGTTGCATAGCTAAAATAAGTATATCTAGAGAAGACTGTAAAATATTTTTATTTTAGCTTATTAATGTACTAACATTAAATAGTAAATTTACTTTTTCTAAATGATGAATAATTTATATTTCTAAAAATATTAATATTGGAGCTTAAAATATTTTTATTTGTTCATAACTTTTTTTAATGACTTGTTATACATAACATAGAATTTCTAATCATAAATAAGTTCAAAAACTTATTCTAGTTTATAAAGAAATATATTTTTTTAATTTAGCTTTCATGTAAAAAATAAACAGATATTTATTTGAATTGTTATTGATTCATTCTTTCCTTATAGCCATTTTGAAGAACATTAATAGAAATCAGTGTTGATTTCATAATCATCAGAGAAACTGAAGCAATAAAAAAGTTTGTATGAAATTTTACAATAAACATATTATCAGCTAATTAATTATGTATATGATAATTAAAACTTGTATAATCAGCATGTACAGTCTTGTTTTTGACAATGGCGAAAATAGTTTTGCTGTTAATTTTATATTTTTCTCAAATTCTTTAATATCTTTCCCATTACAATTTCTAATCCTAATTAATACCTTATCTATTAAGTATCATTGGGGCATTCCTAAAGTTAAATTCATCACATTTAATTTATATATGAATCATCTTTTTTATAACCTTTTGTTAGTATATTATTGTCATTTTCAATATATTCTTAATATATATATGCTTATTCATCAACTTTATAAATTTTATTTCTTAAACCTTACTTGTGTGTTAAAAAACCTGATGTGCCTTTATTACATTAAATAATTTTAAACTACTTATGCTACATATGTTCATTTACACAATATGAATTGTCCCATAACTCCTTTTCCAAATTTCTCTTTCGAATATTTCATTTGTCTCTTTTTCATGTTGTGTTTTTTTATATATTATTATAATGTTCCTGATGAACTAGGTCCACAAAGAAACAAAGAACTAAGCTGCAGGACAAGCAAAAGAGATAAAGAAAAAAGAGATGAAGTAAGAAAACATTTATAAAATAAGTTAGTCAAAATGAGATAAGTATCCATTTATTAAAAATAAATGCAGCAAGCAATAAAATTATATTTTAATGACCACATGATTTTAAAAATAATGCTGTGTCATGTGAGCATTCTCATTTAATGCTTATTTTGATAGATTGTCAATAGAAAAATGATTTCTTGTAAAAAAACAAAATATTTGTATGTACATTATCAATTAAAATTTCATTATAGAACCAAAAATGTGATCTATTATATATATTATAGTTGAAAAAAAAAAATACACCTCCATTATTAAAATTCAATTAGAGATTTTTATTTACATCGTACTGAAGGTTTATTGAAAAAATTATTAAGTAACATCTCATAAAATTAAATCACTAAATACTTCTGATGAATTTTCCCTCTGTGAAATCAGAACTTGAAGCAGCTAATATAACTGTAGATTGATATATAAGGTTATGTCATTATGATGCACTGACTGTGCTTTGCATCAAATAAATATGTCGAAATTCACAAAAATGAACTTAATATTTTGGCTTAATCAGAATTTATTAAGTGATCTTTTATGGTATATGGAATATTAGACATTCTTTAAACTATTAATCTCAATAATTTGATGAGAATAGTATATTCCATTTATTATAAACTATTTTATCATAAATGTAATTAATTAGAAAAAAACTGCCTTCTGTACTATTTTTTTTTCCATTTAGTTCAGTTTGTGTTCTTCCACACTGTTTTTTTTTTTTATGAAGGCTTATATACATGAATAAAGTATCTTCCTGCTGTAATTGTTTGATCAGATCAGGACAAATGCAGTATTTCTTTGAAACTATTTAGCTTCATACTTTTTTTTTTTGAACGGACATCACAACAGATTAATAAGAGACATGGCCACGGCTGACTGAAAAGGCATTGGATGACAGATCTCCTTCCTTAAACTTAAGTAATTGAAGCAAGTCAGGGAAGAGGTGCTGCTGAGTACTTTCCTTCCCCACACCTGACATGTCTTTTATATCTTGTATCTAGAGCACATTTGCTGATTGCTGGCAGCCCCCAAAAAAAATGTCTCCTAATAAAATTAATTAATATTTTCCATTATGAATCTGTTACATGTCGGAGATATGAGATAACTTTCAAAATAGCCTTTATAGCTTATAAAATAGATTTTCTACTTGAGTAACTTTAAGGAAAAGTTTTTTTTTATTTTTAAAATTTAACCAATAATGAAAACTGACCATCTTAAAAATAAGTTTGTATGGTCAGGAAGAATCAGTACTAAAAAGAAGAATGAGGCTAACAATTTTATTTAATAGTTTACATTTTCTCAACAGGTTAACTCACTGTTTATCAGGTTTATTAACAATAGCCACGATAAGCCTTTGCTTCTTACGTATCTTGTTCTTTTTGGATTACATGAGGCCTTTAATTCCAATGATAAATTATCTTATCTCAGAATCATCTTACTATGATTTAATCATTTTGTTTTTTTAACCAGCAACCACTACACCATGAACTTTAGTCTATGGAGGTTGATAAAAGCTCAGAATTAATGTTTTAATTATAACAAAAAATTTAATTCAATAACCACAAACTCAAATCATACTTACAGAAATTTTACAGTTTGAAAAATACAAAAATATAATATTTACAGTTCGGTAGATTTCAGTTACAAAGTAATTACATAAGATCATAAAATATATAATACAATACTTAAGAAAAAAAAATACACAGCCAGGGAATACTTTTGTACCTAGTTCAAAAATACATTTATAACTAAAAGAAAATACTTTTCTTTTTTGTTTAAATCAACCAATTCAGTTTTACACAACTGAATTTTTTGACAAACAATTTAAAAACTACTCAAATTACACAATTTTCATATACAAATAAAAAAGAAGGAAAATTATTAAAACGAAAATTGTTTCTTACAAACCTGGTAAACTAAAACATTGGATACAACTAGTATTAAAGTAAAAATTAGATAATACTTATTGAAACAAATATTTTTAACAACTTACTTAACATTTATACACTCATGACAAAAGTTTTAACAAGAAAGACAGCCTTAGCTCTCTGCAAAGCCCATTTTACAAGTTCAAATAAGTTCATGTTTAAATTGATTTAGTATATTTTGATCAACAGTTATTATAAGATGATCAGTATCTTTTTTCCATTTGACTAGCTCGTGGTCTGTAAATTCAGTTAATAGGGTTCGAAGAGCAAGATCAGAACTGACAATAAAACCTTCTCGACACTGCCTGTATAGTTCAGAGAAGTGCATGCCTGAAGGAGAAAAAAACAAAATAAAGACATTATTTTTTTAATCACCAATTAAAACTTAATATAATTATGCTTAATGAGATAAAATGAAAAACAACGGCATTGTTTGTAACCACATTTTTGGCAACTTATCAACATTTGTTAGATATTTACTCTCCTCTCTAATATATTCAAAGTATAAGCAACAATAAAAAAGTATATTTGTTCCTTTAAACAATATAATACCGTCCGAAAGTCAATTCAATAAGCACAGCACAATTGATGAAACTTATTATATACTTAACAGTGAAGGTCATTGAAATACTATTTTATTTAACAGTTGAACAGTAAACATGTATAGCACTCTTTGGAACCTCCTATTGGATTGGTACACCACTCCTCATGAAAGTATAATAAAATAGTTTTTAAATAACTACATAATAATAATCAGACTGGATTGTATATTTTAGGATGTCAATTTTAAAAATAATTCATAAAAATGTTTCCATTTAATTTAGAATTTGATTTAGTTTTCATGGAAACATATAAAATAATACTGGTTTCAAGAAATTTTTATTCATCGACATTTAAGTTCTGTCAAACTATTTGAATGAAGATTAAGCCTACCAGATATTAAAAACCATTTACTCGTACACAGATATAAGTTTAATCAAAATCGTTAAGAGCTATTTTCAAGAAAATCAAATAATTTTATAGAAGAAATTAATTTTTTTATTTTTAAACTTTCCTCCCACTAGTAAATAGAAAAAGTAATAGGTAAATGGTTGACTGTCGTGGACAATGAAGAGAAAAATAGTTGGGATGGTCAGTCAAAAAAGAAGGCAAAAATAAATGATAATATTTATTTTTAAATATGCCGATGTTTCGACCTGAAGTTCAGGCCTTCATCAGGGCAAAGAAAATAACCAGATAACAAGGTATGAGAAACATAAGTAATGATGGTGAAAAAAAAAATAAAATAAAATAAAAAATAAAATATAAAAAAAAATAAAATAAATAAATAACAATAAAATAAATAAATAACAATAAAATAAATAATTATAAAGTAAAATGAAATTGTTAGAATAATGACTAAGAACTAAGAGATAAATAATAATAACCGTTACAAAGTGTGGAATGATGAAGTAGGCATAATCAAAAAGGAGTGACCTAAGTGTTAGTTCTTAGTCATTATTCTAACAATTTCATTTTACTTAATAATTATTTTTTTATTAATTTTTTATTTATTTATTTATTTTTTTTACCATCACTACTTATGTTTCTCATACCTTGTCATCTGGTTATTTTCTTAGCCCTGATGAAGGCCTGAACTTCAGGTCGAAACGTCGGCATATGTAAAAATAAATATTATCATTTAAATAGAAAAAGCATTGAAATCGGTTCAAATTTTCTGTGGGAGATTATAAACAGATCTTTACGTTTCACTGTTTAATCTTAGTTAAAAAGTTAGTAATCTTAGTTTAAATAATGCTTTTTCAGCCAATATGTCTGCGATATCTCTTGAACAAGAGGACCGATTTTAAAACTTCTTTTTCCATTTTGTAGGGTTCAGCCACTGACAAGTGTATACCGAATCTGGTACCTTTTAAGCAATAAGCGAGAAACAAACTATGATTTTGTCGAAAGGCCTATAGTCTTTACATTAAAGATCTTTCAATTTCCATAAATGTAATACATCTCCAAAGAAAAGCAAGAAAAACTTGTGATAAAAAGAAATTTCTGAAAACTCCAAAAGTACTCATTTTTTGGCAAATTATATTTACAGATAAAAACAAAATTTAAATCCAATCAGTATTACCAAATGAATGGTATAATAAACTATATGTTGTAAATATAACCCTCTTCAATTTTCAACAGGCTCACCCTAAACGCCGAGAAGACTAAAGCTATCCTTATCCCCTGCGTTCATAAAATCCAATCCCGGACTCTCAAGAGAACTCAAAGCCAAACTTAAGCGCTTAATGAATTACTCGATACGCTTTATCTTCGGGATCTCAAGGGATACGCATATTACAGAGTATTACGCCGAGTTGAAGTGGCTCTATCCATCCTACTGCTGGCAGTACTTCCTTGCTACCTTTCTACACCAGGCCACTAGAAGTCAGCGACCCTCTTATATACTTCAGAGCCTACAATTCAAATCTTCCATTCAATCCAGTTCCACCAGATCCCATACTTCTGACCTCCTCACCGAACTGCTGCGTTTGGCAAATTCTTTGAAATTCGAACTGTCTCCTTTTGGAATTCTATCTCTTCCTCCAATATCCAACATACACAATCAGTTTCTGCATTTAAATCTCTCATTTTTAAGCACCTACTCCTTTTCCAATCCGACTGATTACGAAATGTACATGGGCAGATTTACATGAAAACCCATTTTTTTATTCTCAATAAATCAAAAGCCATATCACTCTCGATATTTTCAAGTTACTCATTTGAAAGGTAATTATTAAATTGATAACAGAGTTTAAATTTATCTGAAAAGTCATGTGAGTGGACACACAAAAATTTTGTTTATGTTAATCTTCAATTTGTTGATCAGTTTAAATTATAATATATATGAATAGTTAAAAACTTACCTGAATATTTTCCACTTTTATGTTCCAACTGGTGGTTCAACAAAATCTTGAATACTTTGCGAGAATTTACAGTAAGGGAACTAAATACATTCTTCAAGGATGACAAAGCTAATCCACCAGACCAATTTACCATCAATGACCCTTCATAGCTTGTTTCATCTAAATATGGGCCATAATTTGTGCAATCTTCCCATATAAAGTTGAAAGCACTCAATTTATTTTGATCCCACACTAAAAAAGAGGAATTAATATGAAATTTTAAAATATAAGACAATAATGAAATAGATGATATTTTAATAATCACTTCCCATCTTTAAAGCAGCGTGCGGATTGTTACAATTTTTATATTCCATAAATGAAAACTCATGCTCATGATATTAGTAAATTTTCTACCTTTAGTGCCATTTATTATTTAATTAGGGGCCGGTATAGCAGAGTGATTAGCGCACAACACTAGTAAAGCAAAGATCATAGGATTGAATCCCGACCCTACTATCGAATACGGCTGGTCCCCGTGGGAAGTTAGACCATTATCCTCTTAATTAGGGAAGGTCTACAGGTACAATACTTGTACAAAAAAAAAAAAAAAAAGGTATAATACTTGTAAAACTGGCTATAAAAAAAATTTAATTAAAATTGTAGACTAATGGTCACCAATAGGGATGAGCCGATCCGGTGGAATAGGAGACCAAAGGCGAATTCGTTTCCCCGGAAGATCAAAAAATCAGAACATGAAGACCTGAGATCAGGATAAGAGCCATGTTCAATGTGGTTGTGAAAAGGTTCTACTATCATTCTTATTTCTTGTTCTCGGCTAATAGTTATTTAACTTTTTCTTATATTCTTATGAAGTAAAATCCAACTATTGTGCAACTTTACTCGTGAGTAAAGAAAGTTAAGTAATATCCAGTTTATTTTTTTAAAGAATGTTTTTGCATCTTGATAGAGTTCAAGTGATAATTGAGACAACTATAATAAAGGGATTTTAGTTCAATCGACACATGAAGACTATTTGATGGCAACAGTAATCATACGTATATCGCTCTCTCTGCTTCCTTCATTCTTTCAAGAGTGATAAAAGGATAATTTTTTTTGGAGTGACTGTGGCCGATTTAATTTAACATTACTAATATTCAAATTATCCGGTCAATTTTCCCAAAATGAATACTAATAAGAATAATGCCTATACAGGGCATAGTAATTGCCCAACAGAATAATACATAGGTTTATGGGAAGGAACAAGGAGAATAAGTAATAACTAGTAGGCAGAACTCCAGTCAAACTCAATACCTCAGAAACTCTTAGTTGTAGATAGTGAGGTAGCTAAGCGGGCCTAACTAATAAACAGATAATGTGATAAAAAAAAAAAATAGTCCCTGTCCCAGGACGAGGGAGGCTTTCACCCCATATGGTTCAAATTATTTTTAACTATATATTTTTTATAATTTTGAACATATTTCTACAAGAAAAAAATGTTGCTGCATCAAATTAAAAATTCACGAAATAAATAAATTAATAAGGCTTAATTCATTTTTTTTTTTTTTTTTCGAAAATCACAAGTAACTAAAATAAGAAAATGAAAATGCTCAATTGATGCATTCTACAATAAGTTCTGACTTTATTTAAGTCTATGAAAAAAATTCCAAACATTTGTTCTCAATTGGAAAAATTGAATTGTAAAGGCTTAAATGAATCATCATGACATTTGAGTTCTGCTTGCTATGTTCACTGAACATTTTCAAATACAGAAATAATAAGGTCTTTTGCAACCAATGATGTTCATAACTACGAAATGAAGAAGAAAAGCAGTCAAGTAGGCACTTTATTGTTAATGAGGGATAACAGGGACTCTTGATCACTGTTAATGTCAACACAGTTACAACTCACCAGGAATTTTTGTACTAAACAATCAATTCTTTCAAGAAAAGAACTGAAGATCAAAAGAAGTCCAAATGTCAGCAAAAAACAAAACAAAAATTAAGTAACATATATCTATATAAGTTTATGGCACACGAAGGGAATTATCATGAACGATCGATGATAATTATATACTTTATCAATAAATAAATCATTAACATTAGCTTAGAATAAATCATTAAAATTAAATCATAAGTATAATGGCCACTTACATAAGGCACTGTTTATATGGTCAATTGTGGCAACCATATGTATTTTTTCAATTCTAGATAGCTCGGCAAAAGCTGCTTGAGCCTTATCATTTTGAAAAGGCTTGCCATCTAAATTTGATATTAAAATAAAAAGCCTCTTCGCATATTTACTTTTTAGTTTGTCACTAATTGCCTCCACAATCTCATGAAATTGAGTAGGAACATTTTGAATTTTTAAGACATCAGAAGCAATAGTATCTAAAACCTGAAATAAAACTATTCATATAAGTAAGTATAATGATAATTTAAATATGTTCATAGCTTTAATTAGTATAATTACCTGTTTAATAGAATTGTCAGGGAAATAGCCGTTGATACAAAGAACATTGCTGTTTTGGAGGTATTTATAATGGAATGAATATAGAATTCTCCTTTTAGAACCAAGCCCATAAAGCAATACATTATAACCTTCACTAAAAAAAAATTAATGATGTTTAAAATCTGGTGCAATCACAACTTTCACTCACCATCCTACATTCAATATAAATTATTTTTTAAAGTTATTAAATCTTCAGAATATTACTTAATTAAATTATTAATGCAAACTAATTCTAATGACAATACTGTATATACATACATAGATGATGCTAAATCCTGTCACCTAGACTGGACCTCCTTCAGAAGCTTTCGCCAGTCGATACAATCAGCTGCAGCAGCTCTCCAGTTTCGGACTCCCAGAAAAGCCTGTGCATTCAATGTCATCGAGTCCTCCCATTTTACATTTGGCCTGCCAACCTTTCTTTGTCCATAAATCTTTTCGGACAGCATACTCCTGGATATCGCCAAATCATCCATACGTGCAACGTGCCCATCCCATCGAAGTCATCCTATCTTGATAAACTTGAGCAAGTCTATATCTTTATAGAGGCCAACGAGTTTGGCATTTCTCCTTCTTCTCCAAATTCCACCCTCTCTAACAGGACCAAAAATCCTTCTCAAGATTGATCTCTCAAAGATTAGAAGTCTATTTCCATCTTACTTCTTAAAGGCTCACGCTTCTCATCCATAAGTTAAAACAGGGCGGGCCAAGGTTAGGTAGAGAATGATCTTGGTCCTGTTAGAGAGGAACCTGCTTCTAAAATGCTTAACAAGGCCAAAGTAGCACCGTCTCGCCGTTGCTATTCTCCTGTTGACTTCTGAAGAGATGTCATTTTCGGAGTTGATCTCAGACCCGAGGTAGACAAAAGCTGCTTACCTTTTCAAAATTATATGGTCCAGCCACAAAAGAACCGGTCCCTTGCCCATCTCCTCCGACTCTCATATACTTGGTCTTAGCTTCATTAATATGTAGCCCAAGATTCTTTGTTGCATCTTCTATGGCCAAGAACGACTATCTTAATGCACGTTCTGATCTGGCAGCAATATAAAAGTCATCAGCATACCCAAGGTGTTGAACAGTACTGTTAAGGATTGCATGGAGTTGGATTCATATGCACTTTCTCTGCAGCAAAGTTAAAAAGAAGACAGGTTAGAGCGTCTCCCTATCTTACACCGAAATTAGTATGAAAGTCTTCCAAGAAGTCACTTTGTACTAATGACAATACTGTGTACTATATCTCTTTCAAGTCATCCAATCCCACCGACCTTTACATATCTCTGATCTCCTCCAATTCAAATCCTCTGTTCGCTCCCGCAATAACCGTTCCAGGTCTTCTGATTTATACATAAGGCCCACCGAACAGCTGCTCCTCCAATCTTCATCCCTATGGAACTCCATCCCTTCCCACATCCGTCAATCCAATACTCTTTCTATCTTTAAATCCCGCCTGTTCAATCATTTCTTATCCATCCAGTCCCCATAAAATTGTAAATAGATACCACTGTACATAAGTATATAAATTATTAGATTATTCTTCATTATTTTTACTTTATTTTCAATTTTTCATTATTAACTTACTCAAGTTAGAAAGTAATTTATAATTTCTTAATATGACTATTTCATTACTCAGCATTTCTTTTTATGTATCTCTGAGGCTCCTTAGCCCATATTACTGTCCTGTATTATTCTAAAGGGACTCATCCCAGAATAAATAAATTATTATTATTATCATTATATATTTTTGCTTTATTAAACTGAAAAAAAAATTTTCTAAATAGTTTCCTTCTGGACCTCTAAGGAGGTACCCATGTATAAACAGGCAGTGCCCATTTCCTATTCGGTATAATACAATTTTTTCTCTTCTTGATTTTCTTGTGCTTGTGACCCATTCGTCGTTGCACTCAGATTTTATTTCTTATGGTTTAGCTCATTTTGTTTTCCATTTGCCTTCCTAATTTTGAAAAAGCTCTTTTTTTACTTGTGAACTCAATCTTTAACTGTGATTTCATTTATTGCAGTTATGTTTGATATATTTTCCTTCCAAGCCAAAGAGCAGCTAGGTCTTATCTTATATTAATATGCAATAAATATAAAAAAAATATTTTACAAATTATTACTATCATTGTACTACTATAAGTGTAAAAACTACTGATTTTGGAGACACAACTTGAAATATAACTCAGGAATCCTATAGATCTGTTTTTATTTTACATACAATACATTTCTGAAATACTGAGGGAAGTTGAGGCAATCAATGAGATTGAATACTAAACAATAATGCATAAATTATTAATTTTATTTCTCAAAGTTCAATATTTATGTAGGGAGCAAAAGTGCAACATCTCCGGCTACCACCACCTCTACTCTTTCCCTCCTTATCCAACCTGTAATGATTGTAACCTGCAAATCTGGTTTTAATCATTTAACGCCGTATTCATTTATTTTTTTTTTTACATCACAAAATGGATAGTGCTGATGTCACTGAGATTAAGAAGGATATGACGACCAAATTGATAGTGTCTTACAGAAATTTTTCATTTCTAGTTAATAATTATAAGTTTTGATATTCACCAAGAATGACATGCCACCAAACCATTATACATAAGGGTGAATAGGTAGGGCAGCCTAATCAATGCTTACTTGCTGCTGGTGGATTCTACAATATCTTACCCTTCACTACCAGTTTTCTCAGATCTGGTAGTGTCATCTTAGAATCCCTTTAAGCTCATTTAAATCCCTCTTTACCCATACTCTGTTATGGTAATCGTTTTGTTTTTCAATTGTATTTATATCGGAAGAATTCACATTAGTCTATTGCTTTTCGATTAAAAAACAATAGAATTATATCTTTATCCACTATTTTATTTCTATACAGTGGACGATTAGGATTCATTTGCTCATATTCATGATCGTTTATGAAGATAGTTAAACATACAATCAATATAAAAAATGTTTTAGAATTATACCAGAGTAAAAACAAAATATAAATTATTTTTAATTTGATTTGGAATCACTTTTTTGTAAGAGTTTTCTATTTGGAAATAATGAATCATTGTGTAAAAAGCTGCAATATTTTTTCTTTTCTTCTATAAAATTATGTTTATACATAAAGTTTTATTGTTATTAATAACTTTTATGGAACTTTTTAAAAAAGTTGCATATTAACAATACTATGATACTTTTTTGGAAAAACGTTCTAAAATAAAGAAAGAAAGAAACTTGTAATAATACAAATGTTTGTCTGCTTCTTACTCAAATTTTAACGAACATTAAAAGCAGAGAAATAGAAACTATAAAGTTCTTATTCAAGATAAAATAATTTTACTTTATTTCTTATAATCTAATTCCTGAATTTGAACAAGAAATCACAGAGCATCTTCATATTTCCAATATATTCACTTCATAACATAATTTTTTTTTATAAATAATAAGGAACGTTAATAAGATCCTTTGTAATAAGAAATATATTTTTTAAAATGGGCAAGTTCGATTAGAAGAAGAATCAATAGAAAAAAAGTACTAACCTAAAACAAAATAACCAATGCCTGAAAGAATTCTTTATTCCTCCATTTAGAAAACCTAGAGATTTTTCATGAGTAGATGGTACCATTTTCAGCAAGGATGTCAGCTGGCTATGTGCTAACCTAGGAGTTTTTAATTGTTTAAGAGTGTGACTAGAGGTCATAGTTTTTGAATATTGGCGGTCAAAATAGTCTTCAGAGGTAAATACCTATAAATTAAAAAAAAAAAAACAGGAATGAATGTTATATAAATGATGTATAATAAAAACATACTGTAAACTTGGGGAATTACTTGGGTACAGAATTAGTACTTAACTCTTGTTTTATTTCTAATTTAAAAACAATGAATTCAGAAATCAGTGAATTCATACAAGCAAAAGTAATTGGATTTAAGGGGGGAGGAGGATCGGTTATTATTAATGGATTGTAACTTCATTATTTTCAACTAATCAAATCATAATTATTCTGAAAAAACATTTTTACAAATCTATAAATCATTGTTATCTGCTAGAACTTCAAGTTGGTTTTAATATGATCTTCACTGAAACATCTTCCTTTTTTTAGGTACTATATTTTGTCCTCTTTGCTGGGCCATTTTCAAAACTTTCCAGCTATCTCCATAGTTGTTATCTCATAATCAGTACCATAATACATGCAATAATACAGTAATACATGCATTGAGTATTTAAGTAGAAAAGATAAATTTTTATATCTTTTAGATTTCAAGACAAAAATTTATGAAAAATTTTTAATAGTAAACAGTAGAACGACTGGTAATATATCAAAAAATAATTCACTGACAGGGAGGACAAGGTGGGAAAGTTGCTCCTCACAGAAAAAAATTAAAATATAATAGCAACAAATATATACTATAATTTTTTAAAAAAGAACTGGTTTACAGAGGGGGACAGTATTTTAACGATTTGAAAGATATAATTCTTTAAAAAAAGAAGCAACCGTATGAAAAAAATTAATTAAAAAATTTGTTCCCCTTTTGGAGGAAAATTTGTTGAGCTGGCTATAGACCCTACTTCATTGACCTAATTTAGTTACCACAAAGAATGAGACGACAAAAACCAATAGGAAGGACATACAATTTAGAATAGTAACACATTCTACATTTATATAAGCTGTGTAGATAAAATAGATTCTAGAGAAATGCAATTGACTGTGAAACATCCCAAATTAAAATTATATTATATAATTGTTTCAAATCAGCAGGTGTAACATTTAAAATCAGTTTTAGAGTGATGTCACTCACTAGTCCAAAGCAAACCCAGTTTACAGTATTAAAAAAAATTGTTTAAATTCTTAAATTAAATATTGTATATAATCTGGCCCAATTCAGATACCTATCCTTCCATAATAAACTTCAGAATCATCCCAACCCTCTCGTTTCTAACCTTGCTTCCTCTTCAATTCCTGATAACCCTCCGAGGCGTTTGAAAAGAAGATGGCTCCGTGATCTCCTAATGTAGACATATCATTAGAGTGCTACCATTGGGTAGTTACTCAGCAAGTGTTTTCATGTCATTATATCCATTATGTTCAAATTTACTAGATGTATTTATTCAATACAGTAGTAAATATTATTAAGAAATAATAATAAAAAAAATATTGTATATATTGTTTAATTTTTATTAATGTAGTTTTTGACCAGATTTGTTTATTGTTCATAATTGTTATTCTTAAGGGACTCTGTCCCAGAATAAAGTTTATTTTCTACCTATCTATATCAGTTTTTATTTATTAATGAACATCATGGAAATGAGCAACAAATGAATTTAACAGTACAATTGTTTAAATAAATTAGGTAGTTGTAAGATTAAAATAAATTAAATATTTACTATAAGACAATGATGAAACCAAAATAAACCAATATTTTTTTAATTTAGACAAGTAAATTGACCAAACGGCTAAGTAAAGAAATCATGAAAGAATGCACCTGTCCACAGTAGAAATGAAGAGGTATGTTAATAAAATATAGTCAAAATCAGTAAATGTAACTAATTATGTTCTAAAATTATTTTTTCAATAGAATTTTTTTTAAATTTTAATGCCTCATATACTTTTTTTTGGTCCTTCCCTTTCTCGCCGTTGAGGCTATATGGGATTTTCCCGGGCCAGAGAGTGTGGGCGGGAATTTAAAAGACTCCCCTGACACCGGGACGCGAACTCGTGACTATTTTTATATCTTTGATTCATAGATCAGGTTGCCAGGCAACGGCGGTGCAGTGCACACGCTTTAGCCCATTCGGCCACTCCACCCACAAATGCCTCATATACCTAACCAAGGGGCCCGTATAGCAGAGTGGTTAGCGCACTATACTAGTAAAGCAAAGATCACAGGATCGAATCCCGGCCCTACTTCCCAATACGGCTGGTCTCCGCGGGAAGTTAGACCATTACCCTCTTAATTGGGGAGGCCTACAGGTGTAATACTTTTAAAAACAGGCTATACAAAAAAAAAAAAAAAAAAACCTAACCAACCAACCTTTATTTTATTTATTTGTCTTTTTTGTCCTTCCCTTCCTCACGTTTTAGACTTATGGGGTTTTCCCGGGCTAGTAGGCAAATATTAATACCAGAGTTAAAAGCCTCCTCCCCTCCTGGAACCGGGACATGAACTCGTAATTATTTTATCATATTATTTTTCATCAGGTTTCCGGGCAACATGGTGCTATACACCTAGTGTTAGTCTACTTGGTCATCCTGCTCCCTCATCAAACAATCAACCAGATTGTCGAAATTTAGATCATTAATATCTATTGAATTTTCCTTTTTTTTTTTTTGTATATAATTATGCGTGGTTCCCTTGGTTTCATTTTATTTACTCCACTGACAATGGCTGCGTATCATCAGTGATACAACACCTAACTTTCTGGGTTAATACCACTTAGTTAACACTGAAAATTTTCAATCAATCAAAATAACTTAAAATATACTAATAAACACATTATTCATGATAAATTATTTGTTAAGTACTAACATAATCTTTTATTTGCTGTCTTGATTTTTTAGGTGGTGTTGGGTATTTAGTGTCTTCTTCCTCCTGTTTAAAAGTGCCTGAAGAATCTGAATCAGATTCTGATTCACTATCAGAACTGCTAGATGGAACAAAGTCACTACCGCTATCCTCTAGTAACCTATCCAATTCCTGTTTTGCTGCTTCATCAACAAGCCCTAAAAATGGTTGGACAATATCATAAGTGCAACTAATAAGCTTAAACGCAATAAATGGATCTTATGGGCAAGCTTTTATGGTTAACTATTATACTGCAAAGTAATATTAAATAAGTTCTATAAGTATTTTTTAAAATGTACATGCCATTGTTTTTTAAAAGGAGTGTACTTATGTTATTATTAAGAGCAAAACTAATTAAAATGGCACTTAAGCTAAATGGAATTATTGATTCTGAAAAAATAAGATGTTAACTAAATAGATAATGGAGATGTACTAATATAAACTATTAAACTTACGCTTTCTAAGCTGATTTCTCAAACTATAGGGTGTTTTGGAGGTATTGGTTTTCACTACTTCAGAAGCATTCGGAGTCCAGATTGTCTTTGACATTTTACCCTTAGGAGTTTCACTACTTTTGGGCTGAACCTCTCCAGTTTTATTAGTCAATCTGTTTTGGCGGTTCGGTGTTCTAAATGAAAAGATATCTTTTCCATCAACATCATTAGATTCAAATAACTTCCCTGGAACAACTGAAAAAACACTGCAAGTTAGACAGATGAAATAGAAATAATTATTTTTCCATTTCAAACTCCATTTATTGAAAGCATATCTTAAATTAAATAAAATATGCTCAGGGTGGCCGAGCGGGCTACATAAATTATGAGTGATAAACTCAAGTTTGATGAGAGAGAAGCATATCTAGGTATGAGTTCATATCTATACTGCTATTTTCTGACCTCTCCTGAAGCAGTGAAGGTGTTGGCAGTACCGTGGATATAGGCTATATTAACATATCGACACATTGTTTTAATGATAAGTCACTTTTTTTCCTCAACAAGTGAGGCAAAATTAAATGAAATATTGCTTAAAATTTAAACAAAGCTAAAGTAAATAATTTTTTAACGGTTGAAGTATAAGTAGTTTTTTTATTGTTCCAAAAGTATTTTACTGAGGAGGCATAGCAAATATACCTGAATTCAGGCATTGAAAAATTAATTTGTATTTTTCAATTACAATCTTATTTACTGAATAACTCTTGGTAAAACATTGCCTGATATGATTTCATTACAAATACATGATATTTATTACTAATCAATTATTTAATAATAATTACTAATGCCAATAAAAATAATAAGTAATAAATTTAAAATCTCAGATAAATCCTAAATCCCCACATTTATTATTACAGTAAGGCTCGAAATCGGTTTTGTACCAAATATAAGCTCCTGTCATGCTCAAATACCATGAATGGGGAACCGTTGGATACAGAATTTCACAGGGGGTTAGTGAATCGTATTCTCCGCTTTTGGTTTTCTTTCTAAAATAAATAAAGTTGATACAAACATTTTTTCTAGGCTTCAATACTGGAACGGTGGTAGGTCTGTAGATCGATGTGGGACAAATTGGACCTTGAAGATTTTGATGGATACAGCAAGACCCTGATAGTTCCTCTGAAACTATTGGATCCTGCGTTTTTAAGCCCAAAAATGTACTATTTTCGAGATAACGCAAGGCATGGGGTTCGCATCCCCACAACCTGACGTTAATTGTAGTACTGGCATTGGATACATGTCTCATTTCGTCGACTTGAGGTCTCTATGATCGAGACAGGAGGAGTTTATATTATTTATCGATGGTGTTTTTGATCGGCAAGCCATTTCATCGTTAATTATTCACCAAATCTCAAGATTGAGCCACCAGTTTCGAAGACTTCCTTCTTCTTCAGGCGGGCAAAATAGTCCAATCATCCCGAAAATTCAGGCAAACAAGTTATGAAATAAAAGAAACTTTATTTGCGAATAACTAAAAAATTACACACTTTTCCCTTGGTTATTCCCATGATTATATAAAACATTACTAAATTGTCTACAAAAGGAAAAAAAAAATTATTGAAATCGGTTAATTTTTTGCAAAGATACAGCTTATTGAAATTTGTAAATATGTTGGTTCCAAACAAAAATGAAGATTTAAATTAATTTTGTTTCCTTTGTCGATTATATTTCTCGATAAAGTAACAATTGATTCCTTTATCTTTTGATACGTTGCATTATTTTATTTTCTTATTAATTTGGCATTTGATAACAATATGCTGTGCGAATTTTTAGCACGGGCCTACTAGTTCTTAAAATAATATTTTATCATCTTCTTTCTATCACAAGGCTTATATTAAAAATATTACAAGAAACTATTATTTAGTAGAAGGTGGGCATTAATATGTAGATAATCATTAACATTTTACAGGATAGACATAACCTAACCTTATTATTCAACTTTAACTACCACCTAAAATGGTGTGTATTAATTAAATAAGATCGAAACTCTGAAATCATATGTAATGCTATTCTTCCGATGCAAATAAAAACCATTAAATTTAATACTAACATTTTTATTTAAAATTATTTCAAACTAGGATGCTAAATTGATAGTATTATTTGAAAGCAGTGGTGATCAGTTATCAGCGAAATAGACAAGCATTAACGGTTGGCAGTATAGAATTGTGCTCGCTGCCATGGGCAGTACCAGCGAAATAGTACCTTAAAATGGAGAATAATTTACTAAATCCCAAGGGTAAGGGATAAGTCGGCTATGTTTACTTATAGACATAATCGACATTCTTGAGACTGTGCTTTGGGTTAAATATAAATCAGTCGCCATCTAAGAGTATCTGAAAGAACTAGAATTTAGGCATTACTTGGGATTTGATCTAAAGTGTGATCAATATAGCTCAAAATGGCATCATCTTGGAGTAGCGATTAAAAACTAAGAAAAAAATATATAAATATTAGCTTTAAAAAATTTAAGAATTGAAAGAAGTTAGTCAACTGTTCTACATATCATGGGCGATAAATATTCAGGATGCAGTCATTATAAAGATGTTATTAGTGACGACGCTACAACCCAAACATGTGGGTCGCCATCAGGGCGTGTTTCGAGCACAGAAGGTATTCAAGTACTCTATTAGTAAGAACTGAAACACCTTCAGTGCTCAAAACACGCCCTAATGATGACCCACATGTTTGGGTTGAAACGTCGGCACCAATAAAATCTTTATAATAACTGCGTCCTGAATATTTATCACCCATAAAATGATCACAAGTTCTAGATTGAAGTAGGACATTAATAAACAAAATAGTTTTTTATTACATATTTACCATCAGGCTTAGATAATTCGACATCAACATCACCATTCAAATCGCTTTTACAGTCAGTATTGTTACAACTGTCATCATTCAATGATAGTCTTCGAAACCTGCTGGTTATCTTACGGCCAGATCTAGTAAATTTGACAGTGGATGATGGTGAATTGCTAGTACATTCGTTTTCCATCGTACCATTTGGCCTTCTGCATCTTCTTCCTCGAACTAATAATTAATGAAAAATAAATTTTAGGCACATTAAGTACAGTTATTACATAGAATTTATTGCTCATAAATCAACATTACTTGTATTATTGTTTTAAGGAATAACACAAACACCTGTATTACTACAACCCATGAAAGGTCTTGGGTTCAGTACTGTTCCTTAATCAACAGCTGTGCAAGATCATGCTCAAACACCAGGTTTCCCCCCTTATCTAATTACTTCATTAAGGGTACCCACTTTAAAGAGGCTGGGTATGTCCCAGGCGGGACTCCTGATCCCAGGATCGCCCCACAGCTGATGGACAGATTAAATCATTTTTCTGCCATGAGCCAGGTTACGAGCCCAGGATCTTGAGAATTGCAAGATCAGTGCCCTATCAATGAGCTACTCCACTTCCTTTTAAGGAATAACATTAACATTAATTTAAAAACTATAATATATATAATCTACAAAAAAAATTTACAACAAATTTAAAGGATTAACTCAATAGAAATTAATAGTAATTAACATAAAAATCCAATAAACTTTGGATTAATTATAAGGGCTTTAAAATTGGGAATAAAGCTACTCACTAGGCCCATCTGCCTTATCTCCAACATGACTAATTATATTATCAATTAAAGTATCTGGTATATAAAACACCTCAACATTTTTTCGGTCATGAATAACATGTTCAGGTATATCATTCATTTCAGTAGCATTTATTAATTAAAAACAATATCATAAACCAAAATTACTGAAAGCAACACGAATTTCACAGAATTAACTAAGTAAGAGATGTCACAAACATTAAGTTATCTCTCAGACTTCAAAACGCGGGAAAAGAACCGCTACTGCTAACATAATCATTTAAATCGGTAACCGTTCTCGAACGATTAATAATAATGTTTAAACTATCGATGTAGCATCTGCAATATCGATTAATGCCCATCCAAGATTACCAACTTGGATTTTTCCTCCACTAGTTGAGGTTTTTTTTTTACCCTTTGGTTTGTTTTTTAGGGCTCAAAAGTCGTCAGAGGCTTTCTTTAGGGTGAAACAGTTTTTAGAATTTCTTTTGGTGATTTTTTTTCTATCTAATTCTAAAATCACTTTCAATTTTATCTGATTATAAATGAAACATTAAAATGAGTGGAAACAAATCATAATTGTTCATGTAAACATACCTTGATTTTTTTGGTTTATTAATATTTTTACTAAATCTACAGTAAAATAAGGTAATAACAAGATTTTCTCATCAATAACAAGAGGAGATTATGGACGGGGAATCTCTCTATTTCAATGACACTTTTTTTTAATTATTGAGGGTCGACTGTTCTACATATCATAGGTGATAAATAGTCAGAACGCAGTCATTTTTAAGGGTTTTATTGGTGCCAACGTTTCAACCCAAACATGTGGGTCATCATCAGGGCGTGTTTCGAGTACCGAAGGTGATCAAATAGGGTTGAAACGTCGGCACCAAAAAAACGACTGCATTCTGACTATTTATCACCTATGAAACTTTTTTCGGTGATACTAGCTTCTTCTAGTCGCACGGCCGTAGGTTTTTGCGGAATATAATTTATAAAATTTGGCTCTTCACCAGGAATTTTTCACAAGTTCCATATTTTGTTCTAAGATCGTGTGATCATTTGATTAGTAATAATTGTTTCAATAGTGTACACAATACAGTTTTGTTAGGGCCAGGCAACTGGGGCGTCCATCTTCAGGAGCGCACACCACTTGCTAGAAATAAAAAATATATACAAAACGTTTTACATTAATTAATTTTAGCCTGTCAATGAAGCAACTGGATTAGAGCAATATTGAATGAAATAGAATTCAAATATTACATCATACAAAATAGCTTAAGAAATAAATCTATTTTTTTTGGGGGGGGAGAGGGAGGGGAGAGGTGGTGAAAATTATGTTAATGCAAGAGGGCGCTGACTGTCTAAGGCCAGCACTTATTTTACCGATTTTACAGCTGTATCTGAAATATGAATATTTTTTCTAAACCAAACTAAAATAGTCTATCTTAAGTAGGATTATTTGTACAAAACCTTATATGCAGCCAAGATTAGGTAAAAAATGCATTTTTACATATTATAATCATACAAACGCGAATCCCATTTTTTTTTTTTTTTTAGAGAGATAGACATGACATAGTCAATAATTAATTTGTGCATCTCCAAAAATAATTGAATAAAAATTGTCATTAAATTGAAATTTTAAAATTTCTCACCCAATATTTTGCTTTCTATTGATAGTTCTTAGGAGATCGATCTGTGTTAATAACTATATTGTAGATAATATACCTGATGAAATATTCATTGCAATGGAAAAATAAAAATGTTTTGTTCAATAGTTGATTGTTTAACAGGTATAATAATGAATAAGTCATATAGTAAATGGTTTTTATTAATCTCATGTAGATCATAACTGCCTCCTGGGTCTGTACATTACTTTTTGTATGTTCCCTACAACACTTTTATGGAGTCTCCCACACACACAGCCTTTGACAAAAGTAAATCTTCTACTGTTAAGTATGTTATGAAATCCAAAATCTTATATTCACGATCTTCACATTTTGGAATTGTATTCTCACTATATGCATCTAAAATATAATTCTCCATTTAACTTTAATTATTAAAATTTGATTTATTTTTTTACATTACCTCCATTTCTTTTCAAATTTTTAATAGACAACACTAAAAATATGTTTTTCAATACTACAAAAGTTTTTAATTTTTTGTCCACTATTTAGTTATTTCCTTTGTTTTATATTTTTAACAAAATCATATTCTTTTTCAGCATGAAATTTGCTACAATTTGATACTTAACTTGATTTTTTATTACTTTCAAAGTGTTTTTTTTTCTAGATGATTAAAAAACAAATTGCAGGAGAGTGGATGTATATTTTTATAATGTTAATCAGGCCCATATGGCCAACAATTTACAAGAATCATTTTTGTTGTAATTAGCTTCACCTTAAGGTGTTTTTTTACTAAATTATACTCCACTTTTTATATTTCCGGTAAACTTCTTTATTCGGATTTCTTAGCTTAAAAGCTATAAACTGAAACTTATATACTAATTAAAATATTCAGTATGTATAATAATGATAAACAAAATTAAAGGCATATAAAGTTAGATTAAAATTAAACAAACTTAAAAAAGACATACATGAACACAAAAATTTGCTGTTTATATAAAACACACTCAATTATTTTTCACATTGATTACTTGTATTGACCGGTTCTTGCATGAAGAGGTGTATGATTCCCATGAAGTCAAGAACTATATTTTCCTTTAGATTTAATTAACCAATTCAAATTTAACAGAAACAACATTAAACTGAAAACTTAAAAGTTGGGAAAAATAATGAAAATAAATATTTAAGTAAAAATAATACTTATTTAATTTTTAAATATTACATTTACAATATAAATATGATGCTTTATGATAAATATTTCCATATAAACTATATTTTATAATTATATGATGTGGTATTACAAAGTAGGATAATGATCAAGGAGAAGGTTTGCCCTACATTTTACTTTCTCAATCATATAAAAAATATTGTCAAAAAACGATATTTAAAACAGTAAAGCATGTTTATTTACAATAAATAGTAGTTACTCTAAGTAAGAATCTTCTATCAAATTATTTGGCCAAACATTGATAAGATCTATCAAATCTTTCTTAACTCTGCTAGAAATTCAGAGAACGAAATATTAATTAGTTGTATGAAAGAGAAGCAGTCTAAAGATTAAGAAATCCACAGATGTAAAACTTCAAAGAAAAAATGCAAGTATTTTAAGCAATACTTTGTTTTGTCAGGCTTCATGGAAATAGAGCAAAATATTTCATAAAACTAATAACATATTAAACTAGAATATTTTGATTTAAAAAAAAAAAATTAAAACAGAAACACAAATTACACTTTGTTGGAACATAATATTGTAAAAGCTTTAGCAATGATAACAATGAAACGGAATTAAGCCAACTTTTCGTAGGCTTAAATAATATATTTATTTGTAATGAATAACTAAATAAAGAAAAAATATTTAAAGACGAATATATCGCACTTTTATTATTATTAAAATTTATTACTTTTCATTGTTTAATTGAAATTTCCTAACAAACTTTCTAGGTAGACTTTTTTAACTTCTATATATAGAATTTTGTTTTTTAACTTCTTACTTAATGCCTAAAGAAATGTATTTCTTTACTTTGATCAAGTATAGTTTTGTTCAAAATCAATAAAAAGTTCAAAAAATATAATACTGACTAACGATTTCTTCATCTTAACAAATACTATGTTTTTAAAACAGCAATATTCCTATTTTCTAAAACATAACTTTTAATTTCCAAGCATGAGCAATTTATTAAATTTCTAGCATTTGGAAATTAATTATATTATATAAAGAAAACAATTTTCAAATTGAATGAAAGAACAAGATCAGTTTAATTTTAACATTGAAAAGTTAATAAATGTTAAAACAATTTTCAAGAATTCAAGTTTAAAGATACAAAATTACAGATATGAAATTCTTCAGACATAACAAAAATTGAAGGATATTAACCATACAAATATGCATGGATTCTTAAAATTATACAATTAATACAACCTTCCTTATATTTAATAAAAATACTTCTACCATGATTTTATAAAGTAAATATTTGATTCAGCGACATTAAGAGTTTTTGCTTAGATCTATTTAATTCTATAACTAAATTAGTTAAATCTTTGGATTTTAAGCAAGATTAAAAAAAAAAGCCTATAAAAAATAAAACACCAACACTAATGAATATATAAATAGAAGAGAAAACATTTAGAAATGAATATACTAAAAAAATAAAATTCAAATAACTCACATTATTAATAAACAAATTATTTTTTAATGTTATTTTTAATAAATAATAAATAGGTATTTTAAAAAAATATTTCCAAGAAACCTATTGAAGAAGCTGTTTGATTTCAGCTTTATCTGCACAGTCTAGGTAATTTGTTCCATCTGGAGCGGAACCAATCTTCTCTGCTCCCTAAAATGATAGTAAATGGTTAAATATTTGTAAGTGAAAAATAATAAATTAATTTGAGGCTTGGTTCAATATTTTTGAAATAGACCAGACATCCCAAAGTAGTTGAGATAATATCTTGGTCATATAATTCCTCACAACATTAATTTTATATCTAGGAATATTGTCATTTTTAGGATCATAAAAATTCTAGTATTCATGAAAAACAAAAACATTGTTTTATAACTTGTAGCAACTTAGCTAGAGCATTTCCATATAAATTGTAACTTTTTTCAATTCCAAATATAACCTTTTCCATTTCAAATGTAACCATTCTCAATTTAAATTCATAAATAATTCTTCCCAATACAATTGGAACCCAACCGATATGAAATTAAGTAAATATTATCTTTTTATTGAAAAATAATTATTTTGATTTGATAATAACTTTTGAAATAATTTCACAGCATTCTTACAATACTTTTTTCGTTTGCTGGGTAACTGATATGTGTTAATTTAAACTGATCAGGTTTAAAATTGCAAAAAAAAATATAATAATTTATTTTTATTACTACAATCAGAACTTATTTTAAACATAAGGAGGTGTATATTTCATTAACTTAGCGATCTTTCATTGGTTTTTCAAATTTTATTTTGATATCAAGTATTACAAATTAATTATTAGTTTGATAGAATTCTTTGACAAAGATATATTTTTTTATATTTTCTAGAATACTAATCGCAAAATTACCATCGCATTTTCTATTGTACATTGGATGTAATTTAAATTAAATTATTGCAATTGATTTCTGTCATCTTAAATTTGACTAGTTGAAATTACCACTCAATATTGATTATCCCATAAATAAAAAAAATATATAAAAATAAATATGTAAGAATACAGCGATAAGATTTCCAAAATCAGTATCAAAATCAAAACTATTTCATAAATAAAAACATAATATTTACAAATTAATTTATGCCCAGAGTTGGATTAGAATTGAAACAAAAAAGTTACAATGAAATTGGAAAAAGTTACGTTTAAAAAGCAAAAGGTTATAATTGATTAGGAAAAGCTATATTTACAGGAAGTTAAGTTAAGCAGATTTCATTCCCCAATACAATCACTTTAACTTTTAAGTAGCTGGCACCTTCTAGGAGAGAACAGTGCCTAATTAACCGTAGATGAGATAGTTGAGTAAATAATCCTGTGAAAAATAAATAATTGAACTTTAACCATGAATGTTCAAACCCCATAGTTTCTCCAAGTTTATTTAGGTTTAATGTTTGGGAAAGCTTGATTCGGATCCCAGGAATCAGAAAAAGATTATTTGGTAGGATATAAATGAGGGGTCTCTAAACTTTTTGACCGTTGAGGCCACATTAAGACCTCCATTAGGTCCCCTGGGCTGCATTGAGACATCCACTAAGTCCTGTGGGCCATGACTTGAATAGAAATAAAAAATCTTGTTCTATAGATGGCCCTTCAGTTATGAAATTAACTTTCTAAGAGAAATAACTTGTACAATAAATGTTGTAGTAACCTCCAGTTTAAGTGATATACATATTTTATATTTTCTAACACAGTATATAAAATTTTACCTTGTAATAAAAGAAACTTTAATTGGTCAGATTGGAGGAGTTTGAGGGCCATAGTTTGGATCGCCCTGCATAAAATAAATGAAACCAATGGAAGGTAACAAACCTTGAAAAGGGACAAATCCTGAGAAAGTATTTCCAAACCGTTAGGTCTAGTCAAGCTACTTTTTGGATCTTACAAGATTTCTGGATATCACAGCTACCTACAAGGCATAGATGCTTCTGTGACAAGCATCAAAAACATGGCCAGGATATCGACTCATTATGTTCCAGATATGGTAAACCATAGACCGACCATGTAGTCATTGCCTGTACTCAGATGACAGTATGTGAGGAACCTAGAGCCAAGTTGATGAAGGAAACATGAATGCAATGTCCAAACGGAAAAATAGCTGCTTCAGCTTTGATAAGAAACAAGTACCTGTATTACAAAGATTTTGCGTACAGGTGGAAATCTGTTTTGGATTGAGCACACTTCCACCTAGAGTGAAGAGGGCCAGTTACAGGAAGATTAGCCGATAAGGAAAGTGATGCTGGAAACTATGAAGGTTGGATGATAAGGAATCAACAATAAAGTGGTGAACGATGAAATTTTGGAAAAAAAAAGTAATCGTATGACTTCTAGCAGGGACGGCATATGACATGACACCTTTACCAAAGTCATATCACCTATAGGCAATGCAGTGATTAATTAAAGTATTGTAAGAACATAATTAATGATTGGAAAGAATGAGCTTGTTATCAACATATCTGGCAATAAAACTTGAACAGAAAAATAAATATTATAAAGAAGTAAAGTGCTTCTTCCATGACTATTATAAATTGTTAGGCAAAGTGAGCGAGCAGCAGTCAAACAATTAATCTCGATCAACTCAATTTTAGCATGCTAGGCAACCTAAACTTAGATCATCCATACTCTTGTAAAAGCAAACCATTGCACTCACCTGTAATGATTAATCTTATTATCAACCTGACATCGTTATTCAGAAATGTCATGTTAGCTTATGCAATTTAACAGAAGCCAGAAAGTATAACTTTAATACTTAGCATAAATATTAATGCCCAGCAAACAAGAGCATGAAAGTCTGAAAATTATTTAAAAATGAAGTAATACTTTCTAATAAGTTAAAAACAATAAGGAAAGAAATTCAATAATAAAAATAATCAAATCAGTATTTTGCAAAATCAATAATGTTTCATTGAAATAGATAAAACTGGGAATGTTCAGTTTTAACCCATTAACTGCGGACGGAATACATGTCTTCCCGTTAAGAGTTAAGTCACTGGTGTGGACGGGATATATGCCTTTCCAGTAGTAAATTGAGTCACTGGCGTAATATTTTATTTAAAATAATAAGTAAAATATTATGTTTTTCATATACCTCTGATGTGCTAAATTTGTGTCACTATCCATTCCTGTATGGAAATGTATATTGTAATTATTTATTTAATTATAAGGGTGCCACATATTTTTTTTTGGTCTGACAAGAATGCCATGAAATTTGTTTCGACCAATAAGTCTGCAAAACAAAGTTTGAGAACCACTAGTTAATAGTATAGTACATAAGAGGAAAACTCTTTTGATCATTGTGTGTATTTTTAATAGGTATGTATCAAATAGGTATAGGTTTTCTTTTTTTTGTTAGCAACATATCTATATCAATCTTTGATTTCGATATTAGTTTAGTCTTCTAACAAATATATGTTGCTTGTGGGAGCACAGAGAGCTTTTTTTCCCTTGCCTTTTCGGCAATTGAGAGTTTCCCAGGGCAGGAGACTAATGCCAGATTTAAAAGCCCTCCGCCACCAGGAAGGGCTTACAATAATTATTTTGTCAAATTATCTTTCATCAGGTTGCTGGGCAACGAACACTATGATGAGTTAGCCTACCCCAGCCATCCTACCCCTTAAGGAGCACAGATAGCATGGAGCTGTCTGTCACCCAACTTCACATAGCTATAGTCCATGGTCTTTATTTATGGTGCAGCTGCAGGGAACCTATAACTCCATAGGTGATCCCTTTGGAGACAATCTGACTGTGCCCTTCCCACCAACTTGCTCGGGTTCAGGGACAGTGACTAATCGGTCTAGATCCATGGGTTCTGACTGCTCAAAGTCAGCAGGTGCACAAGAACCTATATTTCTTTTCCAGAAACAGACCATCCAAGGACCAAACCTCTAGACAGCTACTGACATCCTGGAAAACCATATTGCAATTTCTGATTAAAGTACACAGGTTAAGGACGCCACTCCTTTGGCTGGTTGGTATGAGTTGCCTTCATTAGGTTGACAGGGCCTCACAAACACGGGGAGGGAGAGTCTCAAGCAGCATGACTTTCCCTAAAGGGCAGTCCCCAAACCAAGTACATGCTCAATCGATGTGCCCTAACATTGGCTACTTATGAAAAGTGTCTTCACCTGATCAACAATCCCAGCCCCCTTAGGTATATATAAAATTTTAGTTTTCATATTGCTGTAATTTCTTAATTTGAGGACTACGCATTTCCACAATGCGATGTCAGAATATTTCAAAGAGGATAATACCAACCTGATATTAAAGATCACTTTGATTTAACAAGTTTAATCAAAATCATTAGATTAAAAAAATTGTAAAAATGTGTAAATTTGATGATAAAAAGTCCCAATTTCGGTTAGTGTTGAAAAAGTTGGTGTAACATCCCAGGTATACACCTACTTTAAAAATGTAATTTCAGTTCAATATGGCTTTTTGTTTTTGGGCTAGGCTGTTTACACCCGCTCACACACAGAGAACGACCAGTATTCATAAAATATTGCCTTCAAATTCTTTTAGAGAAATTAATGGTTTTATCACAGTAGAATGAAAAAAATACCTTGTCCAAAAGAGTCCTTACACAGCTAGTATGTCCTTCCCAAATGGCAGCAAGAAGAGCAGAAATACCATGTTTGTCTTTTGCCTTAAAAAAATGTATACAAATAAATAAATAAAGGAATTTTACAACAAAGAAGATGCTGAGAACTGTTGGGGGTAATTCTAAGGAAGGGTTATTCCTGTATGGGGAATAAGTCACGATGACAATGGTCACACTGTACATGAATACTGAAAATATTAGAATTTATACAAAATCTATTGGTCCCATATTACAGAATGTTCAGGTTATTAAACACGTGTACAGATAAATATATAATTATATAGTACCTATAAGTTAGGTTCAGTTAAATTAATGACCTTTAAGAAAGGATTAACTGAGTTAGTAAAATCATTATTACTTTGATATGTTTGTCCCAATGAGAGAAGAACAAACCCAAAATAGGTCCTTTCAGATCGAGGTTGGGGCATATGATATGAGTGCTTTTAAATATTTGATAATTGAAAGGAAGCATCTTCATCAACATGGACCCCTGCTTGGTAAGGTCCAACAATTGAAAAAGACACTTAAGGGTTTTTTTCACGGCCCAAACGAGCATATGGAGTGGAAGACCAATTCATAAATTAAATAATTTGGCTACTCCAGGAATTTAATGTACAATATGAGTGGTGTAATCTTGGTCCACCTGACATAAGTGAATGACATATTTGTGTAGGGGTGGAAAGAAGCAATTGAACCCGCACACTTCAACCTCATAAGAGGACCTGCGCTAGAGAGGCCACCAGAATGAGGAGGAGCAGAATAAGGCCATAAACAGCAGACTTAAATATGGAAATTGGACTCATTGCAGAAGCAGGCAGTTGTGCAGTGAAGTGTAACAACCCAGTTCTGCAAAACCCGTATTGCCTCAATGGCACAGTAGGGTTCAAATAAATAAAATAAGTAAGTGACACTTCGCATGAACTTTCATGTTGAGTAAAATGGGTAGTAATTCCGAACCACTGCTCCAAGATATGAGCAGGTGTCAAAAGTACTATGAGAACATATTAACTATCATGTTTATATACAAATAACAGACTTGTCCTAATGACATATTTATAGGATGTACAATGTACAGTCTTTACTAAGGAAAAACTGATTTTTTTTTTAATAATAAAAATCACATTAAATTATAAATGACACATAAAATTTATTACTAATTAAAAGGATCATAATTTTAAGGGTATAGAGATATGATTTAAAATCTTAATTTACTTAACATTGCAACAATGCTTCAACATAATTACTATTATTTTATGTCTAGGATCATAATTACAGATTGTTCTTGATAATCTGCAACATAGAGTATGTTTATCAGCCTAGTTTGGAATCATAAAAATTAATTTTATTTCATAGAAAGATGACAAGCATTTTGATGACACTTCATGCTGTTCTTTTTATATAAAAAGATGTAAACATGATAATGACTCAAGCTGACATGATCTAACCAAACGTAAACATTCTTCAACCATGAGCTGGAGTTCAAGTCATCTGTCTATTTTCGATTACATTCGGGTCTCGCTCCACTTACAGCATACTAAAATTAATCTTGAAATCAGATTTTATAGCAGTAGTGATTGAGAACTAGTATCTCCTATTGTAAATAATTTGAAACATTAACCAAAGATATTAGTACTGCAAACAAAAGTTGATTCAATACCTTATGAGTATATGTAAGATTATTATTAATTAATTAGAAAAGCTTACATTAATGTCAGCTCCTTTCGATACTAAATATTCAATGACATGAGGTTGTCCGAAATCAGCAGCATAGTGAAGGGGAGGCCTGCCATCAATTTCTTTGTTGATATCTATTTCCTAAAACATAAATACATCCAGGGAAAGATAGTTAATGATAAAAAAAAATATGGACTTAATCTAATCTTTGTCAACAATTCAATCATTGCAATAACATAAAAAGAGAAACGCCCACAACAAAGAATGATTAAATATTTAAATGTATTTAAGCATGGGAATAATGAACTTCAAAAACAATAAGTTAAAAGTACTAAGGGCCCAATGAATTGGATTTCATAACATTTATTGATAAGAAACAAGACTAACCTTACTCTCTACTAAATCTTTGACGATCTCCAAATCCCCATTTTTGATTCCCCACACTAGTTCACTCATTTGGGAAGAGTCTGAACACTAATAGTCAATAAATACAAAACCAAAAATGCCTAAATTTAAGGACTAAAACTGCTAATCTAGTTAACGTACTACGAAACCTCTCCCAAAACCCGGTGGGGGTCGAGGACAATGGTATCTAGATCAGGTGTGCTAGACCTGTAGCATAATCAGGAGGGACGGAACAATTGTTTCAAAATAAATTAATGTTATTTCAATAGAAATTACGCCTACTTTTCATCATCGATGCTCTATGAAGGCTAACATTCAAATCGTAAAAGAACCAACTCGAGTGAATTCGATATGTTGTCCTTACTTTGTTAGCTGTAGTTAATAAAGATGTTAAACCTAACAGACAACAAAATCAATATATAGAAATGAGTTTTTTAATCTAAAGATAATATAGACAGCAGTATATATAGAGATAGATAGATAATATAGAGAGCAGAAAACACCTGGACAAAATTTCATCAGGCGCCCCTCCTAATATAAGATTGATCTGTAGCCAATTTTATCATGTTATACGAGGTTCATGCCTTAGCACTTTGGCAAGTGGCCGATAAGTTGTGAATCTCTACTCGGCTGGTAATTTTAATTACAAATAAAATAATGTTATTCTGATTTTGTTTTATATACTCCATCAGTGGGCACTCCCCTCTCCTCCTTCCAGGCAGTGCTACTTTACCCACAGGACAGTTCTGTTTGTGAGGAAAATTGTTAATAATTTAATGTCATAGGTGATAAATTTCTCACTGTGATAATATGATAGGGATAGATAAAGAAGCTCGTTGAATGACGAAATGATTCCCAAAGAAAAAAGACCATATTCTATCCATCATTCAAAAATATCTCTACAATTAATGTAAAATATCACAGTCCAATTTAAAATAGTTATATTTAATGAAATTAACATGCGATATTTCACATTTAAAGGATAAAACATTGATATCAAGGCATCGTCTTATGTTATAGTTGTGTAAACAAAAATAAACTTTCATTAGAGGTTTAGCGAACCTGGGTTTCCATATGAAAACATAGTAAAGGGCCAGGAAGAAGGCCAGGCTCCCGATGAGGGTCAAATAGGAAACGACAGTGCAGGCCCTGATCAACTTGCGCCGAAGCTCCTGTTTGGGCTGGTTTGGTTCTGTAGGATCCGGGCTGGCTACGTTCCTTGAAGCCAAGAGGTCGTTGGTAGCTGGCGGGGACATCTCAGACTGTAGTAACCACTATATTGGATTAGCACTTTTTAGGGTTTCCTTATGTAACTGCCGGGATAATCGATCTTCCATTTGTGGTTTAATAAGCTGTATTTTTCTAATGAGCGCTTTCTTTCTACTATTTAATTATCAAACTGTAAATGATATAAAGAATTTTTCGCAAACTTCATCCGTATTGTTTTGTGCTCCGTAGCCATTATATGATCATTCGTCTGTTGTTCGAAAGTATTTCAATAAGAACAGACCATTATTCGGATTTTATTCTAGCTCGAAGCACGGAGAAGAATCCCTTCGAAGTTTGTCCAGAAGAGGTGTGGTATGGAACGAGATCCTTATCTTCGTTTGAAGAATTGATTCGCTATTTGAATAAATTAGTAATTAAAAAAAAATCATAAACAAAAATTGAGGTTGCTATGAATTACACATCGCTGGCTCCTTAGAACATTGTAGTGAAGATTTATTTACTCCATTTTAATTAATAAATGATCACGTTCTATTTCGAATTCAGAAGAGACGCCATCTTAATAAGGTAGACTTTACTTATAAAGAATTCACATTTATGCTTCAATCCTTAAAAAACTTCTTTTTTTAAAAGATTTTATTGATTACAAATCGCTTTTTCATTTGATATATATTTTTCAAGAAAATAGGTAACAGGTCAAAAATTGTTATTTAAAATCTCAAATAATGTTACCGTTTTAATTTTTTTAGAGGTCATTTTTTAAAATGTTTATTTGCCACTCATCCAGCATTCTTACTTAACTTAACCTTATCCAATTAGTTTCACGTCGTGAAAAAATTTGATTGTATCGATTTGCCGTGTAATGTTATAATCTGTTGTTGAATTATGACTTGGCAAAAACAAAACCGATTATGAAAGGCTCTTGCAGATTTAGAGTTTATATAGATGAGTTCAATGACGTTCATAATATATGTTTGGCAATTCATGTTTTTGTTCAATGAGATCCATTGTAATGTAGTATCATTCCTTTCTCATAACAACAATTAATTTAAATCTTATTAATAAAAAGATGTAAATAAGATAATCACTAGTGTTAAAACAAGAACTTATACTGGATAATTTAATTCTGTATGCAAAAAATTTGGTGCGCATAAATATCACTTACCGCCCAACTTAAAACAGAAATGATTTTCTAACAAATTTGGGCTATTAAAAAGTTTTTAAAGAGCATTTTTAACGGAGCTAAACCGCAAACCTTAGAGATAACCCGTAGAAACTCTTAAAAGACCAAAATATAATACAAATCCTGTTTATTTCATTGACGGTAAGCAATAAAAACTCTTTAACTCCACCTATCTTTAGGAACCATATAACTCATGTCTGAGCTTTATATACAAAAAACGATCTGCAAATACATTTATAATTTAATATATGAATGAATAAGAATTATACTATACAGTAAAACTTATAAGAACTAAATTTGAATAATATTATGCATCTTATTTTTCTTCAATTTTTTATTTTTCTCATAAAATTGACTAAAATGGAGTTACGAGGTTTTCATCGCCTACCATCGATATATCAAAAGTTATCACATTAATGTAAGTGGGTGTATGATTATGGTTTTATGATTTCGTAATGAGAAAATTCATAACATTATTCCCTAATTTAATTTTTCCTAATATTACATAATGATTTTTCGAAATAAACCAACGATATATTCCCAATTATTACTCGACTAAGCGAAGCGAAACGAGGATTATGTGTTTGGGCCGACCGCTAACAGCTATGCGACGCTTTTTTGAGCTAAGGGCTGGAATTAATCTGTGGGATCCCATGAATAGCAATATACAAAGATGTTTAAGTACATATGGAATTTAATTTCCTTAGGGTGGACAGAATTTCCCAATTTCTGTAGTCGGTTTTTTTTTAAATTCCAATATTGAAAAACAAATATAATATCGGACTTCTTCTTTAATTTCCCTTTTTAGTGCCTCTCAGCGTAGAGGAGCGTTCAGCCAGGAATTCCATTCTTCCCTATTTTTCTAACTAGACTCAATGTAGTCGACTACAAGGGCGGCCCCTAGGCCGTCTGCCATCTGGGACATATTCCATCGTCTTTAGACGATCTCTGTGGTCATCCATAACATGGCCGAACACTTTAGCTGACGGATTTTTAGGAGCTCTTTCATTTGGGTTATCTGCAGTTTATGAAGAGGAGAAGCTGTATCACTACAGGACTAATATTCCTACGTCCCAGGAATGTCCTGTGAGATCTTCTCTTATAAATGGATGCCACTTCATCCATGAACAACAAGAACAAAAAAGGGCTGTCTCCTTAAACTGTCTCCTTGCTTGACAGCTTTTGCAATATTGAAATACTTTGATTCTAGCCCGTCCAGCCTGACTATTCCTTTGGTGTCTTGACACATAGATTTAATCCCCTCTGCCAGGTATCTCGGAACGTTCTTCGCTCTGAGAGCTTCCCTTATGTTATCTCGTGGAACCGAGTCAAAGGCAGATTTGAGGTCAAGGAAAGCCAGGTACATATTTTTATCCAGGTCCCAGGATTTCTGTAAGACATTTCTTAATGAGAAAATGTGATATCGGATCTAGAGTTATTAAAGTACAGTCAATGTATTTAAGGTTATTAAAATATGTTTTATTCATCCATGAAATATTTTTATATTCAACTTCTTCTTTTCCACAAGTTTAATAAAATAATTTTAAACAATTTCGTTACCACGATTCTTTATATTATATTCAAACTTAAAAATTATTTTAAAAAATTACATTGAGTTAGGCAATTTCATTTAGTTTACATGGAAACATTTGTTTTCCGTTAAATAATATAATTTTCAGAAATTATTATTTATAATTTTTTTATTACTCTCTATTATCTTCCAAGACTTTATGTTAGATTATTTTTTTCAAAATTCTCACGTTTTCCAACGATATGTTATACGTATACCTTCTTAAAATAATTTGTGAAAATTAATTTTCATCATGAAATTATAATTTTCCTATATTCAACTTAAGTCAATTATTAATTTTTTTCTTAGTTTCTATGGAACCTTTTCTTATGACTGTTATCAATGAGAGAAAGTTAATTATTTACAATAAACCTAATTAAGCATACTTCAGAGGAAGAACTTTTGAACATTTGAGATTTAAGCCCTGTTATGTTACATCAATGAAGATAAGATTTAACTGAAACTAAAGACTATTTAATTGTTCATTAATATACCAAGTCTAACAATATTGTTCGAGCCATTTTTGAGAAAATTGTAAAAACGGATAAAATAGATAATATAAAGTGGCGCTCCGGTTAAGTGATTTTAAAGAAAAAGTGGCTGTAACATCTCAGCCATAAACCTTCCTTAAATATGTAATTTCAGTTTCGTGCGACTTTTCATTTTTGAGCTAGGATGTTCACTAACACATACACACAAATCGCCGAATGTCCGACATGAATGACCACCGAAGAACTGTGGAGCACGTGTTCTTTTCATCCACCCCCTTCAACGAGGAATGAAGATAATTGGAAAATGTGTGTGAACAGAATGTTACCTCCAAAAATATGATGGGGCTTATGTTACGAACGGACGAGCATTGAGGAACGGTAAAGAGGTTCGCCTAGGTTTTCCTACAGAAATTGAGAGAGAAGAAGAAGATCAGGAGCGGTCTTCAGCTAAAAGATAATTAATGTCTCACGATGATTAAATAGACATAATACAATGAGACGGCGCATTGCCATTCCCTTCCATGAAATAATGCATAACAATGGTTCCTTGGAGGCAGGGTTGCCCATCCTCCCAATGACGCAAGAACCTACCTCCCTCCCTCCTCCCAAGATATTTTATTTCTCACCTTTTCTTAAAATCAGAAGAAGCTAAGGTAGAATTAGAGAAATCGTAGATCATATACAATTACACTGCTGTCCTATGTTTCCGCCTTGCCCCTTGGTCGGAGAAATTTATAACCACGTAGAAATTTGTCCCCCTCAAAAACCCGTCAAAATATAGCCCCCTCAAATCTTTTGAAGGCACAGCTTGCGCCATGAAACCTCTTCTGGACACCCCTGCTTGGAGGGAAATGAACGTGTGAAGGGAGGTTGGTTTTAGTGGGTAAGAATCCCACACGCGAATTGATACGGTTCTAATCATGTCTTTTGAAGATATCTATTTACCCACGTAAAAATAAAATAAAAACACACACCATTTTCTGGGATTTGGTTGTTTGGATTCAAAGGATCTCTAAACGTTTATTCCCATTGAAAACTCAGATTCGAAAATTTTCAGATATCGTATACATAGGTAAGTGAATGGAAAAATATGTAAATTTAACACTGTGTTAACACCCCTTCTACCAAAAGTCCAAAAATGCACCCAAAAATAACTGTAAAATGTGTCTTAAAAAAAAAAAGGCAAATCTCTCCCTCTATCCAGTATTCACATAACCTAATTATCCCGTTCTCATTTAGCATATAATTTTATGGATTTAGTTCTTTATGTTTGTCAAATACTTTCCCCCTGCAAATGCTTAAATAAAACAAATGATGCTACCCTATTATTATTTCCGCCTACTATTGATGAACTCTGTGCTCCGGTCCTGGTAGTTCCGTATAATATTGACCAAATGTAAGAACAATACGTCTAGGTCTTGCCCACTCAGCCTTATTCTTGTTCTTGGTCTTACTCTAGAGTCTTGCAAATCTATCAGTTACCTACTCGCTTATTGCTATTTATTAAACATGTTACTTTAGATCTTAGAAAAACGTACAGAATAGGCACATTTGGATGTTTTATTGACGTAAAAAAAGTAAAATCCAACCAACTTAAAAAAATAACTTGACAATACAATAAAGGCACTGCCAAGAAAGATATTGATAAGTCCCCACCTTGGAAGGGAAGAGCAGTAAAGACAATCTATACAATGGCACCAATTATTTAAATATGTTAATTAAAAATAACATAATTGAATTAGATCAATTTTCCTGACAACCGATCAGAGAAATCATTAGAGTACGATTTATTTGATGAACTAATACACTGTATCGTAGCTAAAACATAGTATTTTATAAAGGAAGAAGATGGTCCGGGGTTGCGGTCACAAATAGGCTAAATAGTGGTAAAACTATTTTATTGAAAGCCGACGTTTCGAATTCTAAACTGACGTAAATAGGATCTTGTTACTCAGCTTACTTTGTTCATATTTTATTGTACTTACTGTTTATAATTTTAATAAGCTTATTCACATAGTTTATAAATTATGGCAAACTATTATGTAACTGCCACAATTCTCTATCTTTTTACAACTTGTCCGATCTAGCCCAGATGAAGACCTGCAAAGTCGAGTCGAAACGTCGGCTTTTAATAAAATAGTTTTACAACTATTTAGCCTATTTATGACCGCAACCCCGGACCATCTCCTTCCTTTATAATGCAACGGTCAACTATTAAATATTCTATAGTATTTTATGCTTTAAAAATCGTATTTTTTATTTATTTTTTGACCAATCCTAGTCTTGGTCTTGCAACAATTAGACGGTCTTGGTCTGGCAAAGTGCAAGACCAAGACCAATTTTGGACAACACTGGTTGCGTATAAGGGAGATTCAAACTATGTAGTAAATATTTTTCTAAGTAATGCGTTTAATATTTTTTTTTTAAGAATAAATACAGCTACATCATCACGATGTAACTGAGTTAATATTAGCACAGACGCGAGAATTTAGTTTGAGATAAGTAAAGTAAATAACAAACTAGTTGCTGTGGCAGGTCGACTGTGTTGGCAGCAGTGGGCAAGATGAAAGCATCTGACTACTTCCGAGGGATCACCGTCGAGCCTACAATATTCCTCAACGCTTTGGGGCTCGCTTTCTCTGCCTTGACTGTTCAAAACCTCTTAGTGCAAAAGACATGCTATCCTGACATCCAACCTCCCATCGCTCTTATATGTAATGACCCTCTTAAGGTCGGAGAAGCCACAGGTGATTTGAAATGTTTACCATTGTAGAAGGGATACTTTAAACATAAGGTAACCAGACGTCCCGCTTATTGGCAATTAGTTTTTATAAAGACGTTTGACGTTTTAAAAAGTCCCGTTTTTTTTTAAAGAATGCAAAAGCTAGGAAAAGGCAGGAGAACGGGAAAGAATACAGTTTCCGGCGGCCATGTGGCTATTTCGCAGGATATAAGTTAAATACAACTTTTGATAAATTTATAATGTTAAACTTTAATAATACCGAATAATTGATTATCGAGAACTGCTTAGCAAAGTTCGCATTGTTGATCAGTTGTTAGAATTCGTTCAACATTGTTTGGACTTAATAAACAACACGATAATGATATTTTTAATAAGGATGTAAAGAAAATATATAGATAAGGAAAAGAATTCATATTTGACATCAGCAAATTAAATTTATTTATTACTTCGATAACCGAAATTTTGTCACAACCAGTAAGTTTCATAGTGTACAAACTGCTGGCACAAAATATCTAAGTATTAAAAACTGTGTTATTATTCAAGTAATAAATTAGACGTTAAATACATTACTGAATTATTCGCTCTCCAAAATACGTCTTTAAAACTAACTTCTTTCCCTTATTTCAGCTCTCCCCTCCTCGGTCAATGGTATCTCCCATTATGAATGTAAAATTCTGGCCACCTTATTTATACATCATGTAGCCTTTAATTTTTAAAGTTTCGTAATAAATATATTCCTTCTGCTTCTTCAGTCCAAGTATCATAATCATCTTCCATAATGCTTAAAAAAATTTAGCTTATTACAAATGATTTTGTACTATCGGTGTGTACGCATTTACTATGCACTTAATAATTGAATGAATGCGACGTAGTATTGTAATGAGGTAGTAGTAAAACTTTTTCGTCGCTGTTATATATGAATGTAAAAAATTTTCATTTCCTCATTTATCACTATAAAATAATCACATCACAATATCAAAAAATCCCTAAGCGCACTCGATCAGTTACACAACCATCCTAATTTCAATGAAAGAGAGGATAACTTTCGAATACTTCGCATACTAGTCGTAAAATTTTCATAAGAGAAAGCATAAAGAAGATATCTTAGGTTAAACCAAGGATTTATATATTTAATAGCTTTGATTTAACAAATTGAGATGTGGTAACTTGAGAAATAGTAGTTGCCATTCCACCGATTTGAAGAAATAAAAATCTGGATTTTTTTTTAGCTATCTTCTGTTTTTTTTTTATATTACATAAACGAAGTATTGATTGGCTAAAGCGATCCAGTAGAGAATTGAAAAGATTTAGTTATGTTTTTTCAAATTACTGAGAGTTAGAATTATATGATTTTTACCTTTTTATGAATATTAGCGCAAATTATTATTATAATTATTTTAAAAATAACTTGCTGGCGGTTTCCATAACATGTTTTTTCAGTAATATTTATTACTTATTTATTACCTACACTTATAGCAATTTAGCCTTACTCCGTTAAATAGTTTATTTATTTTTGGTTTCGTTTCGAAACTGTAAATCACAATTTTAGACTTCATTGTTCTTTACTATGGCGTGATCCCCTTTGTTATATTTTTCAGGAATTCCTTGAACATTAAACATTGCGAAATAGATTATATTGTTACAGATATGATAAAAAGAATCACGGAACAATAAAGACTGATGAAGCCTGAATACGGGTTTTGCGATCCTGAATTATATAAGGATAACAATAAATAAGTCATATTATTTCATTTTTGTTTGGTCAATTTTTTTTTTTTTTTTGTATGCAGTTAACTTAATGCCTAGGTAATGTTTTAAATCAAAGTATTTATTTCTTAAGTGAAAAAATATACGAGACTTTAGCTAGAAGAAGTTTTAGTTAAAACAGTTTGGTTTTATGAGATTTTACATATATTTATATGGATTATAATAATAAATATTTATGTTATGTACTATGTAATGTTTGATGACTTTGTTATGTTTGCAGATATATTATTCGCTAGGATAACACTTCGATCAGTGTTGTCTGCCATAGCAGTTCCTCTTTTAGGTTCTTGGAGGGATGCTACCGGAAAAAACAGACTACTCACATATCTGGCATTGGTCTCCGAAATGGTCATTGCGTTTATGTATCTCTTAAGCTCATGGAATTGGTCCATATCCCCTTGGATAGCCAGTATTACTGAAGCCATACTGGGAGGAATATGTGGAGAAAATATCTTACATTTAGTATCGACTTGTGTCATCAGTGAAAATTCGAAGCCAGAGGACAGAACATTAAGGTATTCAAATGTCAACAACAATTTCATTTTATATTCACACAAGTACAATGAAATAGTATCTTAAACAATGTCATTACCTTGATTCCGTGGATTTTAAATACATTTTGTCAAACTTAAAAAATGTTTAACGTTTACATTTAGCATGAAAATTTCATTTAATTTCCTTGAAAACATAAGATTTACGTTAAGTAATGTTAGTTTTCAGAAATTATTATTTATATATTTTTCGTCAATCTCCGTTACCCATCTTATTTATAAGATATTTTTTTTTTTTCTGAAATTCTCCGGTTCCCAACGATATATTATAAGTGTACCTTCTGACTTGTATGTCCGGAGATTTATTTTCGACCTTTATAAGCATTTTTATTTTTTTATCCTTTATTCAATTATGAAATTCTTTCAAAAGTTATATTTAGCATTTTTTTATAACTCTTAATAATGAGAGATAGTTGATTATTTAAAATAAACCATATTAAAGGTACTTTAGAGGAAGACGCATATGAACATTGGGCATTTAAGCTCTGTAAAGTGACATAAACGGGGATAAGACCTAAATGATATTAAAGACCAGTTAATTATACAATGATACACCGAGTTTAATCAAAATCGTTAAAGTCGCTTTTGAGAAAATTGTAAAAATGTGTTTAAAGTGGCACTTCCGGTGAGCCGATTTTAAGGAAAAAGTTGCCAGGGCATCTAAGGTATATAACTATCTTAAATACGTAATATCAGTTTCGTACGACTTTTCATTTTTGAGCTAGATTCTTCAACATACACACACATACCATTTTACGAGACTTGGTTATTTGGACTCAGGAGACCTCAAAACGTATAGTTCCGCTAAAAACTCGAAAATTTTCACGATCACAATACTTTCCAATACTGTATATTACATATATTGGTAAGTGAAAGTAATAACTGTAAAATACGTTTAAGTCACTAGAAAGAGTGGGAGAGTCGAGATTTATTTCATAGGTACGCCACGAAATAAATTTCAACCCATCTATACCGAATTCGAATCGCCACCGCTAGTCTCGAGAATGTTAAATTTGGAGACGCTATAACACGCTCGGAAACTACGGCTTCATCTCCTGCTATATTTATTTTTTTAAAACACTTTTTCCTTGTCTGTGCACACCTATTTGCATTTTATTTTATTTTACTGATTAAAAAAACAGTTTAGTTTCCTATACTGATTACTGATGGGCTCAACAGCAAATTTATTATCATGTGCACTACCTAGTCTACAATGCCACCTCACAAAAAATTTAATGAAATGGCATATGTTTTCTATTTACTGATACTTGACATCCACTTTAAAAGTATTTTAGTTGGGAAGAGGAAGTCTTCATTCCACGCCGAATGGAACACTGCCACTTACCCTCGGCTTTCTCTGGTGGCAAAGGACCTAGAGATGTACTAGAGATGCCAAACATAATAGTTATCGAGAACACTTTCACAACTAGGGTTCCATATGTCATTTAGAATTACCTTTCCAAAACTGTTTACTGCTTAAATTGTTTCTCGTTCCAAATCAGCAAATGGGCCAGATTTTATGGGCTTTTTGCCACATAAAATAAAAATTATAACATTTTTGGTTTGAAATATTTAAGTTTGATGTGATCTAAAACGGCACTAAATCATCAAGCAAGCATTTAGTATGATATCAATTATATTTTAAGAAGTAAATGATTCTTATATCTGTCCCACTAATTTATTTTATGCTGATATTTGTTGAAGGATTCAGTTAAATGTTGTAGCAACACTGCTTGGAGCCGGAATAGGAGCAGCTGTCAATGGTTTCATATTAACTCCGATTGGCTACGAGTGGTTTTTTACGATAATCATTGCTCTCAATATGATGGCTCTAATATTTGCTGTAATTTTCGTCAAGGATGCAAATCGTGACCTGACAGTAAAAAAGAAATGGATATTTGTTGAAAAATTAAATTATGTATTTCAGACCAGACCTAACAATTCAGTGATTTGGATAATGCTGGTTTGTGTATCCCTGGCGGGAACTTTTCAGTCAGGTAATTGTATCAATTAAGCTTAGTAAAAATAATATTTATATATGTGAAAACCTAGTATTATAAAAAATATTAATAACAATCTTTGCCTAAATCCACTTACTTCGTTCATTGAACACAATCAAATCAAACTGTTACCAGTCAGACCTCCCATAATTCTTCTGTCTTTGTTTCGGTAAATATATTTTTTTTTTCTAATTATTTCTTAATGATATTTACAACTGTATTAAATAAATACATCTAGTAAATTTGAACATATGGATATAATGACATGAAAACACTTGCTGAGTAACTATCCAATGGTAGCACTCTAATGATATGTCTACATTGGGAGATCACGGGGCCATCTTCTTTTCAGACGCCTCTGGGGGTTATCAGGAATTGAAGAGGAAGCAAGGTTAGAAACGAGAGGGTTCGCATGATTCTGAAGTTTATTATGGAAGGATAGGTATCTGGATTGGGCCAGATCTCAAACATGAGAAACATTAAGGTCATTATGGATGGTTTTATTTGTAACAAAGTAGGGAGCATTGAGGATTTTACGAAGGATTTTGGATTGTAAGGATTGGATACGAGAGGAATTTGATGGTTTAGTGGAGCCCCATAGCTCAGCTCCGTAAGTCCAAATAGGCCTTATTATAGTCATGTATATGAGACTTTTGTAATTAATTAGAAGTTTAGAGCGTTTGTCTATTATGTGCTGAAGTAATCGGAAACGTTGAGCGGTTTCTTGTCGTTTCAGTCTAGTATGAGGATTCCAAGTTAGTCGTTTGTCCAGGTAGAGCCCTCGGTATTGGATTTGCTAAGCAGGGTTAAGTGGATTATTGTTAAAGGAAACTATAGGACAGGAAGTCATTGGCTTACGACGAAGGGTAAAGGTAATTTGGTGGGATTTATTGGAGTTTATTTTAATTATCCAGTTTTGACACCATTCTTCAAGATTTATGATGTGTGATTGAAGCATTTAGGAAGCAATTGATGGGTCATTATTTAATGATAGGATACATGTGTCATCGGCATATGTGGTGATTACAGTGTTGGGATAGTTAGGGATGTCAGCTGTATAAACTGTATAGAGGATAGGACCTAGGACACTACCTTGAGGAACACCAGCGGACTGGGAAAAATAGAATGAATAGGCGTTTTTGTTCTTTACTTTAAATTATCTATCAGTAAGGTAGGCACGGATAATGAGGAAGTATGTAAGTGGTAGGAATTTTCGGAGTTTGTACAGCAGTCCCGGATGTCAAATTCTATCAAACACCTATTCAACGTCGAGAAAGACTCCCGTACAGTACATTCCGCGCTCCAATGCAGAGGAGACTACGTCTACCACACGATGATATTGCTGTATAATGGAATGGGAAGTGCGGAATCCAAATTGGTGATCTGGGATGATGTGTCTAGAATTTATGATAGGGCGGTAAATATCTAGGATGGTTATCAGCCTGTAAGGAACTGATGTTATATTTAGTTATTTCTTTTTTATCAATTCTGTTATACATACATCTGACAACTCGAAGCTATCAATGGTATTTACCGAGAGTAGTTTGACATGAAAAAGCAGGAGTTTACTGGAGAGATTCAGAAGCAGATTCGGCGAGAATCCTAACCAATGAAGAAAGATTGTCAGGAAAGAATCCATTGAGGAGTGGAACAGACATTGGGTGACAAGCAGGAAAGGGTCTACCTTCAAGAAGTTCTTCCCCACCGTCCAAGACAGAACCACGATGATCTGGAAAAAAAGTACATTTCAATAATCAGGAGCCACCTGTAATTGTAAAGCAGGTATAATTCATGTCAAACGTCAACAATAAAAATTGGTTAATCAACATATTGAATTGAAAACCACAACGACAAATCATCATGATACTTGTTTTCCTCCAAGAAGCTTCAAATCCGGGGGCTGTGTGGCAGACAATTCTAACATGCTCAAATTGGCTACCCCACCTTTAGAGGCGAGTATGCTGGGATTTCGATGTCGCATGAAGGAACCTCTATCACCATTATTACTGTTTGGTTCTATTAATTAACGTAAAAATGTGCACCCACCTATAGTTTTGTAGAACAAATTCATGCTTAACCAGGGTATTAAATGCTTTTTATATCAAAAGCGGACGTAGGATTTAATAGTTAGTGATTAATTTGATGGTAAGTTCCCAAGAAAAGTTATAAATTTAACAATCAAAAATTCGATTTTTTTATATAATTTGAAATGGAAAACTTAGCACATATTGTAATTCTTTAGGTTTTATTTTTCGTATACAGTTATTATAATTCTATAAGAGTGAGAAATATGTAATGTTGACTTCGACGGTTGATGGTTAATGAACTATAGAACTGAGGGATGTCCATCTCCCTCAAGATCTATGACGCTTACCTACTTGCACTCCCAAAATATTTTATTGCTCATATTTTATTATAAACAGAGCCAGCGTGTAGGTAGAATTAGAAACATCGTAGATCATATACAATCACACTTTTTTTTTGGGTCCTCCCCTTCCTCGCCGTTAAGGCTATACGGGGTTTTCCCGGGCCAGGGGGTGTGGGCGGGGATTTAAAAGACGCCTTCACACCGGGACACGAACTCATGACTATTTTTGTATCAATTATCATATATGAGGGTTGCCGAGCAACGATGGTGCAGTGCAGAACGAACCATTCGGCCACCCCGCCCACTAAAAAAAAGAGAATGATTAACCCGGCATTGAACCTGGCAATTTACTATAGTAAAATGAGACGCTAGCCATTACACTATTAAGTGCTCTACACAATTACACTTGCTGTGTTTTGTTTCATGTTTTTTCCTTGTCCCTTAGCATGAAACTTTCCATTTAAAAAATTCATAACCCTGTCAAAATGTGCCTCCCTTAAAAATTCATAATATGCACCCAAAAAATGCAAAAATTTTGATGGCGCAACTTGCGCCATGGAACCCCCTTCTGGGCACCCCTGGTAGAACTGGATGTTGACTGTTTCAATTTTCTACTAAGAGTGAGTTGTCCGGTTTTCCCAAATTTGAGGTGGCGCACTCTATAGGGACACCCAAGAAGCTGACTGACTTATATCAAAGTTGTCAGTTTCTATGTATGATTCATGAACGATATGCCGCGGAGTTTGATGCTCCTAATGTTTACTTTGAGGTTGTCGCCGCTCAAATATCCGACTCGTCTCATAATATTAACAAACACACAATAAAGTTGTTAATACAATACACAATAATATTGTAATACAATAATACAAATGCATAATTGCTAAGGTTTCTATTTCTTATTTATACACACAGCCTTTTTTACCATACCATACCATAATAATATATATAAATCAAATAAATTTGTCCCATGTATAATTTTTAATTTGATTGATTTTAATTCTGTTATTAATATATATATATTTATGGATTTTTGCAATATTTATTCATCAAATTAAGAATATAAACATTAAACATTCAATATATCAATCCAGCTTAAGAACCCTTGCACTAGTTGACTTCTCAAGGAAAATATTCTACAAAGTGCTATATTTTCTAAAATATTAACGTAAGTGGCCACTTTTAAGATAAATATGACTGTTTATATTTAACTAATTAATGTATATAATTATATTATATTTATCTTTTATTTTTAGTTTGTGAAAATTCATTTTTTCATCTGTCTATTTTCTTTATAATTTAGTTACATAAATGAACCAGCATATTTATGTGAGTATTTATTTTTATAAGAATGTAATAAATGTTTCTATATTCACAGCTGAAAATAATCTTCTTCTATATTATCTCCAACAAGGCTTCCAATTTTCAATGATCGAAACTGGACTATTTGGATCGTATAAACTTACCATTTGTGTGTTGGGTAAAAAATATAAATAAATAACAAAAGTTAAGTTTGTACTTAGTTATGTTTTTAAAATCCTATTTTTTTCAATTTTAGGTGCAGTAATAATGACTCCTGTATTTATGAAAGTCCTTAAATGGTCAGATTTTAGAGTTGGCATCATATGCTCCTTTTTCACTATATTGTCCTCTTTGTGTATGATACTTGTAAAAACAAAACTTCAACTATATTTACGTGAGTCCCCTTTAAGTAGCGGTATTACGGTTAATTATAGTAAATATCATTAACCATATTTTTTAATCACTATATCATATCTTCCTATTTGTAGTTTGTTTATTGGATGTCTTGAAAATGATACCGATGTCATTGCCAAAATCTATCATCAGTAAATGTGTTCCAAGCGACGAATTAGGTAAGTTAATCTATGAAATGTAAGTTAAAAAATTGCTATAATTATATCCTAGCTATTGTAATTAATTGTCGGCCCCAATGACGCCTTTTCATGTTCGTTTTAATTTAAAATTTAAGATATATCACCTTAAAACGTATATTTCCGTTGTAAACTGAGATTCAAAAATTTTCACGATCGCAATACTTACACTTACTATATATTACATATGTAGGTAAGTGAAAGTAAAGAACAATCAATCTTATTTTTCTTATATGAGAGAAGACGTGGAATATATAAATATTTCAAGTAGTATTTCGGATGAATGAGACATTCATTTATAACTTAAATCCGATAATATATTTAAAAAAAGAAATATTTGTATTTAAAAAAATACAAAAAATCTAACTACATTAATCGGGAAATGATATCCACCCTAGGGGAATGTTCTTAAATGCCGATTTAAAAAAATTGTTTCCAATAAAGTATCTTTGATATGTTTTTTTAAAATAATAAACTACTTTGTTTCGCATTAATTTATTAATCGTTTCACATTAAAATTAATAATTATTAACTAAGGAAGAATAATTTGATAATAATTTAAATAATAAATAATAAAAGGCTGGTGAGATTGGACCATGCCCTAACGAAGGCAACGAGCGTGATTTAGCTCCGAATGATTACAGGGAGGGTGATATCATAATGGCGTTTTATAAGAACATTGCTCATGAAAATTTAAATTATATAAGTTTTTTCAAACAAAATTATTATATACAACATTCTACTCAGACCAATAATTATTCATACCAATAATCATACTTAAAATAAATGTATATTAAAAAAAGAACTAAACTAATCAAAATAACAACTTAAACACGAGCTTACTTTTATACAATACTACCTGCTGTACCCGTCGTTGACGGGTGTATAATTAAAATTTGAGAATCTTTTTTTAGATGGATTTTCTATTATGGAGGGAGGAGAGTCCAAATTCAATTTCATAAAATTGGGTCGGGTGGAGGGAGAGAGTTGTTTTGAATTTTTTTATGACGGGGCTTATGGAAGTCAAGATTTCGCAATAGTCATAACAACAACTTTGTTATTTGGCTATTTGTTTAAGTACCACACAACTAAACCGATCACGACCAATCCATTAAAATTTGCTGTGTTTAATTCGTTTATTACTAACTAAATTTCCACTACAGTGGAAATACTCACATATAATAATGATTCACAAGCTTAACAAGGAGAAATACTCACCTTCCTCATTCAAGCTTACTGAACAAAAGACTTGTTGATATACTAACAAACAACCAAATAATACCTGACCATCAATTTGGATTTAGGCCACATCACTCAACTATACACCAACTACATAGAGTAACGGACTACATATCTACAGCACTAGAGCAGAAAATATATGCAACTGGCGTATTTCTGGATGTTGCTCAAGCGTTTGACAGAGTTAGGCACCAGGGTCTTCTCTTTAAACTCAAGACAATACTCCCACCTACATATTATCTAATTCTACAATCCTTCCTTTCCGATAGATTTTTCTCGGTCTGACACGGGTCAGAACTATCTTCCATCAGGTCTATCTCAGCAGGAGTACCTCAAGGTTCAGTACTCGCTCCACTACTCTATATCACATACACCCATGATATACCTTGCAGTCCCAACATTTTAACAGCGACATATGCAGACGACACAGCAATTTCAGCAAGACACAAAAATCCAATATACGCCTCACAGACCCTACAACAGTATTTAACAAGATTACATGACTGGTTCAAAATTTGGAAAATCCGACTAAATCAAGACACAGCACATCACATTTACGCTTCGACATGAAACATACCCTCCAGTTTTCCTTGACAATACACAGATTCCACAGACAGACACCGTTCACCTTGGTCTGACATTTGACAGAAAAATGACGTGGGACCCACATATAATCAAGAAACGAAAAACGCTAAATCAAAGGTTCAGAATTCTGAGTTCACTTCTTTCGAAAAATTCTAAACTAAAACTTAGACAGAAATTGAACACATACAATTACTTACTAAAACCTATTTGGACTTACCCATCACAGATATTTGGAACTGCTTAAAAGAATCACTTAAACAAACTTCAAATCTTTCAAGCAAAAACATTCAGAACAACAAAAGCACCTTGGTACGTTAGCAACATAACCTTACATACTGACCTCCATATGCTATTACTTACTTCCGACTGTTAACGAACACATACGAACTCATTACAAACGATTCCATGACAACTTACAAGGACATCCTAATACACTTATAAATGACATGGCCAGGTGATCCCAGCGCCTCTCACTCAGCTGAACAGAGGCGCTATAATCACAAACATATGGCTCCAGTGGAGGATTTGGCCGTTGCCAAAACTCCAATACATGCTTATTCACAAAAGGGGCATCTGCCGCTTTAACCTTCGAGGAGGATTGTAGGGATGGGTGGAGCTGGTCTGACATATACCACTAAGGTGTGCGGTCCATGCAAAAAAACACACTTACATACTATCCAAATCTTCCAATCTAAATTTCTCCGCTATATCACTCATTGTCCCTTACGTTGGCCTTCTACGTAACCAACAAATCGCTTCATAAAGACCTAAAAATACCACAAGTGACTGACGTAATTAAGAAGTTTTACAACAATTTTCACGACTGACTTATTGGACATCCTAATTCCCTTGTACAGATATTACTAACAGACAAACTACCACAGAATCCAACAAGAAGACTCAAACACCTCTGGAGCAGGGATCTGCTACATTAAGAACAGTCACGTTAGGAGTGCCTTCACTGGGAGGTTTCTCCAATCACGCATTCTTGTTAATCCTGCAGAGGAAGTTGGCAAATGATGATCACATTTACAATATATGCCAAAGGAATTTGTAAAGTTTTTCAATAAAGAAATTATTATTATTATTATCTCTCACGTATTAAAGCACGTCTAAATTTCTGGTCAACACAAATTTGGGTGTGAAATTAAAAAATAATAGGTACAGACAAAAAATATAAAGAATAGAATAGAATAGAAAAAATACAATGGAAGCATTTTATATATACATCAGATTAAATTTCAGTTAATTACAGGACAGTCATCATGAAGGTATTATAAATAAAATAAAGGAATATAATTAAAAGACAAAAAAGGCATTGAATTCAAATTTTAAGAGTAAATCAGAATAATCATAAAAAAAAAAAAAAAATAATGGAGAAGTATAAACAACAAATATTTGAAATTTATATGAAAAGACATAACATAAAGATTAGCTCAAAGGTCAATAATAGATAAGGTAGAGTGACAAAGGATGAATTGTCCATTCCTTTTCATGGAAAGTTTTAATATTTCAGAAGTTAAAATTTTAGTCTAAATAAAATGATAATAAATTTATATTTTGCAATATTATTCATATTAATGAGTTTTATATATCGTATCAGTATTTATTCTAGAAAATATCCTGAAGATAAGAGAAACACCGAATAGTCCTTGGTACAAGCCTCTTTTTATCAAATTATTAATGCCTAAAACTTCGTCATCTCATTATTCGGACTATTCGGTGTTTCCCTTATCTTCAGGGTGTTTTCTAGGATAAATACATATACGATACATAAAACTCAATAGTATGAATAATATTGCAAAATATAAATTTATTATCATTTTATTTAGACTAAAATTTTAACTTCTCAAATATTAAAACTTTCCATGAAAAGGAATGGACAATTCATCCTTTGTCACGCTGCCTTATCTACTATTGACCTTTGAGCTAATCTTTATGTTATGCCTTTTCATATAAGTTTCTAATGATTTATATGAAAATAAAATTTGAATACAATGTCTTTTTTGTCTTTTATATTATATTCCTTTATTTTATTTATACTACCTTCATGATGAATGTCCTGTAATTAACTGAAATTTAAGCTGATGTATAAATAAAATGTTTCCATTGTATATTTTATATTCCATCCTATTCCTTATATTTTTTTTTCTGTACCTATTATTTTTTAATTTCATATTCGAAATTGTGTTGACTAGAAACTTAGATGTGATTTAATACATGAGAGATAGATAGGAAAAAAAGCTCTTTTATTTGACAAACCTATGATAATAAAATTAGACATAGCATATCATACTTCAATAATTATATTTAGCTTGCAGGCGATATCCGTTTCCAATCATCAAGATCTTCTTTATTCCTTTTCTGGTAAATAGATACATACAGGATTTCATATGTACTTAAATTTTTTTTTAAGCTCTGACCTAATTTTAATTTCCATGATCAACGTTTTTATAAAACGCCATTATGATATCACACCCTTGTTATGAATCGGACCGCTCGAAAAAACTCGGCTATCTCTCGGCAAAATCGCGCTGATTGCCTTCGTTGGGCCTTAGTCCAAACTTACCAGCCTTTTATTATTTATTATCAAATTATTCTTTCTTAGTTAATAATTATTTATTTGAATGTGAAACGATTAATTAATTAATGCGAAACAAAGTAGCTTATTATTTTAAAAAATCAAAGATACTTTATTCGGAAACTATTTTGAAAAATCGACAAGTCTTTAAAAAATATTTTAATGAAACAAATACTGGTATAATGTTAAACTGCAATTAATTATATATTTATGTTGAATTTAATTAATATCTTTGGTGCTGTTTACCAGAAAATTGTTAAAATTAATAATATTAAGTGCTACTTATAGTCATTAGATTTTAGAGACAAAGTATACCTATTAAAATGTAGAATTTCAGTTTCACTCGAATTTCATTTTTTGAGCTGGGAATATACAGCAGTATGCGAAACTTAATTATTTGGACTCAGGGGGCCTTAAAACCTACCTTACCTTTGAAAACTCGGATTCTCTTTACACATGAAGGAATCCGGTTGGCCGAACACGGCTTTAACAATCCTAGTTTTTTTTTTCTTCTTGTGAGTAAAGGTTAGGAATTTGTTCTGTATTGGAGTTGGAAAATAATATTTTTGATTCCCAGAATGAGCTCCTCACGAATCATTATGAGTAGTTATTTAAATAGTAGAGCGAGAAACTACTTTTTCAGAATCATGACAATAATGTAATAAGTGAAATTTCTAAAACTATATTTCAAACCATTGACTGCTCTGAAAGTTAAAGAAGTAACGTGTTCATGTTTAATTTTAACATTGGTTTATACAGAATTGATTGTTTCAGGATCATTCCTGGGTGTTGGATCCGTGCTAGGAATCATCTTACCATTTATTGTAAATTATTTATATAATACCATATTTTCTGCTACATCTTCTAAAATGCCAGGTGCTTTCTTTATAATAAGTGCTATTGGAAATTTTATTGTTCTTATTTTGTACAGGTAAGTTAAACATATTATATTATTATATAACTCAATTAATTGCTCGATTTAATGATTTCTGTTTGATTCTGTCAATTATTTATTTAAATGTTTACTTTAGTTGGTTTTTATTTGTGGTTTGTATATAATTTGAAAGCAAATAAATTAGCTTTAGATATTATCTAAATCTTATACAAAATTATATTTATTTTTCAGCCTGAGTTCATGCTTATTCAAGGATCCTTCCGAAAAACGTCTTGAAACAACCGAAAGCGTTATGGATGTTGGAAATTGGAAACATTTTGATCCTGAAGATAAATATAAACGATTCTGATAAAATTGTCAATAAACTTGTTAACTTATTAGGAAGTTGTTAATTTTTATCACGCCACATCAACATTAAGTTATGACTAACTGTGTCTCACCATTTTATTTAAAGCACTTCTATATATGTATAAAAAAATGTATTCTCCATAAACTTCTTTCCCATATCTGTCCAATCCCTCAAATCGAAGTTATTCTCTTTAACCATTCACGCAAATAAACGTAGTAAATAATGCTTATAATATATGATTATTTGCATTAATTTTATAATAAATTTTACATTACTTCATGTTAGTATATTATTATCCTACACATGTATGTATAATACACAACTTTTTGCGTGATTTGGTTATTTGGACTAAAAAAACCACAAAATGTGTATTTTCGTGAAAAGTCCGATTTGAATATTTGGAAGAAAAACTTAGAACATACACGGAGATCATCGTAAATTTTGGAAGTTATTCCAACAATTTCACAATTTGAAGAATGGGGTAGCTCAGTGGTAGGGTACTGAGTTTCCAATACAAAAGGCCCCAGGTTTGAATCCCGGCTAATAGCATAAAAATTATTTATTCTGTTTCATTGGCCGTGGGGAGACAGACCCTCCTGGGGCACACCCAGCTTCAATACAGTGGGTACCCTTCATTAAAATAGTTGGTTAAGGGAAAAAAAACCGGCGGTTGAGCGTGATCTCGGCCAAATCACCTCCTTGCACAACTGTTGGCCAAGAAACAGTGCTTTCCCTAAATACTACTGAATCCAAGACCCTGGTTGTAGTGGTATATATTCTTTTTTTTTATTCAAACAATTTACAAGAACTTTAAATTCAAAGAGAATTCACGAGATTGATTAACCACTTCGCATCAATAATAGAGCACTAGAATGCGGTTAAATGCATAGTGTATTGTTAAAACAATTACCGAAAAAAGATATATTACTCTTGATTAATTTTTATAATTAATCTGTTTTGGTTCAGATGTTTCCCTACGAACTAGAAACATGCACTGTTATTTCCGGTTCTAAGCCCGTAAAAAAAAGAAATGACCCATCTCACTATCCTTAGTGTAAACCTTTTTCCTCACATGGGAAATATTTTTGAGAAGGTAATTCTGAATCACCTAAGGAAGTTCATACCCAAAATGATATAATATCTCTAGAACAATCGGGATTTCAAGGACAACTAAGTACAGACTTGTTAATGAGGCTGCAGAACGAATTGCCAAACCCCAACAGAAACAAGGCCACTACTGTGATAGTCCTTGACTGCTCGAAAGCATATGATTCCGTGTCTTATGTACTCCTATACCAACGACTTATTGTTCTTGGGTGTCCTGAGAAATTATAATCGATGATTGCATAATTTTTGTGGAGCGATCTTTATCAGTAAAAGTTTCCAAGCGAATTAATTTCTTCTCCCTTCAATCTCACGGTGGTGTTCCACAAGGTGCGGTACTGTCACCAGTACTGTTCTCTATTTACACAGGAAGCATTGTTCTTTAAACTTATTTATCAAGAAACATTACAATCTGTCTCAATCAAGGACATTTATTATAGTGTTAAGAGTGCACATTCCACGCTCTATGCACAATAAATAAAAAATATCGGGTGTGCCCAACACACAACTTTCACTAACCGCTCTACTATGAATAAAAATTATTTTCTAGCAATGTTGGACTATTATACAACTTTTGAAGTGCATTATTAACAGAGTTACAGCTTAAATATTACACCTAACAATTCTTTAAGATCATTAAAGTAACAGAAACTCTATTAATTATATCACTGTTAGGCAATAAAAACCTCGATAATCCATCTGTTTTTGTAAACCACAACTGCAGTCTCTGAGTGTTTTAAGGAATATATATATATATGTATATATATATATGTATATATATATTCCTTAAAACACTATATATATATATTTTTTTTTTTCGGTTTGCTCTACAGACCTTGTAAATCTTTGGCCGCCTTCTCCAACTCTGCCTATCTTGGGCTACTGCTTTCCAGTTTGCGGCCTGAAGCCCAGCCGTATCTTTGTTTATCCTATCTATCCATCTGGTTTTTGGACTTCCCCGTGGTCTCTTGCCTAATACTCACGCATTAATTGTCGTGTAGAGGCGTCCTGATGGATTACTGCGAGCTACATGCCCTGCCCATCTTAACCTCCTTGCCTTCATGTCATGAGATATTGACTGACCCGTTTCTTTCAGCAGGTTTTTATTCTTCCTTCTCCCCCATGTGTCAAGGTTCTGGTCCGATATAGGTCCTGTTATCCTCCGTAGAACTTTTCTTTCGAATCTCTCAAATCTGGGGTCTAATGTGCCGGTTAGAGCCCAGTTTCACAACCGTACAGCAGAACTGGCTTAATCACGGCGTTGTACACACTTATTTTGAGATTCCTGGAGATTTTTCTGGATTTCAGTACCTTTTAAAGAGAGAAGGAAGATCTGTTCACATTTGTTATTCGCTGATCTATCTCTATTATTTGATCATTTATTGAGGTTATTGTGGAGCCGAGGTATTTGAATCTGTCTACTTTCGGGAATGACTTAGAATCCACGCAGATCATGTTAATGGTGGATGTTTCGGCTAACTATCATGTATTTTGTTTTGTCTACGTTGACCTGAAGTCCGATTTGTTCTGCTTCTTTTAATAGAGTCCGAGCGAGTCTCTCAATATCCTCTTAATTACTTCCGCGGACAGCTATATCATCTGCATAAGCAAGGATTTTATGTTTCATTCCAAACGTGCACCCCTCCATCTTCGCGTGCTGTTATTCTTATTACTTTCTCTAGTGCAAGTTCAACAGCATCGGCAAGAGTCCATCTGCCTACCTCAAACCCGTTCGAACTTCAGAGGCTTCAGATACGTCTCCTTGTATTAGTACCCTTCATTTAGGATCATATGTACACGCCTTCATCAACCTCACTAGCTTCCCGGAAACACCCAGCTCAGTCATGATCTTCCAAAGACAGTTTCTATCAACGTAGTCATAGGCTGATTTGAAATCAGCCTATATTTGAAGTCGACAAATAATGCGTGTACGTCCTGATCTACTTCCCATCGTTTTTCAAGTACTTGTTTCAGGATGAATATCTGATCTAGCGTACTCCTCACTCTCCTGAATCCTGTTTGATGGTCGCCTATTATATTTCATAATACGGATATATCCGATTTAGCAGAATATTGGTCATTATTTTATAGGAGACTGGAAGAGGTGCTATGCCTCTGTAATTGCCACATTCATACATGCAACCCTTCTTAAGGATAGGACAGTGAACCCTGTTTTCCATGCTTTTGGTATCCATTCCTTCTCCCGTATCTTCTGGATTAGATCTAACAGCTTGGCTCTGAGGTCTTCTCCTCCATCCTTGAACAATTCTGATGGTAGGTTGTCTATACCTGGAGCCTTTCTTCTTTTAAACCTGCCGATAGCTATTTCCATATCCAGAATATCTGGTTTTTCAACCTCAAGTGGGTCGGTGTCCTCAGTGTGGTCCTATATATATATATATATATACATATATATATATATATATATATATATATATATATATATATATATATATATATATATATGCCTAGAGAGATTTGAAAGTATGTCTGTATATTCAACCTATAAATGTAATGGATTGTACGCCTGTTAGTTATTCCAATGTTATTTCCCATTGTAAATTTTACTAAAATAAAATTACGAAATTTTCATTGTCTGCTATGGATAGGTCAAAAGTTGTCACACTAATTGTAGGTAACTGGATAATATTGGAATTCACAAAGAGAAAATATTCATCAACTTTTTCACTAATTTAATTTTCTAAAGGTTATCTGACGATTTTCCAGAATAAACGGACGCTGATACCTAATTATTTAAATTCAAAATCATATCTAGGACCGTAGGAGATCCCATTGCCACTCACTCAGACTAACTAGTATTAAAGACCAGTGTAGACTGTGCAGAGGCACAGACGTACATGGCTTAAGTGGAGATTCTGGCCATTTTCACAACTACGATATATGATTATCTACAAGAGGTCTCTGGGTCACTGCCGCTTCAACTTTCGAGGCGGATAGGTGGAGCTAGATAGGGATTGTGCAAGAGAAAATATACAAGGTTCTAATGAAATTTGGAGAATTTTTCTGAGATAATGTCTAGGACAAATGAGATATTAAGATCATGGTGTAAGGTTTTGTTGGTTACATAGAACTCAACCTCAATTATTGTTCGAAGGACTGCACTAAAAAGATTAGATGCGTTAAAAAAACGTTAAAAAATTTTGCTGCCCCCACAGTTATCCGTAAGTCCAAATAGGTTTCGGGATTGTCTTGTAGAACAGTTATTTGTTGTCAATTGAAAAATGAGATTTTCTAGTCAGTAATCTGTATAGTTGGCCCTATCGTTGGTTAAGTTCTTGTTTTTTGATTCTAGGGTCTTTTAGTCGTCTATCTGAAAGGAAACCAAGATACTGGACTGTATCTAAGAAGAGGAAGAGGAGTGTGGTATAGAGTTAAAAATTATTTTTTTTATTTCTTAATGATATTTACAACTGTATTAAAGAAATACATTTAGTAAATTTTAACATATGGATGTACTGACGTGAAAACATTTGTTGAGAAACTACCTAATGGTATCACTGTAAATATATTATATTACACATATATTACAATTATTACACCGATGTTGAATTAAAGAGATGCAGCCATGGGGAATATCGGCTTTAACCGGATAGATATTGGAAAATTCACACAACACAGTGAACAGGTACAAGGACTGGGGTAAATAGATTTTAAGCTTGAAGAGCAATCCAGTGTGCCATACCTTGTCAAAAGCCTGTGCTATTTCCAGAAATGCACCCAATCAGTATTCCTGTTTTCTAGGACTGATGGAATATGATTAACAACGCAAAGTATTTGTTGAATCGAAGAATGTCGTTAGCGGAAAACAAACTAATGGGATGGAAGATTTTGGGACTCTATAGTGGGCAGGATTCATTCCAAAAGGGTTCAAATTGGTGTATAGGATGGCCTATAGGTTTGCTTGTTTTTCGGAAATATTTTCATAATAGAGGATAGTGGATGGTACATAGGATGGAATCGTAGATAGATATAAGAGGAATATGATTGCTCTAGATGGTAGTTGTCGATAAAACTGGTTGGTGAGGAGGTCGTATTCAGGAAATTTACGAAGGATTAGTTTTTGTAAATGAAATTTGGCTTTGGGAGGATGAACTGCTTTATGGGGCAGGTAAAAGGGCATAGGTGATGTTAGGAGTTCTTCTACTGTTTAGGTGCGAGTGGGATGGGATTCCGGATGAAAAAAAAATATTGGAGAGGTGTCTGGCGAACTCCTCGCTTTTATATTCGTCAGATGCTGCCCAGGAGCCTGAGCTTACCAAAGGGGATCGGTGATTTGTTGATATTTAAAAATTTTTTTAATAGGTTTCCAAATAGAATTGTCACGAACAGAGAGAGAGGATTGGTAGAAGTCGAAGATTCGGAGGGAGGGGGGGGGTGGCCGATGGGTGTACGGCAACCTCATAACTGATGTTTAAAGGAAAATAATAATCACGAGTTTGCGTCTCGGTGCTGGGGGGAGCTTTTAACTCTGGAATTGATCTACTGCCCTCACCTCCTGGTCCGGGAAAATCCCTGTATAGCCTGAAAGGCGAGGAAAAGTTAAAGGGTTCGGCTAATTTTCCCTTTAGTTTCTCACAGTAGTAATTATTGGAGCGGTCAGCGGAATGTCTGGTTCATTGCCACAGTGGTCTGGCACTTCGATTCATATGGATTAATTGTTTCATAATGGGTTTATTGTTTTTATTAGGAATTCTTTGGGAGTTGCTTGATAGGAAGCTGTCCAAGCAGCTTGCTGAATTGAGGTAGTAAAGGAATTGACGGCATTGTAGAGATATGTTAAGGTCTATTTTGTCGGAGAGGATTTGGCGGAAAAGTTTCCCCATTTCCCCATTAACGGAGCTTCTAATAAATGACGGTGGATATTTGTGGACGGCTTCTAGAGGCACATTAATTAGTTTACTAAGTTCAAAGGAAAATTCGGTTAGGTGTGTCATAGAACAATTAAAGGGACCTAATCAGCTGAGGATAAAAAAGTCAAGAGTATCAGGATCACGGTTAAGTTCTGTGGACCAGTAAGTAGGGGAGTTGGTGGAAAGGAGGTGCATACGTTGAATGCAGACAAGAATATTCGACCACGAGAATTCGTGGTTTTTGAAACCCATTGTTGATACTTGGCATTTAAATCTGCAACCAGGATGAAGTGATGTCCTAAGGAGTTGAGGAGAGAACTGAACTGGGCATTGATATGGATCGCTTAGGATCAGTGATGGTGAAGGATCATTCCTGGAAAGGAATATGTTTTGATTACGATAGCGATGAATTGTAGCGCTCTTACTTAGTCACCACTGGCTTTCAAACAGTAATGTGGCTAGGAGAGAAGCGCTGGGATCTATTTGAGTCCTGTCGTGCCTTTCACCTCAGAGCGGCATGACATGGTTCAGGACCCCATAGGCTGAATGTAAATATTGTACATAGAAATGGATGTATGACAAGCATTTTTTTCTTCTTTCTTTGCTGTTCTCTCAATATCATTTTTTTTTTTTATTGTTACAAGTTATTTTTATTTTAATATATATAATTTTACTTACATGCTTTCTTTTTCTTTTATTTTTTCTCAATTTATATTATAAATTGTATATAAAATGTATGAATTTAAATAGAGAGCGATAATACCCAATGCCCTGGATTGTGGTAGATTGGATTATTTTTCAATAAAATATTTCAAGGAATTGTAGGAAATTCTGTGTAAGTAATAGAAGTAGATGATGGGAGAGGAATCGGTTTACAAAGACAGCAGTGCCGGCATGTGCTCTTCAGTCAGTGTGGTCAATACGGTAAGTCAAGTATTTCTGTATTTTAATGAGCTGTTTAGTGGTTAGTCGAGTTTCAAGAATAAGTGCCACGTCAAGATTTCCTTCAAGTAGTAAAACAGATAGTTCGTCTGTATGATTTCAAACACCATTTTCATTCCAATGGAGAATGGATATAGGTTTATTAGAAGACATTGAAGGATTCTTTAAGGGAATTATAACATGTGATATTTACAAGATTAGTGAGAAGTGATATCAAAGGAGTAACAAGAGATTTGAATTCTGAGAGGAAGAAGTAAACTGGTGAGATCTGTGGTTTTTGGTGGAGAAGGAATGTGAGGAATTTGGTGTTGATACCTACTCTGATAACTTAAATTTTTCAGTTCTTCTCCTATCGCTTCAGTTGGTGTTGAGGGATGTAGATTTCTTACAACTACTCTTAAAGCTCGCTCTTGCTGTAATTGATGTGTATGAAAATCCGCTTTGGTTTCTATTTTATGTAGGTTTCAGTTGTATCTGGTAATATTTTGTTCCGTTCAGACATCAGTAGCTTCCAGAGTCTGTTAGTTTGTTTAATTGAGAACATAGTAACTGAATTATTTAAATTGTTTAAACTAAATATAAATCAACCATCCTTCTTTTCAATTATTCACTACAGTCAACCATCAATCCACAATCATTTTTTAAACAAATATTTGGGAATGTCGGGGGTCTCTTGGTATCGGTGTAGACTCCATTACCTCTCTATCATTCTGAAGCACTTGAAAAAGGAATCTTCAGTTGTCTCTTGTGATGGTGTACCTAGCTGGGTTTCATGTTCTCTGGAGCAAACCGGGGTCATAGAAGATGTTTGACGCGGGATTTGTTTGCCAATGGAAGAACCAGGTATCGAACGTAACGTATTAATGACTGTCACAGAGATATAATCCTGCTTTGCAGTGATGGTCAAAGGGATTCCATCCCTTCTTTTATTTATTTCTATTACTCAAAGTTACTGTTAATCTCTTCATTCAGCGCTTTTGTTTGTTGGATACTTTGATATAAAGTGGTTAAGGTTCTGTAAAAGTTTATTTACTTGCAAAAATAAACAGCAAATTCTCATGGATATTCATTTTATTCCAAAATAATCCGAAGAAAACCTCCAGAGTTCAACATGTTAATAAACCATATCTGTTTCATCATGCCAAAATTTGTTATTCTATTGCCCTAATTTTTCGTTGTCTTAAAATTCAAAGTCATTCTAATTTGAAGTCATTTGTTTTATATATTTAGTTAGGGTAGTTATAAAACAAGTCATTGTTTATGGACAAGTTGTGCTGAATCATCGAGATTAAAATAAAACAACAAATATACTTATCTTAAATGGTGGGGCAAACTGGTTATGTGATATAAGAGTGGCAGTAAACATTATTAAAGATAGTAGACAGCTGATTCTTGACCATTCAGTACTCATTTAACGCACACTCTCTCGCCGATCTAGAGCTGCAAATTAGGTTTACGGTAAGTAACAGCTGATAAGCTATTGGACGTATTTATCGAGTTTATACACATCATGAATCAAGAGATGATTCATGGAACTTTATGATATGGGGGAATTATTCTCGTAAGAGGTTTTTTAAAATATAAATTTTGGTTTTCAGCAGAAATAATCAACGTACTAGTTAGAATATTGCTTTAATAATAATTTGATGATAATAATGATATTAGGTGCCGGCACTTGGGAAGTATTGGGGAGCCTAGATAAGTAGTGACAGTCTTAGACAATTTGGCGCCCCTTGGAAATGACGTTATCTTTCCTCAAGATATAAAGTTATTTCTTAAAGTGTTTTAAATTATGTAATATTTGAATATTATTTCATTCAATATGTCTCTGATTTAGTTACTTAATTATAGAGCTAAAGCTAATTATTCTCATACAATTGGTAATTTTTTATTCCAGAGAAGTGGCGAGCGCACTCGGAAGTATACCCACCCAGGTTGCTCGGCATTACCGTTCCTTCCCTTTTTCGAGATTGTGGGCAAGGGTGCTCAGAAGGGGGTGTCATGTCATAAAAATTTTTGAGCGGTTTTTGAATTTTTGTGGGGTGCAAATTTCGACAGGGTTATGAATTTTCGGACTAAAGGACAAAGGGAAAAACGTGGAACTTACCTCAACATGTGTAATTGTAAGCTACGAGTTTTCTAATTCTACCTTATCTTGCTCTGTTTTTAAGAAAAGGTGAGCAATAAAATATCTTGGGAGGAGGGGAGAGTGTAGGTTCTTGCGCCATCGACCTTGGGGCGGATGGGCACCCCTGGGTGGGAGGTTTTTGCGAGAGTTAAGAGCCCCCTCTCCTCCACTCCAGCACCGGGACGTGACCTCATAATTTATTTTATGGAATAATCTTCCATCAGGTTGTCCTGCAACACATGTAAAGCTAATGCACGCACATTAGCGCACTCGGTCATCACGCCCTCTCTCTGTTGCCCGGCATTAAGGGATAGTGAAACAAGATGACATTGTTCAGTAGATGGTAGGAAGGAGAGGGGATGAAACGCCATATATAAAGGAGTAGCCCATTAATCAATATATTACCTGTAATTAAATTATTACTCGTACTGTTTTTGAACTTCTTGTGTTGTTTTTTTCTCGTTACTCCTACTTCGCCATTTATGACAAGAGGAGAGAGTTGTTCTAACCAGAGTGGGAAGATACCGTGGGCCCGCCACGAAATAAATTTTAACCACCCAGGCTGGATTTGAATAGTTTTTTTTTTTCTAATTATTGTGAGTTGTTTTAAGGAAACGACTCCGCACTATAGGGGGTGGAACTTCAAAATATTTTGAGGGACAGAAATTATCTCGCCTTCCTTTCCCCTCTAGCGGCGCCTATGACCAGATATATACATTGAATAGAATAGAAAATAAATTAATTCGAGACGAAGACCCTTGAGAATATCAAGTCCATACAAGAAAGTAATAATTCTAGCCGAAACTAAAATAAGAATAAAATAATATGAATATAAAACTATCTTATGTGTAACTACATATTGCCAAGTTCCTGACCATCCTCATTTCTACTTATATGTATTTAATATATTTCTACTATACAGGGTGTTCCGTGAGTAGAGGAAAATTTTTATAGGAGTGATAGCAGAACTCAAGAGCTACAAAAAATTTCATATAACAATAGGCCAATTTTCAGTAGAAAAGTAGCAAATTCAAGCTTTGTGGTTTTTTAAGTGAGTGGTATTTTTTATTGAATCGGAGGCAATAAATAAAGAAATATTTGATTTGATTAATTCATAATTACTTCGTTGTAAACAAGATGACATTTACTTTAAAGAAACGTAGAGTTTATCATTGTTAAAACCATTTACAGAGGACTTTTATGCGGCTTAACTAAGCTAAGTTCTGTTTTTAGAAAAATCATAAATTATTCGTCATTTTTTTTTTCCATCATCCAACTATACTACAGTTTCCTCACTATTACAAAATCTTCATCATTTAATAAGCTTCAAGTTCGTAATAATTAAATTGAGTTTTTTTAGGGAAACATTTTTAAAAACTTTTATTTAAAAATTTTTCTTGAGATTTAACTCAAGTTTTGTAAAAAAAAATTATGCTATTTTTATGCTGCCATATAAAACTACCCCAGTTTTCAGCAAAAATGACTACAGTTAATTGTTGTAAAACTTATATTTCATGTTTTTGTATGATCTGAGTTGTATTTTCATAAACCCAATTGCGTAAACACAGATTTAATTATAAAAAAAAATTAATTTAAAAAATGCTGATTTTTCAAATATTTTCAGTAAATTTATTATAAGCTGTGTTTTTCACCCAGATCTCTATTATAAGAATTGATCCGTTTTAATAAGTGACAAACTAAAAGTTTCTGATTCTAATATTAAGGTTTTAATTAAAATAATTGAAGCAATCAGGAGATATCTTTTATTTTAAACATAAATTCCCAATTCCTATCTCCCTGCTGCAAGCCCGTTCGAACTTTGAAGGCCTTTGATACTCCTCCTTGTATTTATATGTAAATTGAATAATTTATCAGGGCATTATCGTCACCACCATGTTTAAGTATCATATGTGAGAATAGCTAGTTCTCAGGAGACGACAAACGAACTCAACGGTTTACGTACGCGAATAATCGAGTCGACAGTTGTGGTACAGTGTACTTGGTCAGTTAAAACTGCATTAAATTTAAATGGTTAAAAGCGTTAGTTGTTTGTGAAAATTTGCATGAGGGATCATTAGTAACATTTCCTTCATTATATGAATTTTCAAGAAAATCTGTCCTGTCAATCCTTCAGAATTAGTGTTATAAGATAATCTAGAATATCAGTGCAGAGGTGGAGTGGGGATACAGGTGATTAGGTATTACGGTAAAGTCCACGAGAGGAATAATAGAAATAACTTATTCAACTTCATTTTTTACTTCATTTTGGCTACGTTGGAGTTCATAGAATACATTTTATTTATTTCTTCTAATTGCTGCATGCCTCCTAAGTTAGAACAGTCAACAAATATATTCCGTTTGAAAAGAAGTAGAAGTTCTTCTGAGTCCTGTATCAATCCTAATAATAAAAAAAAATCCTGTAGAATATAAAAATATGGCGTCTGGTAACTCTCAAGACAATTGTCAACTAAATATGAACCAGTTAACGGAATGTATGTCTCAATTACTTGATTCTAAGCTTTCATATCTGCCACCAAACAAGATATTCTTAACCTTCAAATTTATTTATTAATAAAAGAAAACGTGCAATTGAAATCCGAGTTTCTCGCTATTATAAAGCCTAATATAAAGACTCAAAATCTTGTTGACGAGTTAGATAATAAAAACCGCAGAAACAACCTAATATTTAAAGGATTGACATATAATTCACAGGATAATAATTTTTGTAAAATTATTTTCCGATTTTTGCAGTGAGGTTTTACAAGTTCAATTAGAGCAAGAATTTTCGTATGCTTTCCCCCTGGGACGAACAACAGATACTAAAAGACCAATTATGGTCTCGTTTATGAGACATAAAGATAAATTATTAATAATGAACTCCTTAAATCGCCTGCGAAGAACAGAGTTTATGCTGCACCCAGATTTTGGTGAAAGGACTAGGATGAGAAGAAATAAACTCCTGTTACTTAGAAAGAAAATCAGACGTTTAAATAGTAAAATTAACGTTATTGTCCGTGATGATCGTCTCATTATTTTAAATAAAAGATTTAATTGGTCTGAAGACTGAAGTATGGGGATGAAGACGGTGTGAAGATGTTGAACGATCTACCAAAAGATTATTTTTCATCAAATGAAATCGTGTCTGAAAATACTGCTACCACATCAGTTTCATCAAGTAAAGAATGAGATAGGCCAGTCTGCCGGCACAATATTCATCAAGTCTCTTCTTCCACTACAACAATCTTTCTTATTGTATATAATATAGCAGATTTAAAATATAAATTAAATGATCCGACTTGTGCTTTTATACAATTTCTTAAGAAATATGATATTTTTGTATTGTTGGAAACTTTAATAGACGATAAATTTAGTTTATACAGTAAATATTTTGATGGGTATTGTTTGTGCTGGATTCCTGCCACGAGGCAGGCTCATTTTGGCCACGCTATGGCGAGGGTGAGGAGTACATTGTATGCAATTAGAACTAATTTACCACAATGTCAGGTTAAATTTGTGGATATTTATGACGTGGTCAAGTGATTTACGCTTTTGCCCATATATTCACGTGGCGATTCATGTGACTCAGATTTTTCTAGTTGCACTAGTAAAATTCACACATTAAATTTGTTTGCTGGACTCATGCTAGGATTGCAGATTCTCAGTCTCTACCCTCTGATTTAATTTTGGATAATCCTAATTGTAACCAACCTATCTAGGAAAGCTAGAGATAGAATCATTAATGGCCGAGGTTCCAAAATATTAGAACTGTGTGATGACAATGATTTCATCATTTTGAATGGTAGATTTAATGATATTAAAGGCGAATTCACCTTCAATAGTAGGATGGATAAATCTGTAATTGATTTTATTTGTTTTCCAATAGATCATATTTCATGCATTGTTGATTTCAGAATTTTAGCAGAACGATTTTCTGATCATTTACCGGTTTTTTGTGAGATCTCATTTATAGACATTCCAGAATAAATTTTCTACTCCTTTTACCACGGTTGGTTTGGGTGGATAAATATACAGATATTCATAAAAATTTCTTGAAATTAGAGAATGAAGAAATTTCATACTTTCCTCCTGATCCTGAAAGAGTTTTAAGCATATTAATTGATTGTATTAGAAGCTCTTCTGTTTCGTATACTAAATATTCTCCATAAATTAGAAACATTAGGAAAAATATGTAGTTTGATGGACAGAGCCTCCGCTCAAGAAATAAGTCGTTTGCCTTGTTGAATCTTTTCCGTCGAACTAGATCCCTCAGTCCACTCGTCTTATCCTTGTATTTAGATGATCTTTCTCTTACGTATGAAGGAGAAGTTCGTATAGGCGGTATCCATATCTGCATTTTAATGTATGCCGATGAAATTGTGCTGCTGGCTGAAGATAGAGTTACACTGCAATGAAATATACACCTTTTGGCAGCCTATTGTGATGATTGGAGTTTGACAGTGAATCTTTCTAAATCAAAAATTATGATTTTTAGAAAAAGTGGAATACTGGCTGGTGCAGATAAATGGCGATTTAAGGGTTCACCAATAGAAGTAGTCAATACTTGTAAATATTTGAGCGTCGCGCTAAGCTCTAGTCTTTCATTTACTTACCATTTGAATGATCGTATATCGGCTGCTAAAATGGGCCATAATAGGAATTGGTCAAGTTTCATTGCTTAAGATCTGATCCTAATATTCGCCAAAAAAACAAATATTTGATCCGATATTACGCTCCATAGTATGCTATGCGGCTCAAATCTGCGGTTTTCAGGGTTATGACATATTGGAAAAGTTTCACTAAGAAATTGTTTTCGTTGCCTCCAACGACACCAAATAATATGATTTATTTAGAAACAGCCACAAATCCACTTGAGGTATTCACATTACAGTTACATTTTAAGTATTGTCTTAAGTTACTGTGCCTGCCTGAAAGTCGTCTCTCCAGAGTTATCACCATTGAAGTGATTAACCGTAATATCGTTTGATTTAAAAAGTAGTGCAATTTGACGGAAAGATAATCTTGTAGGTTCGACGAGTCCTTGGAATGCTGTTCGTTGTGGAAAGACCAGGTAGCAAAAATACGGACCTCCAAAAATACTGCAATCACTCAGCAACATTGGGAGCAGTGTAAATTAACTGCATTGAATTCTGATCGATTTCTATTGTATAGGAAATTAAGTCATGGTCTTAAAATTTTGAAATTAGTGGATAGCTGCTGTTGGGATTTGACTAGGTGCGAATTGAGTTGGTTGTTCAAGCTCAGGTATGAACACCTTCATTTGAATCACATTTCGTGGCATGACAGGGAATATACGGATTGTCCACTCTGTAACCTACCAGTAAAGGAAAACCTGTTCCATTTTTTGGCTGAGTTCAATGCTTGGTCAAATTCGTATCAAATTTCTAGGAACTAGCCCCGGTTCGAAATGATAATTTCTCTTCTAAATGCTCCATTTGTGAACGAATGTCGTAAAATTGTCGGTTTTGCTCGACATGAGTGGATACAGCGCTTTAATTTGCTACATCCAGCATAAACAATGAAGATCCGTCTAATTTATTTGTAGTCAGTTTTATTCATGTTATTGTTTATGGTTTCCCATATTTTTCTTTATTATTATTTCTTAGACATAAATTACTCAAAATATTTATTATATTATATTGTGTTAGTTGTTTTATTATTTATCAGTTATTCATGTATATGTAATTGTTATAAAGTCTTTATTTGCGCTGTACCTGTAAAACATATAAAATGTCCGGCAGACGAATAATCATGCCGTATAAATGTTCTGTGTACTTTTAGAAATTTATAATTTATACATATTCAATAAAGCATTTCTCATTCATTCATTCACTGCGAATAATCTATTAATTTTCGGCTTATAAAATTTCTTTGAAGCATAGTTCTGTGTTGAAAAGATTTTATATAAGAAAATGAATAAATATGTTGTTGTTAAATATTTCAATTATATTAATAGATGTGCCAAATTACATAATTTAATGTGTGATATAATTACATAAATATTGTTAAATATAGACTATTAATTGTTTAACTAATTACTAATAACAAATTTTGGATTTCTTTTTTAAATAATATCGGCATTACCATCCCGTTATATGTACATCTATTCAAAATTTTCTTATACAGTTTTATAATATGTTTTTTAAAGACTTGATTTTTTAAAAGTAATCTCCATTTTGAGATTACGTCACCGCGTTTTGATTTATTTTAGTTTTTCGTATTTCTTCCATATACGGCTCTATTTATATGTTTTCGAAGCTATAGTTTTTGAAAACGATGTCCATTTTCAGATTATGCCACCTCGTTTTTACTTCTTTAAGTTTTTCGGATTTATTCCATATGATGCGCTATTTATATGTTTTCGGAGCCACAATTTTTGAAAACGATGTCCATTTTCAGATTACGTCACCGCGTTTCGATATATTTGAGTTTTTCAGTGTTTATCTGTATTTTCTTTATGTAGCCGTCCGTTAATGGATGTGCTAATGGAATATGTTTCTTATTCATTCAATCCTATTCATATAGTTTGTCCATTAACATGTTTGAAAATTGAAATTTATTAATCAAGTATAATTTATTATTCTTATGCAACTTTATAATAAATTATTTTAATATCTGAGAACAGTTAACTCAAAGACTTGGGTTGAAGCTATTGTGTGTAAATAGTTTTTGGAATTTTCTATAATTTGAATAAACATTTTATTTGAGTTCTGTTGACTATGTGAGTAATAAACAAGTTGAATATCTGAGTACCGTAATCAGAATGGGAATGTTAATAGTTGATTAAAATACTGAGGACTCATTACTCACTTTGGAATTTCCCATCTCTGGAGTAAAGTGTGCTATTGATAATTAAATGGTGCTATATCAATTTCATTGAATTTGTTCCACTACTTTCTCTTACATATAAGCGAATGTATTTTTCTCGAAAGGTCTATATCTCAAAAAATGCATGCTCCATATTTCTATAACCTTCCACTCTTAAAAGCAATTAATACATCCAATTGTTGATGCATCGTGAGGCGCGAAAACTGTATCCACTAATATTTTTTTATTAATAGACATAGGTATATTGATTAAAATTATAATATTTCAGAAATGCTAACCATCCTGATTGGATTGTTGATACCCTTGTGGCTGTTCTACAAATACTATGTGTCCGTTTACAACTTTTGGGAGTCACGGGGAATCGCTTCGGAGCCAGGGAGGTTCCCCTTTGGCAACAAGTTACAATTAGTGACCATGAATAAATCTCAGGCACTGGTCATAGATAAGGTTTGTTCAACATAGATTACATTTAGAGTTTGTGCAAAAACAGAAGTCACATAATTTTAATATTTTTATCTCTTCCAGATGTACAAAAAGTTCGAATCGCAGCCATATTTTGGATTTTATGTCTTGAGATCGGCACTCCTCGTTGTCAAGGACCCCGAAATCATCAGGCTCATTATGGCTAAAGATTTTTCACATTTCCGGGATCGTTTTCCAGCTAGAGTGTAAGAAAAATGTTCAATTCTATCAAATAAATCAAAATTTTAAATATATGTGAATAATAAAAAAATAATTCATAAATACACATTTTATAATTATAGCATGAATTTACTGAAGTAGCGATGACACACTTGACAATAATATTAATCTGAATCAAAATTAATTTATAATACAAGTAGATGATTCATTTTGTACTATTTTTTATGACTATTTTGTGATTCAAATATTCATAAGTTAAATTAAAGATAACCGATAATACTAACAAAAATATAACTGATTAAGGTGATTTTTTAATATAAAAACTGACTCAAAGTTTTTGAAAAGATGAAAGAAATGTTATTGTTATAAGAGGTTTTAAATATAATTCTTGATACTCTATTTTACATAATTTAAATTTAACTCCTCTAAACAATGTAAATTCTTGTAATTAAGGAAATTCATGGCTGATACAACTCACGAAATTACAACTTTTATTTGCTGCTCTACATTGAATAGAAATTATTTTATGGAAATTATGGGAAATTAACACGATTTTTAAGTACATTTTAAAAATATTTCCAAAGTACACGCAGCTAAATAACTAAAACTTATCATAGCCATTAAAATAAAACAAATCCTAATTATTATATCGACGGTAGGCAATAAAAACCTCGTAACTCCATCAGCTTACATACATATTCCTGTCTTTGAGCTATGAATGCCTAGACAGATTTGAAATTACATCTGTATATTTAACCTATAATTGACTATGGATTATACTACTATTAGTTATTAAACTCTTATTTGTTTCCATTTTAAAGTTTACTAAAATGGAGTTACTAGGTTTCCACATGATGTTGTGAGTTCACAGAAAGAAACTCATCAAATTATATTTTAATTATATTCACTAAAATGTTACACCATCATTTTTTAGAATTAACCGATCATAGATATCTAATTATGTAAATACAATATCGGACCTGGAGTTATTAAACTACAGTAAATTTTTCAAAGGTTATACATATATATGTTTCACATATCCATGAAATATTTAAATTTTAAAAATTATTTTTAAATTTGAAAAAATAGTATACAAAATCCACAGAGCATAGATATTCACTTAATTTGCTGCCGTTTTGGTAATTAAATCATAAAAATATCGAGGAACGAGCTAGATCATTTTATGCCATAGTACACCATAAGTCGCAAAACTAACTGTACAAAAGAAAAAGGAAGTGGTTATTCAGTCCTAATTAAAGCTTTCTTAATCCGTTATCAATAATAACAGAGAAAATAAATAATGCATTATATTTCAAATAGATAATATAATATTATAATGTAATAATATTGTAATTTCTTTGAATAATTTTCATTTAGTTTCACTTCTAAAGAGGATAAACTTCAGCATCATCTTTTCAATCTGGGCGGAGAGAAATGGAGAGCATTGAGGATAAAACTGACCCCTACATTTACGAGTGGGAAACTGAAAGGGATGTTTCCGCTTTTTATCGCCTGTGCCGAGGTAATTTTAATATATTTTATAATATTACATTATCGTAAACATAAAGTACAGCAGATGCTGAATACTTTCAAAAAATCTGTTGTCGTTTTTCGATGTAGTATACATAATCAATAAATATATAATAACATTATACTTATAGTTATGTAGCACTTATCAGGAATCGAATGAGAAAGATTTTCAATAACCTCTAAAAAGTGCTGAGTATTCTTCTACTAAAAAGTAAGAGTCTATTTCTATTTTTCAAACGAAATGAAATATAAAAATTCTTTATTATTCTGTTGCAAAGTTCCTATAGAACAAAATTAAATGAACATCAAAAAGTGGCTAAAAGAGTGTAACTGTACTGTTTTTTATTCGTTAATACGAATGAAAATAAGATAAATAAAAGAATATAAAGAAACTAAAACAATACAACTATATTTTTTAAAAAACTGAAAAATAACATAAGAACGTAATCTGGGAAACATTTGAAATAAAAGAATTACATTATCATATAATTCATATAAAATAATTTTAATTATTCAGGTTTAAAAAAAGGTAGTTGAAAAGGATCTATTTGAACGAGGGGACTGTTGAAGCATGACCGAAGGCAGGGGAAGAATTCCATCAGGAGGCAGCTCGAATTAGGAATTACATTTCTAGAGCAGTTCGGTGGGAAGGAGAGAGGAAGTCAGAAAGACGAGACGGGGTGGGAGCCGATCGGATGGAAGATTTAAATTGCAGGCGCTGTAGTATGTAGGAGGAGCGTAGAGTTCTGATAATCTGGCATATGAAGGACGAAAGAATATACTAATATCTATAAAATGGTTGGAGCCACTTTAGCTCAACATGATTAGGTGTTATAACCTTATCCCAGGCGATCCCGAAAACAAATTTAAGTAATCTGCTCAAGAGCCACTTCTTGCTTAAGCCAAGTATTGTTTCAAGTTCACCAGATGTCGTAGTTAAAATAAGGAACAAAACTGAATGGAGTATTGGAATTCGCGGGTTTTAATTGAGAAGTGATAATGTTGGCGATTGAATTGAAAGGGTAGATATGGTTCAGTGAAAAACTCGGGAGACGTGTTGCTTCCATGAAAGGAGGAAAGTTTTCGACTAAACTATGGTGTGTTGTTCAGGATAAGTTAAGGCTGTCCTAAGAAGAATTTAAGGAAAGAAGAGAGAATAATCTTTGAGAGAAACATTTTTTGAAGAATATTTGGAGGAGTACAGATCAATGGAAATTGGAGAAGAAGAGAACTCCGGCTTGGAGTTGGAGAAACGCCGAAATTTACTCGATTTTTAATGGTCAAGATGTCGTCCTCACAATGAAGCTTGGAAGACTGAGATGGGCTGGTCACGTGACAAGAATGGAGAATGAAGCAATCCCTAAGAAGATCCTGACAGGACCTCTCTACGGCACAAGAGGTAGAGGGAGAACAAAGCTAAGATGGTCCTATGATGTGGTAAGATATTCAAGTGATGTCCTGGGAGTCAGGAGCTGGATGAATGTCGCACAGAACAGAAATGACTGGTGGAAGCAGGTGGAGGAGGCCAAGAAATTACAGATACTAGAGAGAACAAATTGTCTCTAGTATCTGTAATTTTACATTTTATAGTATTTACTAAGTTTACCAATAAAATCAAGGAAAGCAGTTAAAATGTTATGGAAAGACAATATCCTGAGAATAAGCGGTCAAGGGTATCGGCAAGTGAATGTCGCTGATGCAGTTAGGGTCTCCCAGATTATGATCTTCCGAGCTTTAAGATTAAGCTAGATTAAGAAAAACCGGAAGGATATCTGTTAGTAGATCTCAGCACATTACAACACCAAGGGATGAAAGAAATAAGGTTATTACTGCAATGCAGCCTAGAGGTATGAGCGTCTGGGCCGGCATCTACTCAGGAGGGCGGTTAACTCATTTGAGCTCGGCATGTTCAAGAAATTATAGAGTATTATGTTCCTCAAACCAGAGACACAAATGGCAGAGATTTCTTGACGACAATACGCAATCTCATAGTGGAAAAGTTGTTCATCAATGTCTTGAAAGTCTGAACATTTCACATCTGCCCCTTTCCATATTTTCTCCAGACCTCAATCCCATAGAGCACATGTGGGATACACTGTTGAGAAGGCTTCTTGACCACCAACTGCTGCTTCTTAACCTTCAGCAACTGAGAGCATTATTGCTATGATAATGGTATGGAATCAGTGAAAACATTATAAACAGCATGCCCAATCACTGTAGAGAGGTAACAACATAATGGAGGATATTGCACAAATTATTAAATTTTACAAAATTCATACAATTCGAAATAATATAAACATGATTACAAATCTTTTAATATTATAATTATTATTATTTTCTTTATTATTCTCGCTTTTGCGAATCCAATCACCAGCAGTTATAATTTGTTTAGATATTTAAGAACTTTCTAGTAATCTTGGCTGTATCCAAGAGAACTGCTTGCTGAACCTCTCTTAACACATCAAGGGGTACAACTACTACTGATTTCCAAATTCACAAATCAGTACCAAGCTCCTCTTACAAATAAAATTTATCCAGCAGAAAAAGAAGAATTGGTCAATAATATCTCATCAGTAGGCATTCCCTCCTAAGTTATTAAAATCATAAGTTCAGTACTATATTTTTCCACACCTAACACTTCTGTCATAATCATCCCACGACTTATCATAGACCTTGAATATATTTAGGCAGATGATCTTTTCACAGCTTCAAAAGAAAATGAGGAGTTGCCATGCGTTTCCATTTGCAACATTATTTCCAATTATCTTTTACACCCAAGGAGAATGGTTCTTCTTGATTTTCTTCTGATTTTTTCAAAGACCTTTCCTTTACCCGATCCTTCCTAAAATCCCATGACATCACCATAACCAGAGCTGACAAATAAAACAAACTGTTATTATGGATCATACAGAACATGCTGACAAAATTACAACTCCTCTCAGACCGTTTCAATTACTCCCCCACATCACGTGATCTCATCACTAAAAACCAAATTTAACGTACACCTAAAAATGTTTTAAAATCCGTTATATAAAATGTAATATTATGCTTAAAATTATTTTAGCAGTAATAATAAATCCTTGTTGATCGTGCTGAATCCTCTACAAAGCTTGGAGCAATGGTAGCCCTCCTTTCCACCTCTTGTGGAGCCTGTACGAACGTTAATGCTGCAATATTTAGCTGCTTTTTCTGTTAAGAATCAACTGGACCCATGGGAACGGTCATAAAACATAATAGGATTACAATAAATAAACATAAGTTTATAAAGCTATATGTTTTTTTTTTAATCTTCTGTTAAACTTATATATTTCAGGATCTCAGCAAAATGCTGATCAGTCAAATAGATAAGCCCGTGAATGTAAAAGATATTACAGCATGTTACACAACTGATACAGTGTGTAATTGTGTCTTCGGCTGGGAAAACAACAGCATTAATGAGAAAGAGAACAAAATGAGAAAACTTGGACAAACTGTCTTGGAAATATCTAAAACGATGCTGTTGAAGAGAATGTTGCGGAATATATTCCCTGGTATAGCTAAACTCTTGAAATTGAGGTATACTATTTCATGAAAACAATACCTAATTATAGTAGCTAATGAATAGTAATATGAACAACATTTAAATTTAATTTAATGTTGTTTTACTTATTATTATTATTTTTTTAACGAAATTCTTTTACACTACTAAGAAATTAAACCCATCCTTATTCTTCAGTTAACTATAATCAATAAACACCGTCTTTCGAAAAAATATTAAAAATAAATTAATCAACCAAGAATATCCTCAATACCAGTAGCTTGTTAAACGGTAATAACTCAGCATTTATGATACTAAAGTATATTAAAGATAACGAACTATTATAATTAATGTTAGAGGTTAACGTGTTCAATAGTCAGTTACCATGTTGTATCATCGTTTAATTATACGAGTGGCTTCATACCAAAGATGGACATCTGACATCTGCCATTTTTTAAAAGTTGAGAAAAAGCCTATTTTTGTAACACCACTTCAATTTAAACCAATTCTAATCGGTTTTTTCATAATTCAACTGGAACATGATTTTAAGACTAAATCACCAGAAACAGTTTAAGTAGAACCTATCTAACAAAACTAAATTAAAATAACATGAAAAATAAAATTGAGAAAGTACCCACATAACGAACACGGAGTCATAAATAATAAAAAATGCAATGAATTTTCAAAGTGAAAATTTCTAATGCGTTATAAAGTTTCTGTTAGTGGTATGATAAGATCAAATATGAAGGAATGTTAGGAATCTTTTTATTCGTTATCATACTTTTTACTGCCATAAAATATGGTTTCCCAAATTTCTATTGCGTTATAATTTTTTTGTTATAAGTATGAAAACACTGAACGATTATTTTTTGTAGTTAATAAATATTTCATGGAAGCAGAAGTTGATTATCAGAACTCTTGAGCTTTATCTCTAATATTTCTTATATTAGCCATGATGGATATGACTAATATTTCTACAAAATATTTTCCATCAAAAGTTTAGATTTTGGACGTTTATCTCATAGTGACATATTTACCTAATATTTTGTTGCATATATTATATTGAATTCAGTAGTGAATTCAATATTTGACGGGAGCTGGAGAAAATTTAATCCGAGGTTCCTTGCTTTCCTATGGCCATATTGGTTTCTCAAATTTCTATTGCGTTATAAATTTTTTGTTATTAGTATGAAAACACTGAAAGATTATTTTTTGTAGTTAATAAATATTTCATTGAAGCAGAAGTTGATTATCAGAACTCTTGAGCTTTATCGGCATAATGGCACATCGATATCTGATATTTTATGTAATACGGGTTGTTCTGATAGATCCTTGTTGAGGGAGACCGCCAGAACGCAGAGCCCTATCTCCCTCAGTAACTTTGCTCTCAGCACCTCAAAGGTGGAACAGAACGATATAAGAACGGTATACAACGCGGTCTCCGCCACTCCGCAACTTGGCCATAAGAACTTTTTGTCGGAAACATCCGATGAATTGGGAGGTCCAATAGTCCGGAAGAACTCATGTCTTTTCCATTCTTGAACTGTGGAGTTAGAGTAGTACCTTTTTGGTGCCTACACCCATCGTCAATTCCATTCTTCTAACGTGTTCTCCCGAGGCATCTTGTTCCATTTGCTCGAGTCTTCACTGATCTTCATTCGGAGATTCACCTATAAGCCTTTCACCAATCCTTCTCCCTTCATATTATGACGAAAATAGTCTTCACTCTGTTGGAGATCGATTGGAATAGTTCCGGCTAAGACCTGAACCACCTCGTGAGATACACGAGATACTCTTGTACGCTCTAGTGATTCACAATAGAGCCAACCTTCTCTTGTGTCAAGTCTCAGACTCTTTACAGGGGACACGTATCTCCAGATACCCAAGAGCACTCATATATAAATTGCCATTGTGGCTGGAGTACCCAAGACCCCAAAACACGCCCATTTACTTAAAATTACCAAGAGGAGAATGGAGAGAGCGATGGCCCTTTTTCGCCCCTCCTTCGAAGTCTGCGCCTATGGCTGCTTATGAGGTAGTAATAAAATTGTTATTTCCAGAACAATTGATTAATAATGGAGAACGCTTGACGATGGGGGAGGGAGAAAGGAAGGCAGTGCCGCAATACTTGAGGTAATTGCTTACCTACAGAACCATCAATTTTAAAAAGAACTTTTTATATTTGCATAAAAAGTGTAATTTTTAAGTAGCCACAGCGTACATGCCAGAATGGGAGGGTTAAGATTCATTTTTCAGGACCGCCGAAAAATAAACATTAACCGACCAAGGTGGTAATCGAACCCACTAGGTATGAATCGGGTTAGTCGCCACTTCCTCTCTCTTTCCCTCTCTCTTACTATATAATATATATATTTTCGGTTGGCGTTACAGACCATGAAGATATTTGACCGTGAGTGTGGTCTCCAAGACCACATCCCGATTACCGATTTAAAGTACAGGGTAGGGTCATCAATCATACGCCCGGTCAGTGTGATTTGCCTACAGTAGGCTGACGGGCCTCACATACCCGGGGGGAGGGAAGAATCTCGTGGCTTTCCTTGGTGGACGGTCACCTATCCAAGTGCTAGTGCTAGCTATCCACGAGCCACGCTCGGCGTTGCTAAACTTTGATTACCTATTGCAAGAGGCTACTCCAGCCCCCTAATATATATATTTATTTTAAACTTGATTTTATTTTTATTCTTATTGCTTTACATAACGATTTCAGGATAGTAAGTAATGAAATCGAAGACTCGTTAATAAAGATGGTTGGAGATACTATTGCATATAGAGAGGCGAATGGTATCAAACGGAATGACTTTTTAGACTTGTTAATTCAATTAAAAAATAAAGGATCAGTTGAGGATGATGTGAAAAAGAATGGAAACGATACCACTGCTGAACCAGTGGGTGAGTTATAACATTTTATTTATTAACATTAGAGGTGAAACACATTATATTAAACTCTATAGGTAGCGGAGGAACTTAGTAATTAAGGCAGCATGCTCCTGTTCTCTCGGTCCTAGGTTCGAGTCTGCCTGGGACAGATAATTATTATTTAATTATTTTATTATCAGTAATTATTTTTTCATTCTCTATATATTGATGATACGTAGTAGATCAACCCCGAGGTTGGAAGTTCCTCCTGGTGTGCACGTCTACTCTCTTTAAAGTGAGTACTCTTCATTGAATTAGGGAACAAAATTTATTGATATTGGCCAAATGAAAAATGAACAGAAGTGGCGAAAATTTTGATAATTTTCCAGTAAATTATTTTATTAGTCGAGAATATAAAGACCTAATTCCTATAGTTTCCCGTTATCATCATTAAATAAATTTTCAAGTTTTTTCGAGATGTTGAAGAATTTTTCAGCAGGCTTAATTTGCACTGATACTTCATACTGATAAAGGCATATTAAAAATTAAACACACATCCGTCCAGGCATATAACTTGTTATAATTCTTTCAAATGTTTTTCAGAAATGGATCTCGGTATGCTGACAGCACAATGCTTTGTATTTTTTGTAGCGGGATTTGAAACTTCTAGTTCTGTACAAAGCTATTGTCTGTATGAGTTAGCCCTGAACCCAGAAATTCAGAAAAAATTGAGGGAAGAAATCAACGCTACTATAAACAAACATGGTGGTATTACCTATCAAGCAATTCAGGAAATGGAATACCTTGACATGGTTGTTTCAGGTAATAATGGTTGATAAATACTCGAGAATTTTTATAATTTAATTATAGAAAGCATAGCGGCCAGATATTCTTGTTTTAATTTGTGAAAATTCATATTAATTGAAATTAAGGATATTATACTTCCATTTTTAATTTCTTTATTAGTTGAGATTAATCCGTAGGTAAATTGGTTTCGTGGTATTCATATCCGTCTTCAGTCATAAAATTTAACAATTAATATAACATTACCATCTTACTGTAGTGCAATTTTAACTAATCTATTTGAAACATTGTAATAAAATATCTCAAATTAATAAACATGAATATTGCCTCCAGAATTTTCTTATGTAAGATAAATTATTGATCATTGAGTGTTTTGTTATTTTATGGTTTTAAAGTATAAAACATTCTGAAGAAGCTTCTTTTTAGTTTTTTTTTTCATAATCATATTTTGATTAAGTAATTTATTGTGGTTATAAAGACCACATATTAAATCATGACGATAGCATAATTCAATTATTTGATTTGACGTATTTTGTCCATTTAGGAACATAATTTATTTTTTACATCTTTTATGTTGCTGTTCTAGATTTTAATTATTATTATTTTTGTAATTTTTTGTTGTTAATATTCGCATCCTTTTCATTGAAAAATTATGTTGCCAATTTCTATTTTAGTTTAGTTGTCTTTGTATCATTTTTCATTATTCTAGCTCTGTTGAAACAAGAGCAGACATAAAAATAATTACAGATTTGGAACTTATTTTTAATGGTATATATGGTACTTCTGAAAATCACATTTATGACACAACGAACAAAATCTGTAACAGTAATAACAGAAAGTTGTTATTAACGGTACTTTTGCGTTACATTTACTAATAATATGAATAAATCAAATTTCGTAATAATACTACAAATCAATTATGATCTTTAAGTGAGTTCAAAAATATTTAAAGGTAAGACAATGATTAATATTTTAAATCTTATAATTTAATTATTTTTTAACTAGAAAACACACTCAAAAAGTTGTTTGATTTAATTGTGCAATTAGCATCAAAACTAAATTAACATTTAAATAATTGTACTCATATTTTATTATTTACAGTGGTTGCTTTATTGAGGAGAACTGATATATTATACTTAGATAAAGATATAACTAAAAAAAATTATATTCTAAATGCAATATTTTATATTTCAGAGACAATGAGAATGTATCCGACACTTCCAGCTTTGAACAGACATTGCACAAAAGATTATACGACGCCATCAGGCCAGAAAATAAAGAAAGGAGACGATATCATAATCCCTCTTTATTCACTTCAACGCGATGAGAAATATTTTCCTGAACCGAAAAAGTTTGATCCTGAAAGATTTTCAAAAACGAATAAGTATAAAATAAATCCATTCACATACATGCCGTTTGGTGAGGGACCACGTAATTGTATTGGTAACTAATTTCAGTTCTTATTTAATTATTTAGAATATATTTTCAAGTTTCAAATACAAGCAACATTATTGATTTACTTTTCGTCTTTAAAGCTGTTATAACTTCTTTATTTTATTTTATTGACATTCTTATTCAGAATTGAATAAACCAAAAAGTAAGTCAATAAAATTGTATGTTGTTGTTAATATTTGAATATGATTGTTTTAAAGTTTGTGTACCTCCAAAAAAAAGTGGCTAATGTTTATAAAAGTCGAAACGAGCATAACAAAAAAAAAAATGTGAGACGAAATATTTGAATCATAAATATTCCATTCTAAAAAAATGACTTTCAGTAATGCCAATATCAGTGATTTTGAATCACGGGTACAATTAATTGATTTTGTTTTATTTTGTTGTATTCTATATTGTTTTTATCCAATAATTTCTTGGAATCATTATTTTAAAATCTTATACCTTTGTCGAGAAATGTGGATTTAATATTTTTATTAATTGTTTTGGCAAATAAATTACATCTTCCGTCTATTTTTATTAAGAACAAATATATTCGCATAAATGGAGGAAAAATAACTATTACAATTAAAAAACTAAAATTAAAAACTAACAATGATACAAAGATATGAACTAAGTATAAACGCAGGCTGGCTTCTGGAAAATATTGGGAGATGGAAAATATTTGTGTAACTTCATAACATTGTTGAATGCATAGGATGATAGGAAGGGAGTCGAATTGCATAAACAATAAAGGAGGAGTTCAGAAATCAATTCATTATCTATAATATTATAAAATTATTAACTACATGTTTTATCGAACTATTTTTGGGCTATGTTTAACAAAATTACCGCGAAATATATAAGGGTCTTGCATCCCTCCTCTAACATATAGGGGAGGGATGGGGTAGCAGACATTGCCTTGACCTTCCCTTCCACCATTCCTCCCTCTCTCCGGTGCTGTGCATCTGTGTGTTATCTGTGGTAGGGATGGCCATCGAAAGTCGATATTATTAAAATAGCGATATTTTACCATCGATATAATTAAATATCGATATTTTACCATCGATATAATCTACTTCAATATTATCGACTATAGATATCGTCCCTTTGTTTTTTTAATATTTTAATTTAAAAATAAAAACTACAATTTTCTAAAACCGCTAGAAATTATATATGAATCTGATTGTTGAAAATATATATATACTCTCATCTTGCCTGTTTCATATAGAATGTATTGCGTAAGAACCAGCTCCAACTCCCTTCGTTGAATGAAACCGTTGCTAGCAGATTCCCTTGTCTAAATGGGCAGGTTTTGAAGCTCATTACTGGAATCTCACTCTCCTCTATTTTATTATCTCGAACTAATGGAAACATGTTTGATCTAGATTCAATTTGAGTGCACTTGGGCATTTCGACATTTATTTTTCGTGGAAATGTAATTAATATTTTTTAAACGATAGTAAGATTAACAGAGGGCCAACCTCTTCAATTTCTTTACTTGTACAGTGATTTCATCATGCAGATGCATCACATTTTGTGAGATCCCACCTCACTCTTTTATAAAAACAAAACGAAAACAGAAATAGCGATGGACGATATATCAAAATAAAATAGTATTCTATGATTTTGTTTTCCAGAAAATATCATTAAAATTAAACATCTAAGATTACTATCAAGGTTTAAAAAAAAAAAAAAATCAGGAATTAATAAAACGTAAGATGGAAATTACTTAAATATACAAAATCCTCTCCTGTGGATCAACTTAAGAGACAGTGTCTTCTTAAAAATGTACAATAAAAAACTTTAAAAAATCGAAGAATTCGTATTGTTTGAACTTTTAATACTTGAAATGGGTTAAGTTACGAGACGAGTCTGTGAAGGAGATTTAAATGTGTCTGGAGGAACATGGCCACGAAATAAACTTACATACATCTTGTGAAGATCTACTAACAAAGTTTGAATAACAAAGTGGTTAAAAAAACTAATATCAACCTAAAGTAAATAAATATTCAATAGCGTATGATGACTATTCGCTATACATAAAAAAAACAAAACATTTTAGTGAACTAACAAGAACTGCTATATCGTTTTACAGTCTCTGGAACAAACAATGATCATTTAATTTAAAGCAACCAAACAACAGTTGACAACATTTTTTATCAAATATAACATAATATTTTTAGGTCATTTGTCATATTTTATTTATTTATTTATTTTTTTTTTAGGTTCTCGGTTTGGACTCATACAAACAAAAGTAGGATTAATAACGATATTGAAAAATTATGAAGTATGTAAGACTGAAGAAACGCAAGTTCCACTTGAGTTTAGAGGTTCTGGTGTTATAGCTATGACCAAAGGTCCAATCACACTAAAGCTGTCACCAAAACCTTCTGGTTACTGATTTACTTATTAAATATTTCTAGACTGTTAAAATTCCTAAATTTTATTTTTATGAAGAGCAGTGACTTATTATTTAAAAATACCTACTGTGAATAAAGTTGTAAGATATTTGTTAGGTTGTACAACCAGGTTTTATTATTAACTTAAATTTTTTTGTAAATAACAATAAAAATAAAATCATCAATTTTCACTTTCTATCTTCTTTATAACTTTCTATTTCAAGTTAATCATTCCATTATACAGTTTCGAAATTTAGAACTGCCTATTTATTTTAAGACACCCAATAAATATTTTAAAATTGACACTGCTGGAAGGTTTAGAATTTTATCCATGGTTTTTATACAACAATGGTGCCTACATTGTATAAAAAGGTGAAACTCATTAATAATGATGGCTATTTAAATGATATGAGCTTAATTTTAATGATGTTAAAAAATAATTTAATATGTGGAAGCTATTGAAGTACCTCCAAATTCTAGTATGTTGGGGAATACAGGTCGAATATAAGTTGAAGGATGCTAGATCAGTATGTGAGTCGAATGGCGGTGTTATCAGTAAATGATGTCAACTATATCGGTATGGACAAGGATATCAGTGTAAAGAGGATATGAAGGACGGGGCCCAAAACGCTACCACGAGGAACACTAGCCTCAACTAGTTAGCAATTGGAAAATTCTGTATTTCAGCGAACTTGAAAAGTGCGATCAGAGTGGTAGTAGCGGAGACAGATGGCTTTAAAAGAACAAAGTGAGTGGTTTGTAGGACGCTATTGTATATGCAATTGTGGATTATGACAGCTTCAGGAGGAAGTTTTCGAAGGATCTGAGAGGTAAGCAGCTCGTATCCAGGAGATTTTCTGGGGGAGAGAGGGAAGTAGGTTTCGAAAATGATGTTTGACCTCAGAAGGATTAACTATAGACTGGGATGGGTGAAATAAGAAATTCTTCTACTGTTATGGTGTGGTGGGTTTGGATTCAGGACGAGAGGTGAATGTAAAGAAAAGGTGTTTGGCAAATTCAAGGGAAGAATGTGAAATATGATGGGATTATAGGATTTTTTTAGTGGTCTTTCATAGGGAATTGTCTTGAGCAGAGACGGACGTAAGTTAGGAATTGAAGGATTTGGATCTGGAGGAAGCCAATCCCTGCATTAATATTTTACAGTAATAATTATAGGAGTGGTGGTCGGTGGGGTGTATGGTATCGGCAATAATAGTCTGGCTCGGCGTTCGGTGTGGATTACGTTCATGAGGTGTTAAAGTAAATTATTTTTCTTAGTTTCTTTAAGGGTAATTCTAGTGGTGGTAAAGGGACGTACGCCATTGTCAAGGTCATCTGTGGTTTCACGGTTATTGTGAGTTCAATTTTATTGGAAAGGATTTCATGAAAGAGTTTCCTGTTAACTGGGACTCTGACGAAGGACTGTAATGTAGAGAGGATGTAGGAATATGACCTAGAGCACTGGCAAATAAGAAATACCAAATTTCTGGGTTGTGGTCTTAAGACAAGCGAAGACATGGCATCCATATGCCTAGTGGACCTTAGTCACTTTTAATTTCACCTGCTAAAATGGGAACCAATCTCATTAAAAAAAACATAAAACTCTAACCATTCCTTGTGTGATGAAGATGAAACCTCAAGGTAACCCACACATTCTCTGTTGACATAAAACAGAGTATGATTTCTTACTGAATACTATTAATGATATGAGAGAAAATACCAGCTGTGCCATTAAAAAATACAACCAAATTAAGACTGGTTGTAATGAAATCTTCTGATGCATGCATTAACGTCATATTGACTAAAAGGATTAAAAAAGATAAATCAAGAATTATTCATATTCTATTTGTACTATACTTACTTACCCGCCAACACACTTTTAAACAGCATAAATATAGGACGATTGTTACATAAATAAAGTGATGCTTTAATTTTCTACAGAAGGCCTGTTACAATTATTATTTTTCTATTCACAAGTTTATATTTATCCATTTGCATACCTTATTATAATAAAAACCAATTTCACTAATCTGTCTAAATTTTTATTTATTATGACATACTTATATCCATCCCATAAGGTAATGTTAAATAAACCAGTTATTTATTGTCATTTATGGTCAAAATTGACATGCCTATTATGAGACGACTAAAAAGGTGCTGCATGAGAGATCTTCCTTTCCTGAATCAAAGAAGTAAAAAAAGACCCAGAAGAGATACTGCTGCGTACTATCCTTCCTCATGCATATAATGCCATTTTCTCCAAATTCACAACACATCTGCTCATTGTCAAACTAATGATAGGTGCGGATTTAAGTTTGATGAGAAAAAAAAAATATGGTCTACTAAATAATTTAAGTATTCCTTTTTACAGTTTCATTATTAATTTATTATCATCATCATTTAATGTAATTAAATCAAGAATCATCTTAGTGTAATTAAAACTGTACAATGTAAACAATATTTTACTCATACCCACTTTCCTATGTTTAATCTATGCTTAAAAACAAGAAAAATTTTTTTTAAAATTCAAATCTCCATTATTGCTATTACCTGATACCACAGAGAATAGAATGTACATACTTTATGCCTAATACCTATGCAAAGTGACATCACTATCATGGAGTAATTTTCTTCTATCATGGATAATTTGAGCCTTGAAACATGACAAAATTCAGAATCAGGAAGTTTATGAAAAACTTTATATATCCCATTATTTTTAAGCTTGATAACAGGCTTATCAAGCTATAATCAAATAACTTTCTGCTTTTTGCCAATCTTGCAATTTAACATTTTAGAGGAGTTGGTCGGGGGGGGGGGGGAGGGGGAGGGAGGGAGGGAGGGGAGGGCGAGTGGAGGGGGAGGGAAGTTGCGGTCAAATAAATACAAATCTTTTTAAAAAATAGTATTTTTAATTGTTTGGCCGACATTTCGACCCAATCTTGCAGGTCTTCATCAGAGCTACAAAGGATACAAAATATAAAAAGTACATGGTGAAAATAAAATAAATGAATTACAAGTAGATATTAAATAAGAAACAGTTGTGCTGCTTCAGGTGTGTGCCTGCACCTAACTACCAAACACCAACACCAAGCTGTTGAAATTGTGATATGGTACAGTTCCCTACTAAGATTTTCATAAATGCGGTATGACTACTGGCATTAAGTTTATGTATTTATACATTGTACATATAAAAAGAATCAATTCAAGAAAAAAAGATTCATATATTGAATATTATCGTGTTATGTTAACAAGTGGAGACAGGCATTGCTGGAGTTCATAGATTCAACAGCGATGCGTTATTATTTTTAAAGTCTTCACTAGGGAGAGAGGGGAGTCTTCACGTTAACTTTTGATGAAGAGTATATATAAAAAGAGATAATAAAATTAAAATGGCCTCCAGTATGGGCTTTATTGTATTTTTAAGTACAAAAATGTTTTCCCTCTTATTATGTATGTATTTAATTGATATGAACTTAATGCATTTTGAATCGAAAAAATTGATCCTTTTTGGATTTTTTAGTGATATAGATGTTAACTTTTTACTTTATGTGAGCAGATAAAATATATTCTCAAAAGTTATCTTGATTTTTTTTTTCCTGATAATTTAGCTTATTTTTGAAAAAGTATTTCAGTTTTCCTGAGCATGACAATTAAATTTTATGATAATTTGAAGTTTGGGGTATACCGCACATCAGAGTGTCAGAATGAGTTGAGGTATTTAAGTGTGTCGTTCTAGGGTAAAGGGTACATGATACTTGGGAAGATAATTATTAACTTTAAAAATAAGTGAAAATTGGTGAATTTTATGTTTTATTCTTATTCACAAAATAATTTAAGTTAATAGTAAATCTAACCAAGGTATTATATCATTATTTGCACTCTGATTTTTGAAATAGAAAGAACATTCATATATAAAAAAAAATTAGTAATTATTATTCACACTTATTATTGGATTATTTGATAACTACTTTAATATTCTGAAGATTTTGATGATACTTTTAATGTGATTGGATCTTTGGTAATAGCTATTACATGATTAAATGATAGGAAGAATTAATAAAATCTTCTTATTAGTTTTTTAAATTCTTTAATCATTTAATGGTTTAGGCTTTTGTTGCTCATTTTCAAAAGCTTATAACCATAGAAATATATAAAAAATATTTTTTTATCTTAATTCTTCTTCTTCTTCTTGGTCTTCTATTTTTTTCCTGAAATACAGAGTGAGATTGACCTTTCAATAGAGCTTGATCCACATATCCCGGTCCTGTACCAGCTGTGTTCTCCTACTCTCTTTTCATATAATATATGTCAATTTGACAGAGTATCAGCCTGCCACATCCAAAGCCTGATGGAGGATTTGCCTTCTTCAAGTTTTCTGGTAAATTTTCCTCTGCTTCACTGCTTAGGTCTTAAAAAGTGAGGTACTGACCTGAGATGGTGCTGTTGGTTTGCATTCCTTCAGGCTACAGAGGATGGACTCTCCTCTTTTCTTAACTGGGCTTGGAACCAGCCATGGCAGAATTCTTATTCTTATAATAAATTATTTACTATGAGTATACTTAAGTTGTTAATGTTACATTAATTATTGTTAATGTTACACAAATAACTTTTTTCTCTCATCATTTATTAAACTATTACATTCCTACAAATCTACCATACTTCAGATGTAAGTTAAATAAATTTAAAATATTATTGTTTCCGCAATTGCAATAGCTATTTCATTGTGGAGTATTATGTGTACATTGGGTAACTTTTTTTCAATACTCTGTAACTTCTAAAATAACAATGACTTTTAAAAGTTCAAAGTACAGTTTTATTTTTCATTTTTTTAAGATACTATATTAACTTTTAAGTTATTTCTTCATCAAATTTTGAATATAAAAAAATTATTTTTAAAAATAATAAATCACCCAAGGTACAGTTAATATTTTATCTTAGGCCACCCTATATTGTATCTTGGTCAATAATTGTTATAATTGGAATTATAATTATTATTGAATAATGGGCATCACTATAATAATTGTAAAACTGCATTTAATAATAACATAAAAAATATTTGGCTCATTGACCATTTAAAAAAGGAACATAGAATAATAATCTACTACGCCTTCCATCTAATATTGGTGGAAGAAAGCAATTCCTATATCTTGTACTTCACATTCATCTAGTTCTTGAAACCATATAAAGGACAAAATCGTCTTTGAAATTCTGTCATGGCTACAATTTTTTACTTTGTCAGATTTATTCAAATATATTATATGATGAAGAAAGGGATATATTTTGGTACAACTGAAAAGATTTTTTCAATCTTAGCAGCTGGTATTTCTATTTCTGCCCTCTCAATACCATCTTGACTTTTCCATACTAGTAAACTATTTTTTAAACCATCCGTTGAATGAAAATAATAAATAAATTACACTTTAAAATTCTTCAAAACACAATGAATCAAGGATTTTTTCTCACAAGAAACCTATTTTGAAATTACATGAATGTATCTTGGGCTGGCCCAAAGGTACTGGTGTTCGGCCAGTGGAGCCTATTCAATGTTGCCACAAATCTTGAATATTCCCCAATGAAATTTCTTATTCTTAAGGAGACCCAAGGTACACGTATTTCCCCTATATGTAATTTTTTTCAACCTATACTAGGTAAGGAAAGTATTGCAATCGGGTCACAGACCCCTGAGTTAGAAAAACGCGCAATGCGTATCAAGTTTTTGTATCTTTTCGGATTTAATAGATATGAAGATCCATTATTATATTTTCAGAAACGCTTTTTATGAAAATACTATTGGATTTGAGAATCCAATGAGACAACTTAATAGCAGTACTTTATGTCGATTAAATCGGAGTTACAAAAAACATTCTTAAATCCGACAGTGTTTTCATAAAAAACATCCTCGATAACATAATAGTAGGCCCTAAAATCGCTTAAGCCCGAAAAGTTACAAAAATTTGATGAGCGGTTGCGTATTCTCAAATCCGACTGTGTTTTCATAAAAAGCCCCCACGACAACATAATAGTGGATCTTAATATCGATTAAGTGGATCTTACATAACCCCAATATGGACACCATTATTGAAGGATTTAAAAAAAAAAAAAAATCTATATTCGTAATAATTATGTAATAGTTGATAAGTAAAAATTACACAAAGGAATTTGGCTGAGTACTTTCTGTAATCAGATATAACACTGCAAGTACTATCGGTACTTAACCAACGTATGATTAATGCTACGTAAGTACTCTTACAACTCCCCGAGGTCATGAAGAGTGCAGAATCTACTCGTTACTTTTCCCTAATAAAATTACTCAAATCATGAAAGTAATTGAGTACTGCCCATCCCTAATCACTAACAATTTCTTTTTTTACGACTGTATTTTAATTATTTATTTGATTATAATAAATAATGAAGAGTCATGAAATATTTTTAGTCCTACAAGATTATCACTAATAAAAAAGGCCACCATATTTATTCATATTTCATGGTAGGTATTTTTGTTTCTTTTCATTGGTAAATATTAGGTTGTCCCATAAGTTCTTTCCTTTTTCTTAATTTGTTATTGTGGTTGATTTACTGTGTTATATATGAACCACTAATTACTTCTCCTCTATTGCCTTTCATCTTTCAGGGAGCCTCTTATACCGTTTCTAAAATTGTTGAGACTTATTTGCCAAATATTCTTCGAGATGTACTTTTATTTCTCTTTCGAATTATGGACATGTATCACGGACAGAAGTTTTTTTCTAAAAAGTCTAGATTAAACAAGGTATGAGAAAATCGTTATCGATGAGAAGATATGAGAATTATCGATGTACAGAATATCATTTCAATCTACAGATAATCATTGTTAGTTATTTTTTTTCTGTCCCCTCTGAAACAGAAATACATGAAATAAGTATCATATTCGCACCATTACATAGTGATGGAACGATACTCTGATTTACCTAAACCTGTTTCTACCTGTGGTATTTGAAGGTGCATTGTATTGACTGAAAATTATATCTTTTCCTGTCTATTAACAGGTCCTGTTGAAATGTTTGGAGTTTAGGGTCCTCCGCTCGATGAATGACAAAATAATAGGTATATAAAGCAATATATACAATATGAAGGTAGGAAGAGGTGAGGTATAGAGATGAGGATAAGTGACTGAGGTGGGGGAGGACTGTAAGTCGGATTAAATGATTATCTTGATGGGGTTTATGGGACCCTTACGGCCTTGCCATCTGACAGGGAGGGGAGATGGAGTGATGGATCGGAATAATGGGTTAAAGGATGCGGGGAGGTTATCGAAGAATTTGATGTGTCTTCTTGATATATGTAGCTGAATAGAGTCCAGTTGCAGTTAGTTATGAAAGAGTTTCATGTTTCATCTTTATAGTGTTGTTTCTTCGCAGATCTTCATGAGTATACTGTTTTGATATTGTAGTTTCTTCAAAGCCATGGGAGATATATATATATATAGCGTAGGAGGGATGCACCACGGAGAAGTGAGGATCTGAGTATTGTATGTGAGTAATTTGAGTCTGAGTAACAGCCAAAATAATTGCTGGGAACGTACACCCATACCTTAAAAGGAAGTGAAGAATTGGCTGAGAAAAAGATAAAGATACTCAAGGACCTTTGTTATCTTGCCTCTTACTAAACGTTAAAGTATTAATGATAGGAATGTGATGAATATATCGATATTTTTTATATGCAGTTTCCGATACTAACATTAGAATTTCAGTAGTTAATTGTAACTAATTATGCGATTAATTTTTTTTAGTCTCTAATTCTTCATCCGTACCTGTCATGGTA